TTGAATAAAATTGTTTTTTTTTTTTTTCGAAAAGAAAGAAAAAAAGAAGATTAAAATTGTATGTAAAAGTGTTTGTTGGTGATGGATAGAACTGTGAACACAGAATTTCAAATAGAATTGTGAAAACAGAATTTCAAAAAATTAATGGGACAAAAATGATTCTACGAAATAAAAGAAATTCAAAGTCAAAATTTTGTTATTTTATTAGAGTTGTTTAATCCCTCTCTAAATCCGTTTGTCGAGATACTTTTCAATGTCCTCTCACATATTACACAAACCTCCGAGGAAAAAATATTTGCCAAATATTATTTGTCTCAGGAATTCATTTATGTATGAAACCATATACAATGTATAAGCAGCGGATGTCAAGTGTTGAAGCGTTGAGAAAATCGCGTTCAAAGTTTTTTAAGCTGTGCATTTTGATGTTCGTGCAGCAAATAGGGTATGGTCAAGGAATATATTATAGAGCAAATCCTCATCTAAAAAATTAACTTAGAACATTAAATTTGAAGAAAAATATACATTGATTTTAAAAAAGAACACATCTGCATTTTTTCAAAAGAATAAGTGATTTTTCGCACTCCTTATGGGGCAACTGGCCCTCGCCCAAGACATCAATTCCATTTTATTTTGTTTTTTGTAAGGTAACATCACTATACTGAGTTATATACTTGTTTGAAATTGGAAAGACGCACCTCATAATCGGATCGCATTTAGGAAAAAGGAACCTGAGTGATTACAGTGTTGTGAAAATGTTTTTTCTTTATAATTATCTAAAACATCTTCCAGAACAGCAAATAGTTTTTTTTCTTCCCACCAAAAAATGTTTACCTAATTTTGAAGAATAGTAATCGTGTAAAAGGGGGCAGCAAATTTTGCAATTTTTTTCAATGTAGGTAAAAAAAAATCGGATTCAGGAAAAACATTACGAACGAGAAAAGGCGACAAAATCTCTCGTTTCCTCAGGGAATAGTAATTCATAATTTTGTCGTCTTTCGCTGATACATGAGACAGCACTTTTAATTAGTCGAGTTAAGAGAGGAACCAAACACGCAATTTGGCCTGGAGCGGCGCGGCGCGGCGCAGCGCAGAGAGCATTGATGACGAAGATTTGAGATGAAAAGGAGAAACCCTCAGCGCGGCGCGCGGCGGTCACATATTAGTGCCTACAAGATTGCATGAATACTTCACGCATTGCGTCAAAAGTAGTGCGCTCACTACGGCTCACCAGCGGTCGGCGTGAAACGCATAGCGCCTACAAGACTGTAGGGATACTTCACGCATCGCGCCAAACATAGTGCGGGCAGCTCGGCGCGGCGCAAGTTAAAATTATTAAACCACATTTATGTTTGTTCTTTCATACTTTTTTAGTTCATTTCTTATTAATGTTTGCAAACTAAGTAAAATCTTTAGCGTTAAAATCATACTTTTATTATTTACCAGCATGGTAGATATGGGGGTTCAAACTATTTTCAGATGTCTAAAGCGATTTTGCTTCTTTTTTTAGCGTTGTCTTATTTTATCATTGGAATACTGTACGAGATGAAATAATAACAAAAACATCCGAAACTACGCACAGAAGCAAGGTTGTATCTATTCTTTACTAAATTGTCTCTGATTACATCGTACATAAGTAGCTCACATATAGTTTTATGTTCGAGGGCTGATAAAAATCAACTTCAAAAAGTATTACATTTTGTGCATGGATATAGGAAAATGGTAAGCACAGCTTTCCGTTGTCATTTTTCTCAACGATCTGTTTTTGAAGCGGTGATTTCAAAATTTTGATTGTCATTTAGTAGCTCATTACAAAGAACTGACTATGAATCAAGTTCTCATCCAACTTACATGGTTCTCCTGTGTACCTGTTAAGATTGTCGTCATTGATACGTTTCTTCGGTTTAAAATGATTTGTCGCATATAAGAATTGTAAAAATTTAAGAGGCATCGAAACAAATTTAGGTATCTACCTGTTCATTGCAGCATCGTACTTTTTTCTCTCGCGGAGTTCACACCAAATAAGTCAGGGCACTTTTAGAGTGCAGCAGAGGATCACGTATACATCTTCAGTGTAGCATTAAAAGGGACTAGCTGCTCCGGGCGCCCTACGGGCGCCCTCCACAGCTAGCAATAGTGGTGCGGTAGCTTATTTGGAATGGGAGCGATTAGTTGAATCTATTTAATAATGATGATGATTCTGCGGCAAAAGATCAAGGAATTTAACTGCCTCTCTGCGTTACAGGGCGGAGACTGCCATTCTACCGAAAAATGTTATAAAAAGCTCGCATTATTGGTTTTCCTTTTTTTGTGTTATTTTTTAATTATTTTTTATTTTTATTTTTTGATAATTTTCTAATGACTATGAGGCTTTTGGGATTTATAAAAGATCGAAGCACCTCTTTGTGCACGATGTTTTTCGTACGGTTGCCTTTGGGAAGAATTTGGACTTCAAAATTTTTGTACGATGTAGCTCGTGAGAGTGCAACATATAGTTGACCATGGCCAAAAACTGTTTGGGGTAAATAAATGCCGACTCGCTTCAGTGTTTGACCCTTAGCTTTGATGATGGTCATGCAGAACGCAATGCGAATTGGAAATTGTCGCCTCTTAAAAGAGAAAGGGAGAGAGGAGTCTGCAGGTGACAAATCAATTCTTGGCAGTGAAATTCTTTCACCGGCCTTCTCGCCGGAAATGACCTGCAAATCAAGACATTTTTCATAACGTTTCCAGACGATCAATCGGGCACCATTCGATAAACCTTTGGAAACGTTGAGAATTCTTAAAAGCATGACAAAAACCCCCTCCAAAAGTGTGAGTTTATGCGGTGGTAAGCCACTAAGATTAAGACTGTCCAAGAATTCGAGGGGAAAATTGAGAGCCTCTCCCTCTTCCTCTACAATGAGCCTATTAACACTGAAGTACGTTTTAGAGACACCTGAAAGAACTTCAACAACCTTGTCGTTAATTTCATTGCAATGCTTATTTTTAGGGGCCAGAATTGCGCAGTTTGTGAAATCTACGTTCGAACATGAGGAAGCTATATTTTCCATAAATTTCAGTAATAATATCAATTCCTTTCAGTAATACTGCTTGTCGGTAAATCAATGAATTCCGGCATGGCCTTTTTTAGCAGAAAGGTAAACACCATCACCTATTTCGAGTTAAAATTTTGCAAACTCTGCTTCGTCTTGCAAAGTTCTCATATTTTGAGTAAGTTTTCTGATTTTGAAAAGAGGTCAAAGTGGTGAGAATTTAATTGCATTTTGCACCAATGTTTGGCGAGAAGCATGCGGAACAACGGGTAAAACCTGTCTAAAATCACCACCCTAGACGACAATTTTTCCTCGAAAAGGGATATCATTACCCATTCTCTAAATAAGAAGTCGGTCGATGCATGCCAGAGCATGCGTGATAACCATGGGAGCTTCCCCCCAAAAAATGATCGTTGTTTTTCGAATAGTCTCAGCCTCTCTTGAGCTAACCGTCAGACTCGACACAGAATTCTCATTCAGAACCGAAGGAATTTTGAATTTGCTATGAACCGGCCGACCGTTAGGTAGCAACGATGCGGCGATACCTGTCCAAGCAACGGAGATGACGTCTAAGTTTTCCTCTGTACAATACGCAGTAAGACATTCTTAAACGAAAGTTTTTCCCGATCCTCCTGGACCATCAATGAAAATCGCGAGTAAGATGGATTTTGGATGAGATTAATTATTTCAGAAATAATTTGATGTTGCTCTGGGTTAACGGCAGAAATCATGGAATCATAGTTTTAGGGGGAGGAGAGTCAGGCTTCGACCCTTGAAGATTCAGGTTGATTGGAAGCAATTCCGGAAGATCAATAATGATGATATTGAAATTTCATGAAGTCTTAATGTGTTTTCAATAGCAAAAAGCCGATCAACGTAGTCGACCGACCAACAAAATAAAGAGAGAGGAAGAAACGAAGTATCAAGCAAATTTGAAACAAAGTTGTAAAGAGAAAAGAACAAATAAGAATGAAATGTCCATAACAATACATGTTGTTAGCAATACGTGTGCGCAACGCTGCAGTTAATAAGTCAGGGTCAGTCAAACCGCCAGGATGCCTATCAAGAAGTGGTGAAGCGGAGTAGCCGAGAGATTGCGACGGAATGTGGGTGGTGATGAGTGACGAACGACAATGCGACCCAAACCTTCTTTGAGGTTGGTGGGAGGAAAGCTATACGAAAGAAAACGGAGATAGCCGAAAGAACGTGGTGGGAGGGGTGGCTGAGACCCTAGAGGGGGTATCTAGGGACGGGCAAGCAGGTAGCGGCCAGATGACCGCTCGAAACAGCTGAACTTTACTCGTCGATAAAAGTAAGAAAATTTGAGAAAATCGAAAAAACAATTACAGCCTGCAAATCTACAGATCAGAAGCTTTCATTTAGAAAAAACCCCATGCAAATCGGTCCGGTGGTTCTCTCAAAGTTAATGTCCCAACATGCGGACTTTAGTCTGAATAAATGGGAGAAAATTTGAGCCCGGCTAAACTTCACTCGTCGATAAAAGTAAGACAATTTGAGAAAATCGAAAAAACGATCACAGCCTGCAAATCTACAGATCATAGGCTTTCATTTAAAACAAAAATCATGCAAATCGGTCCGGTGGTTCTCTCAAAGTTAACGTCCAAAGATTCGGACCTCCGTTTTAATGCATCGAAGAAAATTTGAGAAAATTATGGGAGAAAATTTGAGATAATCGAAAAAACGATCACAGCCTGCAAATCTACAGCTCAGGGGCTTTCATTTAAAAAAAAGATCACGCAAATCGGTCCGGTGGTTCTCTCAAAGTTAATGCCCCAAGATTCGGAACTTTGCATTTTAATATATAGGATTACAAGATTCAACAGGGCGGATCTTTTGTTCCACTCTAAAAGAGCGTGGCTCCATTTGTTGTGGACTCTAACTTTCAGTTAATTTCCCAACCGAGTAATTGAATCGACGAGAAAGATGTAGAAAAGAAGCAGCAACGAGTATGAATAGAACTCTTTCAAGAAATATATTGTAATCATTTCTTGGATCTGTTTTATCTTTTCATCGGTTACAATGAATCTCTTGTCTTAATTCTTACTAGATTCAGTATAATCAAGTTTGTTTGTCTTGCTAACGATTCCTTTTTAGTAGATAGTTCAGTACAGTTCTACTTCAGATCATGATAAGTCTTGCTTCTGAGCCCTGAGCGTCGCAGATACGCCACGGCAGTTCCTCATAGTATAAGTATCAAGTGGCATCATCCAAGCACCTAAAGAAATTGATTGCTACTGGATTACCTAGATTGTAAGTCTTGACAAATTTTGCGGTGGAAAAATTATATCGATTTTCATTCTCGGTGCTGGAAGGAAAAGGCAACAAAGTGTAAGAAACTAAAAGAAAGAAGAAAAAGAAAAAAAACATGCTACGACTCCATCTTACTCAGAATCGCATACATATTTTGTTTTTGATAAATCTTACATGAACTAGACGACGGTATTGTTCGACAAACTTTTTTTTCCAAATAATAATTAAGTAATAGTCTGCTGCTTAAATACTATGATAATTAATGTTATAATATTCAATTTGAACATTTTGAACACACTTCTCGACGTAGTTTTCCACAATTTACTGGTCTCTACATTGTTTTTTTTTTTTTTAAATAAAACTTTAGATGGGTCAATGATTGTCTGAATTTTTTTGAATATTACGCACAAGGCAGCGGGGACAATTAGAGATTATTGTAAGGACAATTTTTACTTAGTTTTCTTTCAAAACAATACAATGTTTTGGAACATTTACAACGTCACAATCTTAGGAACGTGCATTTTTCAAACTCTTGTTAGTGTTAAGTGTACCGCCAAGGCCATCAAAGTCATTGTGTGAAAAATCTCCTTTCCGAAATTGAAAGTATATTTTTGACAACTTCAGAGAAGAATTTTTGAGTATTTTTTAAAATCCAGTTATTCAATATTTTGAATACTTTTACATTAATACATAATATATAAAACTATAAGAGGAATGCGTAAAGCATATTGCCTGAGGACGAGGAGTCATCCACTCCGCGGCTTGAACTCCACCCGCCACACGGTGGATCGAGTCAAACAGAAAGATCGGACATGAAATGTTTAACTAAAATTGCAAATTTCGATGTTTAATTCGTCACATTTTAAATATTAAATGGTGTTTCTGAAAGAAATTTCTCAATGAAACCAATGGAGCCACTTTTAAGACCTCGAAGTTTTGTATGAACGGAGTTATAAGCTTTCAAAGTTTCCAAATTTTGTCCGATCTCTCTCATTGACTCGATCCACTGTGCGCCATATACCTCTGGACCTCATGCGGAATCAACCCTTAATCTTTCTGTTGAAAATATATTCATGAGGCGTACACCGCCTGACTGAAGATTTTACTTACAGCGTAAACAAAAAGAGTTAATATTTTTTGTTTACGCTGTAAGTAAACTTTTTAGTCAGGCTGGGGGCCAATAAATTCCTCAAATGAATTGAAAATTGTTTGTATGAAAAAAAATCATTTTTTACTTACTCGTGATACTCTGTAAACGCGTCAGAGAAATCTACGTGCACGTGCGGTTGTTTGTATACAAGGAATATGTACCGGTGAGGACCTGGAATGGAGTAACCGTGAAATGAAAGATTTGTCAGATCAATTATTCCGGAACACTAACCGCATATTAACCGTCCAAGCACTTTCTCTACTTTTTACTACGTACAGCCCATATGTGGATAGAATTTAGCGGAAAGAGACCAAGTTTTTTGGAAAGCAAAGGATCTGTTTGTTCGAGAATGTCTTACTTGTTTCTCCTGTTGAAAAGTCTTTTTTACAAAATTTTAATAAATCGCAAAAGCTGTACTTGTTTATATCTGACAAAAGAGAGTCTTTGCTGCGAGAACTTATTCTTCCAAATTTTTAATGGACTTCTCTCCTAATAATACATAGAACCAGATTAATTCGGAAAAAAGGAATCAAAAGCTTGGTTATCTCATCTTTCCCCGATTTCTGATCGGCGAATCAGAGAAAGGAACGAACTTCGCAGTGATCTCTACTTTGAGTTCTTCAAAGCAACTATCAAACACTCTCTAGTTTGTCAGAAAGCTTAGTTATTTCCTCTGATAAGCACGATTTGTCTTTCTTTTTTTCTTTTTTTTTTACGAAAAATGTTATGTCATTCAGAGAAACGTATACGTGCAAACGGGAAAAATCACATCACACGGTTAACTACATACATTCTTCGTCGATGCCGCCATGTTACCATCATACCGGTGGACATAGTTGCCTGAGTGGCATAGCACCCGAAATGACAAATTAATAAAAGCAGCAGTAGCTGAAATGAAGGCAGCTTAGATCCTAAACATTTTACGCAGAACAGCATGCCTGGGGTACATTGTGTTTTGTTTCATATGCAGTTGTTTTTTATTTTTGAAGTTTTTAAAACACAAAAATATCTTATATCAATCACTGTAAATGAAGAGGTACTTCCAAATATTTTGACTTTGTGTGTGAGCATTTGCAAAACGCATTTTGAACAATTTTAAAAAGTAAGGGGGGATTATTCGCGTCGAAGCGGGCATTGCTTGAGTGAAAAAAGGTACAATTTTTAATCAGAAATATAAGTAAAAGAGTTCAAACCTGAGCCTGGTCGCAATTTTGGTCCTTTGTATTTTGTAATGACACTACCGGAGAAAAGATTTGGACCACGAATATTGACGATAAGCCATTGGCGATATTCTCGATGCGTTGGATTGTCTCGGGACGGTACATCAGGATCTAGGAACATGAACATCGGTATTAACTTCGTCAATGGGCTTGTTTATTCTAGTTCCAAATTGTAAAAAAAAAAAAAAAAAAAAAAAAAAAAAAAAAAAAAAAAAAAAACGTATACCTACGAATTTAATCAATAAACAAATCATATTCTGCTAGAGTAGAATTCAGACAGATTTTTTTTTCTTGTTCAAAGTTCGAAATCAATTCGGACATCTGGTTGATGATGTCACTGGCAAAAGCATTGAAGCTTTGTCCAAAGCAATCGACTAAATGCGTAAAATTACACATTCAAAATCGAAAGTTTTGGCGGTCACCTGTAGTGAATCATACTAAATCAAAATTTTTTACGATTGATGTCAAGAGTCTGAGACAATCTTAAATTGTTCTACTATAGGTAGGCTGGAAAGATTTAATTTGCGCATAGGTACCATTTAGACTGCATCGTGCAAAAAAGAAATATGATTTCTGGCTCAGCCATAGGTTCACATGGGCATCTGGGTTCATGGGCGGCGTTCATCTCACGTAACTAAGGGAATGATACATGCGTTATCTCTGAAATGAGTCAGGAATAGTAGTTCTTTTTACGCAATGCAGTTTCTTCCTGAATGATCCTCTTTAAAATAAGAAATATTGAGTCAGGTTACTCAAAGTACCTAGTCCACGCCAACCGTTTCAATTGGACGTATTTCTGCCAAACAGAACTAGAGGTAGGTTGGAAAAAAGGGGTGTGCTCGACAGTCGAAGGCCGTAAGAATGAATTGGAATTATAAAGCGCCAGTGACGTCAGCGGTGACGAGGTCGCCCTCGGGAGTCTAAAACTCATGAGCCCTGTCCTGAACGCTCTTGTCACATGCCCATGGCTCATGAGTGCAGCATTCAGTTTTCGCACATAGATTTGTTTGACAGGATGTAAAATTCCGCTTTTCCGTTTCTCCAAAGGGAATTACGCCCGCTTTAACGTTGTTTCTTCTCCCCACATCTTTACACCCCATCTTCTCCACTCGCCCATAGTTCCAATTGGCAGAAATACGTCCAATTTGCGACTTGTTCCCAATAAAATAGAAGATCTCTAAATTTAAAGTATGAAGTAAAAGAAATACTAGATATTATTCGCATGTATTGATAGAGATTTCTTTACCTATCATAATGAGAGTATACGTTCGGTTCCGAATACAAGGCCACCCCACAAAGTAAGGTGCGTATTGCACGTCTTCTGCAACGAAAATATTGCCAAGGCTTGGCGCTAAGCCGTTTAAATATCTAACCTGCAAAAAAAGAGCACTTGGTTCAAATAAAATTCAAATTTTTGTATATTAAGGCCGCATATTCGGAACTGAAATGAAGTAGAATATGTGTGGCGGCGCGCGGCGCCCTACCTTGATCCCTTTCTATGGTAGGACAAAATGAAATGACACGTGCACGCAATAACTGTCGGCCCGTCCAACTTTTATTGATTTTAAGATTTCATACCAAAACTCAACGTCCGCCATATTTTCCTAGAGACAAGAGACCCTCCACTGGTACCTTGGCAATGGTGGAAGCTTTTACTTTCGGAACCTCAAAACTCAACTGTTGACCTAGCTACTAGGTCGATTCGATGGTCAACAACGTGGTGGAAATAACGTTTTGCAAACAAGCCGAAGTTTGGGAAACTTGTTTGCCTTTTGACGTCACATGAAGCTCATCATCAACCTAGTAGGTATAAAATAACTGCTGCTCTCTTATAATTACCCATAATGTTGAATCCCTAAAGGTAAAAGCTTTCACCTGTCGTCAAGAGGCCAGTGGAGGGTCTCATGTCTCCTTAATTTCCAGTTCTTAAAAGCTTTATGGTTCAAATGGCTAAGCCAATAAAAAGTAGATCGATCTCTGTTCATCGATCCTTTCCCCTAGGTTTAAATGGCCAATCAGTCGATGTATCTCAAAGCACGCCACGCCACTGCCAATGACTATATTCTCACCCCCAAAAAACAACCGGCCCTACACACACAAACATTTACGACGGATAAAACTGTACCGTTAGCATGTCGAACGGAGAATAGTCTAGAACATCAGGTATGATTTTATGATAGGTCAAGATGTCATTAATCCTCTTGCTGAACGCTGTTGGAATTCGGGTACTTGTGGATGCGATCCGTATCGCGTCAACGATGGAGGAAGCCAGCAAAATTTGAATGGAGATGCAAACTGCCTGCGTCCACCTGCAGCTCATCATAAATCAAAGACTTCCGTTATTTCTGCTTTCCTGGAATTATGTATCGAAATCAATTTGAATAGGTCCTTGAAAATCTACAGATGTAAAACGTTTACTAAAAACTCAGAAATGATTCGATTATTCGAACGCTGTTACTATGATCATGGGCGGATCGAGGGGAGCTGGGAAAGAGGAGGTTTGAAAATCTAGCTCCCCACAAGTCAGAGAGATTTTAATATTACTCAGATTAAATAGAATGAATCTGAAAGATTTTGCTGAATAAGTGCGCGGCCTGAATTTCATCTTTGAAATTGTGTTTCGGCAAGAAGCTTCCTCGAAGCTCCTTCGAAATGGCTCTACGCATTGCTTCCTTCCACATACTCCTTTCACATCTGCATGCACTTTGCAATCCCACATGTGTATCAAATATCATGTAAATTAATATTCTACAGCACTTGAGTCACTTAAAGTAAAACACAAAATAGGCTTTTTAACATATTATTTTACCTATCCATTTGCCGGCCTAAATGTTTTAATCGGTGCAATTGAAAATGTTTCTAAACTCGGCATCTATACAGCAATTACACTACAAGCACAAAACAATCCTTTCTATCACCCATAATCTTTAAATTTAAACAAGGATTCACGTAGATAAAAGTAAATTTCTTGCAATTTCCTCTCCTAGTTTGCATTTGAAAAGCTACAAATGTCACATACAGCAAAGCACTTTTACAGATTGGGGATTCGAATTGACCCATATTCGTATTTCACTCCAATAATGTATGTCTCGTTCATAATCTAATTTAGATTATGAGTCCTGACAAAGCGTAGACTCTAACTTAGCTCATTCTGATCTTGTGATTGATATGATCTGTATGGGATTGTGTCTTTTGTCTTTAAACTGTATCTAAAATCGCCTATTAATAAATCCTCCGAATCGTCTGGGTATATTTTGAGTTATTGAAGTGTCTGAAATTATCACATTTTGAGGTGAATTATGTGAGATTGAGGAGACGATAAACATTGATGTTTTACTGAAAAGACTGCAATTCATGAAAAAAAAATAAGAATACGATAAATGAAATAATCCAAAAGCTTAACAACACTAATCTACAAATAGCTAACGAGAATCGAAGACATAATTGGGACTCTTCAGGGTGGCTATTTACACTTCTATACAGACAAGAGGTGTTTCAAAACAACTGAGACCAAGTCTGCACTTCGGAAAATATGATAGATATTGAAATGCGGTCCCCAGTGAGTTCCCCCAGTGAGAGTCCATACTATAAGCTTTCAAACCTCAAAATTTGAGCTTATTCGGTTGAAACTGAACCGAGTTATAGCAATTTTTCGGGGACTTAACGCCCCCGAGGACTCGATTCAAGCGGACACCGTAGTGAACGCGCAATGCGTGAAGTATTCCCACAGCCTTGTAGGCGCTAATGTGTAAGGCGCGAAGCGTGCAGTATTCCTTCAGTCTTGTAGGCGCCGATACGCGTTTTGCGCCGACCGCACTGTATTCGGCGCGGTTGGTTAAACTCGCGTGGTCAGCGTTATCAACTTGTTACTGTTATTTTTTAGTTTTTGCGTACTCCGTTTGGATCACTCTCATTTTTAATGAATAAAAAAAAAACAAAACAAAAAAACTAAGTATCCGCTTATTTACGAGCGTTTAATACACCATGTCTGCACCTCTCGTGAAACTGCACTGATTTGTCAGCAGCTGAGAAAGATCGATTTAGTGACTACCTCATTTGAAAGATCCCTGTATTCCCTAAATTATAATTGTCAGTTGACATCAGGAGGCTTTCGGCACATCCATGATCCGGCTTTCAAATTATCAGGGATTAAGGTCGAGTAGAATCTGTTTCTGCAGATCCACTCGTCAGTTCTGTAAAAATGTGTCACCACCACCGGGATTCGAACTCGGGACTATTTTGTTGGAATTAGGAACTAATTTGTTGGAATTAGGAGAGTAGTGATTACCGCAATTCTAACCAAGGACTCAATTATATGTACATTCAAGTCTCTATAGGGTCATCAAATTTTATTATTATAAATATTTCAATTCATTGAAATCTAAAGTAGATATTCAGTGCGTCCCATTTAATTTGGAAAAACGCAAAAGTGTATTTCTCTTAGAAAATACATTAAAGTCAAGATATTAAGCGAAATGCATGTTAATGAGGTCTGGCATGAATTAATGAGTAATAAAGAACAATAAGTGGCAAAGTATAATTTATTCACGATTAAAACAATTAAGCAAGTTTCTTTAGCGTAGATGCTTGTGTTTTGGTCAACTATCGATGTTGATGGTATGGCTTGTTTTGTACCGGAGGCCAGGGTCGCAAGTTTGTGTCTTCATCATAGCTCAGCGAATTTTCATCCTGGCATTGAAAAAAGAATAAAAAGTATTTAAATATACGGAAACAAAAAAAAAAAAGAACAGTTAATATTAAGTGTTGCTTTGTACTTAAGTTTTATGCTCAAGTGTAGATCTAGGTGGGATCCGGAAAATGGATCACTGAACAAGGTACGAATTTAAGTATTGAATTTCGATAAAGATTCTCTCTTAAAAATTTCACGTAAAACACGATTCAAGCATCAAATACTGGAAGTCACTCCCAATCAAGATATTAACGTTTTTATTTAGTACTAGCTACAAAAAACTTGACTTTACACAAGAAACTTGATTTCGCTGGTTTTTCACAAGGAAACCTAGTACACGCGATTAAAAAAATCATTCCCTCTAACGGTTTTTACAGGCCTCGTAATCAAACAGTTGTTCCTGCATTGTTTGAAGTGTGAACAAGATCTAAGCCGATACGGCAAGATTGAGAATGTCATTCGAGGGTCATCCAAAAAGTAAGGTTCCCTACCTTGTATCTTCCGAACGAAAAGAGATAAATCAAATCGGTAAAAACGTACATATTAGGCATACTCTAAGCTTTAAAACAAGCTCAAGTTTTTGAAAATCGGTTGAGAACTTCGCGAGAAAACTCAATTTTACTGAGACGACCTCCCGTCGTCGCGTGCCCACCTCCGAGGTCAGGATGCGCGGAGAGTCCCTTACTTCAGACTCGGCTTATCGCCTCTAAACATCAAATCGAAAAGGAATTTAAAAGATTTTATCAAGTAGGCCTTACCTTACTTTTTGAGATGGTCTTCGCATCTTTTTTGACATTTCTGATATCATTACAGCAGCTCTTTCATGCCGTCCGCGTAAAAGGTCTCGTCTTGGCTCCAAAACCAGTCATTGCCAGCGATCTGCACCTCTAAATCGGTTGGAAATCGCTTTCCACGGTGGGAGTTTTTCATCTCAGAAATAGACGAAAGTCACCTGAGGATAAATTAAGAGAGTACGGAGGATTGGGGAAAAATTTTACCACGGTAAGCAACTGATTTGGAAGTGCAGATCGCTGGCAATGACTGGTTTTGGAGCCAAGACGAGAACTTTTACGCGGACGGCATGAAAGAGCTGCTGTAATGATATCAGAAATGTCAAAAAAGATGCGAAGACCATCTCAAAAAGTAAGGTAAGGCCTACTTGATAAAATCTTTTAAATTCCTTTTCGATTTGATGTTTAGAGGCGATAAGCCGAGTCTGAAGTAAGGGACTCTCCGCGCATCCTGACCTCGGAGGTGGGCACGCGACGACGGGAGGTCGTCTCAGTAAAATTGAGTTTTCTCGCGAAGTTCTCAACCGATTTTCAAAAACTTGAGCTTGTTTTAAAGCTTAGAGTATGCCTAATATGTACGTTTTTACCGATTTGATTTATCTCTTTTCGTTCGGAAGATACAAGGTAGGGAACCTTACTTTTTGGATGACCCTCGTACTTTCATACCGTAAAGGCTGTTACAGCAACTTTCAGTGTACAATTTAACTCGAGTAGATTTATGCAGCGAAAAAATGTGATTATGTAATGCAAGAAAACATAATTTAATTAATTCTCTTATGTTTGTAGCTGGAATACCACTTGATTGGCTAATTGGTATGGGGGGGAGGCCGCCTGCAAGTAAATGTTATGCAGGTACCTACCGTCAATTTCTGATCGAAAACAGCAAGCATTGCGTCCTTTTGATTTAACAATCCAACAAGCATGCACTGAACTTTCTTTAAATTCGCCATTTCATATTGATAACTTGCCACGCAACTGACCAGCTTATCGGTTACACTCCTGTCAAAAAGTAATGTCAGATTCATGAACCAATTGCATCAGTAGCGTAGTAGAAAATCTTTTGGCTTAACGATTCGAGACCACATTTTTCAAAATTTCTAAACACTATATCGAGATCTAAAATGACCGCCCTTTAATAGCCAGGCTAGAAAGACGCCAGGTGCTCATTAAAGGTATTATCAAAGGGGTCAGAAGAATCAGTTAGTATTAAAACGGTGAAAAATTCTTCTCCTGCTAAAAAAGGCTTGTACTAAATGGTTTCGGACCTTAACCTCAAATACTTATACCTTACGTGGTTTTAGCCCAGTCTTCAAACTAAAAATTGTAAAAGTAGCATTTTGATTGAGATTATCCATAATTAGATTCGATATAAAAGAATTTTCACGAAATCCAACGAAAAGGGACGAACAAAATTTTCTATCAGAAAAACTAGGTACAACAAAAGTATCCATAAGAGATGCAATAACATGCCCACAAAAGCCCTTTGCCATGATTGACAATTTAGACTTTGACAAGACTTCTCAGAGGCCAAAGAAATGGATGATGAAATCAGATCAAAGGAAAATATTTCTAACTCCCGGACCAAAAATTAAAAAATGTGCATCAGGGGTGTTTACCCCTTTAGAAAAACACAAAATGGCTAAAATTTACAGATCTCACTTTATACTGTGTAAATATACAAATCGAACCGAGCTACCTGTTCAATATGACAGGAGAGCCGCGAGTCAAACTGACTGAAATAATATTTACTCATACCATATTTATTTCAACTTGATTGATTTATGATCAATTCACGGTTTTTAATTACCCTATACATACTTTGCAGTCTCAATAGCATCCTCCTTTTCTTGCTTCACTTTTTCCCACTTCTCCCTCCACTCTTTTTCAGTGTTCCGTAGCTGAAAAAGAAGAAAAGTATAATTCAATGAAGCGCTTCACGCAATTGAGAGCAAATCGTGTTTTTATGGCGTATTTAACATTAAGAGGCAGACATCTTTAGTAGACTAGGCTCCAGAATTAATTGTATTTTCAATCAAATGGCTTGAAGATATCTTTTTCAAACTACATACTATTTTTTTTTAATCGCACTTATCCCGCATAACTATATACGCGGTTTTTAAAACATAGAAGTTCCCCACTGTATGTTCTAATTTTGACCTCAGGTATATAAAATGCTTCTGATGATGATTTTCCTAGGTTCTTTTTTTGAAGAATTAAAATAGAACAATTGAAACTTTAGCCATTGATTTACCCGCTCTTCCAATTGGGAAAGTTTGCTCTCTCTATGAGGGAGCAATGCGGCTTGTTCTCTTGCGTTAACCAATTCTTCCGATAATTCGTTGATGCGTCGCAACATATCGTTGTTTTCTCGTTGGAGCTCCTGCAAAATACCATGATACAACAATCATCACTTACAGTTCACTGACCATTACTACCAAGAAAGGAAGAGGATTGAGCTTAATAGAAGAGAATCAAATTTTTCTTCGAAACGAGACGAGGGTCTGCACGTTAGTTGCTCGAAATGACTCCATTAGCATCACTGTAGAATTGAATATTTCCAACTGAATTTATTTATCAATGGGGTTGAGAGGGAATTAAATGTGCATTTCCGTCCTTTTTTTAAAATTGAATTTCGGCATTTAAATGGAATGAACCAAGTTTTCAATTTTTTCTTTCATTTAAAAAAGAAAAATTTTACATGCAGCAAAATTGACATTTTCTCAGTCAGCATTTAACAAATAAAACTCTCGCAATTTAGTAAAACTATAAATTTGGAACGAATATTTTTCTTTATGAGAGATAGAAAATGTATTTTACAACAAACCGACCGCTTGTTTTCCAAATGGAGAAAAATGTTTAAAAGTAGGTCCTTTTTATCAAAATCGTAATTCAAAACGCTGGCAAGAGAGGGGGGATCCATAAAATTGCTCTGACGAGTCACTTTGACTTTAAACTTTAAAGATGATATTTTTACATTTTCCTGGTAAAGCAGCATTCGTAAGCTTTCAAGTAGTTTATTTAACTGTTTCGAAATTTCAGAAGTTTTCGAAAATCAAGGTTTTTTTGGTATCCTTTCCAATGAAGTAGACTTATTATTTTCGACTTGTTAGTCACTACCTTCTTCTATACTAATGTCTTCATTCACTAATCATCTGAATGGCCTGAAATATAAATTTACCCCTCAAATAACATGAAGAATTGACTTTTAATACGAAAATAAGTTCTGTACCTTCAAATCGTAGTAAAATTGGTTCTTCTCTTGTTTCATGCTCTCCAGGTCTTTGTGCAACTGTTTCCGCTGATTGAGAATCGCCGCGAAGTCATCGATTTGCGGGTAAATACTTTTGTGGTCACCAATCATGTGATTAGGAGTGCTGTCGTCATCTTCTGAACTTAATAAATTCCTGTAAACAAGATTCAGTTATATTGTGTAGAGCCAAATATCAGTGTATATTATCCAGATATAATATGTATGCAATTTGTGTTCCACCGTCAATGCTTTGATTTGCCATTCACCAGTCATCATCAGGAGATTTGGACGAATTTTTGCCAAACGGGACTATATTCATTAAGACATGAGCCCTGAGACCCATGAGAATAAGTGCATAACAGGGCTCACATCATATTGCACACAGTTCCGTTGGTTATATGACATTTCGTCAACGATTTATTGTCCTGTTTTTTCCAGTAATTTACGTCCACGCGTTTTTTCGGCACGGTTGTTTTGGTCCACGTGCCAGTTGAGACCCAAAGTTAATTGACCCACATGTAAATACAAACGACAATTGCTCACGACGCTTTTGGATGAAAATGTATAATGTCTGAGGGTTTGCTTGTTTTTTTTTGTTTTGTCTGTTTGGTCCAACGCAGAATAATAGATAACTGAGAGTTTTGGTAAAAATGGGGGAGCGTCAATTCCATGAGACAAAATTCACTAAAACTCTCTACACCTCTCTGGTGTAACAGGACTTAATTATCTTTCAAGATTTTCCCACCTTGTTATACCTGAACCTGATGAACCTCTATATTTGCTTCAGCTAAAGGCTCTTAGATTTTTCCAGTGTACGATAAGTATCTTGATTTATTTTGCGAGGAAAGATCTGTACTTTTAAAGGATGCCTGGCATTCTTAATACGTTCAATTTCGTATAATACTGTGCAACACCTCTGTTGTGAAATAGTCGCTTCAGGCGCCGCCGCACGGTGGGCGTGCTGCCAGCGCAAAACGCGCATTAGCGCCTACAAACCTACGTGGATACTTCAAGCACTGTGTAATGCGTGAAGTACCCACTTAGGTTTGTAGGCGCCAGTGAGCCTCTCGCGCTAGCAGCACACCGCGCCGCTCCCCTCTGTTAGGCTGTAATATTTATACTCGCATAGTCAGCGTTTTTTAACTCATGATTTTGAAATGTTTGCACACTCTGCATTGATTAATCTCATTTAAATTGATGGGAATAAAATGTGTATCAATTTATCAAAGGAGAATACTAATATAATGTGTATTTTTTAAATATTGGTGGTTCCGTGTCAAATTTAATGATTTCCAAAGCACTTTACTTTTTTCTTTTATATTTTGTGCTTTTATTGTGCTGCAGCGAGGTGTACGCGCAACCAAACGCTCAAAATTTGACGTATTTGACTCCAAAAGATCGATGTACAAATGGGTTAAAACTAAAGATTGCGTGCTTCTTGGTTTTTTTTTCCTCTTTTATTCGTTTTTGCAGTTTCTGTCAGCACAACTGTGACTTATTGAGATAAATGTCGCTCGGAAAAGGTTTTACAAATATTTGTCACGTTTTAAAAATATAAATGTTTTCAAAATGAAGTAATAATTTTGTAAAGAAAAAATTAAGAAAAATGAAAAAAGTACCTATACACATATAAGGTATATTGTACATCGAATATTTTAAGGATAGAAATAAAACCAAATATATACCTATGACAATTTAAGAAGATGATTCAAAAGGAGAAAGTATTAACATTTCATTTAGAAAATGAGCACCATAACAATACCTCCGTCTCTCTCAATTTCTCATTTCCATATTGTCAATATAATTTTACATACCGACTAAAATATAACGCTTGAACCAAGTCACCATTGCTCATTTTACGTGTGAGCGTAAACTACTGGACAAAAAAGGTGCGCGGACAAAAAATCGATGACAGAATGTCCTGAAGCCGTTCCGTTTGATAGAAATACGTCCGAGTTTATGCTCAATAAATTGCTCATCAATCATTCTCGGCATGAAACAGCGTTTATGTCTAAACTTAACACTTGCCTTACTCAATTGCATTGCTAAAATTCTTACCGCATTTAAAATAATTGTTAATTTCAGGCACCCGTTTGGGAAAAGAGGACTTTAAAAATTTGAACAAATGAATGAAAAAAAAAAAAAAAAAAAAAAACACCTCGTCTACAAACGGCCAAAAAGTACTGAATATTGCGGAAAACATGGCATTTCAAAGATTTACGGTCGTAAACCGTTTCTCCAGACTACATAACGTTTTTACAACAATTCCTACCGAAAAGTTTCCGCGCAATTATCGCAAATGTCAATTCTGATTAATCATTGCCGAAAAAGTTTCTGAATATTGCACTACATGGCAATGCTGCTGCAGTCATACACGGATTACTCGAATTCACAGGTCGTTACGGTCCAAGCAACTAAGAATGCATTACAAAATTCCCCAGGGCAAGAACAGCCAGCCAAGCGTAGAGCCGTTGAGATTAAAAAACTAAAACGCCTTCAATTTTTTGAGCATGCAACACGGACATCCCTTGGGCACGAATAGCTATATCTTGTATCAAGGCGCTGCGCTGATACTAAAAACGCCCGAACTCCTTCAATTTCTTCATCTTGTCCTTATGAATTATGCAAATTCATGGCATTTACAACAAGTCGTCGTTGCAAAATGATAGGACGAGACAAATTGTATTAGAATTACATTGAACTGTAAATAAATAAAAGAAATATTGAAAATTTGAAAAACAGCAACTTCCATTTGGACTTATTTATGCTAATTGAAACTATGTGTAAGTGGAAAGATGGGGTATGCTCGTCAGTGCTCGGGCCATAAGAATGAATGGGAATTTAAAAGCTTAAGTGACGTCAACGGCAACGAAACCGTCTCCTTCGTCGTTCTCGCTCGGCTTCAACTCATAAGCCCTGTCCACAACGCTCATGTCACATGTCCACGGCTCACAAGTTAGCGCACAGTTCCTTTTGATTTAATGTCAAATCCCCCTTTTCCATTTTATCATAAGGGACCATATCGACGGTGAAAGTCGGCAATCACACAACTCGATTTGCGACGTCGCAGACTTCCTGTCATACTTTATTCTTTAAACGGAAAACTACTCAACGGTAATTCCTTAAAACTGCCGTGATTTTTCTTCTATGTGCGAGGAAAATTCTGCAAAAACTGCAAGGAATCATGTCCATTTGTTCTCCTTTAAAAAAATAACATAGTTGCGGAGATTTTCAGACACCGCAAACGAGTTATGTGATTGCCGACTTGCACCGTCGATATCCAATTTTACATTGTTTTTAATCCAGCTCACCACGAGCACACCCCATTTTCCCACTTCCACGTAGTTCCTTTTTGCATACATACGTACATTTGACCTGTGTTGAAAATATTTGCTAATATCTTGTTTAGGAGTTGATTTCCGAAACTCCCGTTGTATGATTCGTTTTCTGAGAAAAATTTTGAAGAGAATTCGTGTGACGTTGAATTCTAGTTCAGAGCCCTGTCTGGTGGTCCATTTCATGGAATATCGTGGAATTTCAAGCGAATAAATTTAATGAAATTTTCCATGTCTGGGTATGGGGCGCACGAAACCACCCTATTCATGCTCATGCGTGACTTATTCTGCCGTGCTAAGAAAGAACGCCGAATGAACATTCGAGAGTTGCCAAATTTCCCTTGATAAAACATGTATTTTTGACAACATTCATGAATATTTTCCCTGGAAATTTTCAGATATTTTCGATTAATTTGCACGCAAAATCGTCTGAAAATTTTGGAAAATAATATTCGCAATTTTTCCAGAAAATTCGGTTTTTATCGGAGGAAACTTGGCAACGTCTGAAGGCTCATACGGCGTTCTTCCCTAGCACGGCAGGTTTGTGCCCCTAGAGGAGTGTGGTATTGTGAAAGGGGAGGAACCTGAAGCGGGTGTGCTGAGTCGCGGTGGAGCAGTTTGGACAAACCGTTTTTTCGGAGCGAGATTCCTGGACAGCCGTCTCAGCGAGTTCCTTCGCCTTCCTCAGCTCTTCCACCATTTGTTGCAAATCATTTAACTGTGGTGTCAGCTCCTTGTCTATCCGCTCACGCAGCACCGTATTCTCTTCCTCCACCTCCCGGGTCAGGTGCTCCTGTCATAAAATTTCAGTTAAGGTGATTCGATTGACGCCATATTTTGTGTCAAAACGATATGCGATTAGTTCCATTTTTTAGCTACTTGTCATTTTTCTCGAATTTTGAGATCGTAATCATGTTGTAAAGAGACTAAAGAGCTCACTTACCAATTTTGACAAACAAGTTCAACGTAATACAGGCGTGGTTAATTTAGAGATAAAATATCGCACTCGAGTGCAGTTTCGATATGAGTATCGAATGCGATATTTTTCCTCTAAAAATCCACGCCTTTATTACGTTGATTTTGTTTTTCAAAATTGGTAAGTGAATTCTCAAGTCTCTTGACAACATAATTGCGATCTCAAAATTCAAGAAAAATGACAAGTAGCTGGGAAAATGGAACGAATTGATGCGATATATCGCACGTCGCTCTGACACAAAAAATGGCAACCATCGAATCACCTCAATGGTGATTCGATGGTTGCCATTTTAACGAAAAATACCACGATGGTGGTGGTGGTGGTTGCTCTTTGCATAAAATCGCTTTTGGCTATCGATATTATATAGTCCCTAGATGAGCCCATTCCATCTACATCAACCGACGAAGGGTCCGCGAAGCGCCCTCGGGGGTTGGGTTACGTAGCAACAAGATGGCGTACCCCTAGTCTAACTAATAAATGGACGGAGTTAAACAGAAAGGAACCAAGCCACATAGGGATCGAACCGAGAAAAAGAGGTTTAAAGTTTGGCTCCTGCATAAGACTCAATGTAAAAGATAAACTTCAAGTTGAATTTCTGCAAAATTGGCTCCAACAAAAACTTTGAATTTTTGGCGATAGATAGTAGAGCAGTGGTTGAGTTCAAAACCACTCATAACTCAATTTTTTCCAAAATGTGGGTTGGTTCCTTTCTGCTTAACTCAGTCCAAATGAGAAATACACTGGTCAGTCAGTCAGTCACTCTTTCACTCATTACGCTCGCCTCTCGACTCTTACTGATTGAAATCAGTGCAAACTTTGCCGTTCAACGGGTCCAGTGCCCGAGAGGTGCAATAAGCTTGCAGAAAGCTCTATGAAAAAATTGAAGACACCAATAAGCTATTGTCAAAATATCGTAAGGTGATTTATCCTAGGTTTTTACGCTAGAGAGTAAATTCTGAAATCAAATGAAAAGTAAAATAAATATCTATAATGTTTTATTAAAGTAGGTCTGGCAGCTAACCTCTTTTCCTATTTGTTGCCTCTGCGTTTCTATAGTTTGTTCCTGGTCCTCAATCAATTTCGATAACTCCGAGATTCTATCATTACGGCATTTGATTATCTTATTGTATTCAGCTGCGAGAGTTTTCAGTTTCTCCCTCTCTGTCCTCTCCTCTTTAAGGACATCCTTGTGCATGTTTATTTCTCCCTGCAAACGGGCTATTTCACCCTCAAACTTTGCTCTCCTGAAATGACAGCATAATTAGCATGATATAGAAAACAAAATATTAATCCAAAAGCGAACCAGTTAATACGAGGGTGGAAAATTTCGTTTTTTCCCACTCTGCTCTAGGAGGGATATGCTAGTTGTATACGGCATTTTCTATTCCTCTTCGTTATACTATTTGCACGATGATTACAATATTTTAGACTGATTATCAGAACAAATAATAGAACTTTGAAGAGAGTAGAATATTTTTGTTCATATTAATTAAATGGGCGTATTTCTGTCAAACGGAACTAAGCGCCATGGAAAAGCATTGTGAGTATGGGAACGAATGAGCCCGACGCCCGGTTCCGCCGCCTATCCAAGCCCCCCTCTACCTTCCTACCCCGATGGCGCTTAGTTCCGTTTGACAGAAATTTGTCCAAATAATCATCAGCTCGTTAACTATATTTGAAATGAAAGTACCGAGGACCAGAGGATGAGGAAGAAGTAGGCTAACTTTCGGAATAAGTTATGAGATTTCAAAGTACCTAAATGATTTTGTAATTTTATTTTAAAGAGGACATAAACTAACCCAAAAGCTCGTTTAAATCACATTAATTTCTACTTATGTGTGTTTAACCATTTTCATTTTCTTCAGCTACCAAGACAGACCTTGCGGTAAGTATATTTTTGGGTCTTATATGAAATGCATAGGTACATGCATTTTGTATCTTTCATCTTCCCATGACTGGATAAATGCGCAAGGGATAAGCTTACAACTAGCGTTTTCTCAATAAAACATCTTACTGACCTTATACATATTAAAACTATGAGTTTTTTTGCAATATCCCCCCCCCCTTTATTTACACTTAATATCCGATGTTATGACCATGCACCTTAACTTACATTTCTGAGCTCGTTTCTTGCATTTCTTCCAGCTTGCCTTTCAGTTCACTCACGGTCGTCCTCTGCCTGGATTCGAGAGCCGTCAGAATATTGATCCTCCTCTTGAGTCCAGCCTCTCGGTCTTTAGTTGATTCTAGGATTTTGGAGTTCGTATCTCTACGTCCGCGAAACATAGAAATAACGATCGAGAAGAAATTAAAAATCGACGAAGACTCGATCGTAAATGAATTATGTTTAGGCTAAAGGTTTAGACTTCTTTCTTGAGACTCGATGTGAAGATGAATTCTAGGCTCATGTTAAAAGCAGAGAAATATCTCGTTAGCTTTGATTTTTTTGCAGAAATACCGCGACTTCCTAAACTCAAAGTCACTCATACGTAAGTAAGTAATTGACAGTAACTTTTACCAGGCACAGGATGCGACCAGTCTCGGTTTTGGAATAACAGCGAATCGGCTACTCATTTCTTCGCCCTTTTTATGGTGAGAAATGAAATCGTCATATATTTCAAAACGCTCCGGGGTTTTTTAATTTATCTTTCGTATTGTTGTAGCCTTTCCCTCAATTGAGTTGTTATTTTACAAGGCACTATGTGATACTACATTATAATTTTTTTCAATGCAACGAAGTTTCTATTTCCCCGAAGAGATGTTTGAAAAGGCACTGAGTCAGCCGAAACTTGGAGGGATGGATGGATCCATAGACAGATCCAGACATTTAAAAAGGCGGTGGGCAATGCGGGGCCCGGGGGGCTCCCTCTAGAAAATTGTCGAAATTTTACAGCATCTACCATACAGTTTGAGTCAATTATGTCATGAGTAAATACCAAATGGACGTATATTTTTGTCAAACGGAACTATGTGCATTTTGACGTGAGCCCTGTCATGCAAGTATTCTTATGGGTCTTGGGCTCATGTCTGAATGCACATACTTCCGTTTGATAGAAATACGTCCAAACGCGCCCTACCTTCTTTTTTCCTTCGTTTCTTCCTCTCTCCCCTTTTTGTACCGGCTTATATACAGGCGAACTGAGTGGAGGGGGGGGGGTTGATTGAGTCGCTTGAAGTTCGCCTATGGGTGGATTTTTTCAGAAATGAAATTTTATAAAATTTCCTCAAGAAAATATTAGCACTGAAAAGTTGGCGCTCTGCCCTTTCCAGATGGCGCCTTGATCCACTGAGTTTATATTAACCGCAAATCAAATATTGGTTTTCTTGAAACTCGGAAAGCTTTAAAAATATCTACACTTGCCTGTCATTGTCTTCCACTCTGGCGGCTTCGAGCTCCTCTGTCTTCTTTTCGAGCTCGGCCTTCAACTGTTTGACCTCTCTCATTGCTTCAGCTAATCTCAGCTCTGCCTCTTTCTTCTTCTGCCTCTCTTCAGAGAGCTCCTTTGACTGGTCAATATTTGCCTTGCTGAGTTTCTCGTTTTCACGGCTCACTTGAAGTAGGTTCTTTTCCCTGATTTTGAACACCGCTGAGGACATGGAGGAGATCTGACCGGTCGTGCGCAGCTGCGAAACCTCATTCTCCAGAGTAATCAGTCTCTCCTCCTTGGATTTCAGCTTCTCGGCCAACTCGGCCTTTTCTATCTGTGAGGACAAAAATTCTATTTTATTAGAACATGTTAATTTCCTTCTCTATCATTAATTTATGTTACCTATCTCCCCCTTTCCGTTCTTTTCTCCTCTCTCTTACGCCCTCTCTTCCCTCCTCCTTCTTCCCCGTCTCGCTCCCTCTCGCCCCCTCTTCCTTTCTTTCTCCTCATCTCTTGAGATTTGAGCATTTAATAATAGGGTTTTGTAGCTTTACTTGTGCTAACTGACCGCTCAGCGGCCCAATTATTGAAACTATGTCGATACAATACGACAAGACATAGCCCTATCTTGTCCATGCAATATATTACAATTCGATGTCGTATCGGGCTGCTTATTCAAGCTTTCAATAATCGGCCCGTAGGTAATAGAGACACCATCTCCGCAATTTCCGCAAGATCATAAGCAATTTATCCATCAACATACTAAATACCATTTCTATGACATCAGATTAAACTACATTCCAAACAGTGAGGGCACATGCTATTTACCTTTAAAGCTTTGACCCTTTTCAGTGCCTCTTTGTTCGTGGTGTGCGCTTTCTCAAACTTTTTTTTGAGAAGCTTTGCCACAGTGTAAGCTTTCTTCTTCGACTGGATCAAAGACTTGACTTCCTGCTGATTCAAGGAGACGCCAATCTTCAGCCCCTCCACACAGTTTTCCATCAAGAGTCGCTTCTCTTTCTCTTTCAACAACCTCTGAAAAACGGTAACCAACGTATACGGTAAAAAATCGATAGAATGTTCATTCGCACTAGAAATACTTTATATAAATTCACAAACTTAAACGTTCCATATTATTAGTTTTAAGCTTATGCGTTACCTTTTTGATTAACTAATAGACAGAGAGAATGAACACCAGTCTTAAAAAGTTTGCTGTAGCTAAAATCCGTCTTGTTGGCATTTTTCCTTACAAATAGTCGACGTAAAACAGTAAAAATATATTTTTTCGAATATACACGTGTCTAATCAATTTTACTCGTAATTTTACGAAAAATGTCAACCTACTCCGCCATGATTGTCTAAGCTCAGGATTGAGTAGGCCTTTAAAATAATCAGTCTCTATATGCTTCAACGAGAAAATATCAATGGAGTAACTGGGAACCCCTTCATTTTGGAGCTATGCAACCTCTGTTGTTTGGAGGTCAAATAGCAGAGGTAGGCAGAAGGTAGATGCAAGAATACGATGAAAGCAGAAGAGTCGTGTGTGTTACTGCTATGAGACTGAAGAGTAAAATCTAAAAGATATCAACAAAATACTTCTTGGTTAACTTACCGCCAAAATTGCATCTATTTCAGAGCCATCTGACGGATCGGGAAGATAACAAGAGTGAGAAAAAGACTTGCTTCTTACACTCCCTGTTTGACTTCCAGATGTCACGAGGGGGCAAGGTGGCAGCATTTCCTTGACCTTCAGAAACAATAATTTTGAATTTTGAATATGCACTGAAGTATATCTAAAAATTTCACGCCAGAAGCATGACTATAACCTATTTTATTAGACCTATTTTTTATTGACCTGTATTTTTATTTTCTAGAAATAAACATATGTATACTTTAACTTACGACACCGCGCTGAGATACATTTCATAAGTATGACGAGGTAACCTGAAAGAAGTGGGAAATTGTAGCGGTGCTGGAGAGAATTCTTTATCTTACAAAAACAATAACCATACGCTTTCGTGAGCTCATGTCAATGATGGAGTGACAGCTATAGGGGCTTAATTGCGTCGTAGCGTTTCTAAGTTTCAGCTGGCACCTGGCAACTTAATTTTGAACCCATCAACGAATAACTGTTCCGCCTCCAAAATTTCAGGAAATGTTTGTCAAAGTCAGGAGAAAATTCACACAAAACTTTAAAAGAAAATTTACAACTGGCCTCTTGAAAGTTCAAATAGAACTTACAAACATGCATTAAGTTAAACCCCTCCAACCTCCAACTGCCACCCCTTCAAACTCATACCTGTCTTTTTCAGGGATTTTATTCTTGCGCTTAGGAGAATGGAAAGGTTAAGATCGGGAGTGCGGCGTTGTGATATATTGTTGATATCAATTTTTGGTTACGATAATCATTATCAAAAGTACCCACAATCATCAAAAGAATCATAAAACGCCATCGAAAGCAGTCCCTTGAAATTTATTTCAACCACTTACCATAAAATTTACTTCAACCACTTACCATACTAGAAGTGCTTTTCGATGTTGTGATTTTTTCGCCGGCATTTTTTCTTTCATGTATTCTCCTCTTAGGATATGAGAGTCGCGCGGTGTCATCTTTTTTTCTCTTTTGATTTCCTTCACTGAGCACACCGGAGGAGGATAGAGGACACTTTACTGTCACAGAATTGTTATGAGAAGATTAGGGCAGATAAACCTAACAATAGTCTGATTGGCACTTTAACAGAACCAGATAATTTGACTAAATTTAACGTTCCCTCTCAACTATAACTTATATTCTAAAATTTGAACAATTTTTTCAAGTGTCAACATGATTAATCACCTTAAATACAATTTTTAGCCTTTTATTTTCAGATAAGTACCGAGTATTTTTATTTCTTTGGATCCAAACAGTGTGTTGTCTATATAGCAATGACAGCTGAAACTGGAAGCTAGTAGGCCAAAAAATCGGGAGCTTACTAATATCTTTTTTCAACATCTATATTGACTCAAAATTAAAAACGCACATTATTATTTTTCCAAAAATATATACATCAATCAACAGGATAAGACAATATTTTGTGTAGTAATCTCTCTCTTTATCGGGAACTCAAGGGACCGGATGATTTCTTCGCTATACAGAGATTCTCGTTATAAAGAAAGTCGATCAGAGAAAGACGAACTAACTCCGACATCAATGAATCAAAAGATTAAGGTACCCTCCAGGGGTGCAAAATCTGTAGTAGATCCCTCGTGATCCTAAGCTTGCTGGCTCTCGGTATGCACTGAGCATTGGTCGGAAATAGTGCGCCTTGGTAGGTTCGGCACCGAGAATTGACAAATTACGAATCTTCAATGACTAAAGCAGGCACCGTAGTGAACGCGCAATGCGTGAAGTATTTCTACAGCCTTGTTGGCGCTAATATGTGTTAGGCGCAATGCGGGCAGTATTCCCTCAGTCTTGTAGGCGCCAATATGCGCTCCGCGCCGACTGGACTGAATTCGGCGCGATTAGTTGAACTCGTATGGTCAGCGTTTCCAACTGGTTACTACCTTATTAAGTTTTTGCACACACTGCATGGATTACTCTCATTTAACTTGATTAATTTTTTCCTTTTTTAAATTTTACGTATTAACGATAACTTACATACACTGCCTGATACTGGTTTCTCCGTAAGCTGTGATCTGTTCTTCAAATTAGCTTTCAGGCTCGAGAGGCCTTGCAGGAACAGTGTACCATTTCCACCTCTGGCATCGCCCCGACTATTTTCGGTTCTTACATCTAAGTCCCTCTCATCCTGCCTCAGTGCGGGCTTTTGTGAAGAGGTCTTGCGCAGGAGTGACGGTGGTATCTGCTGGACGAATTGTTCCTAAAAAAATGGGAATTTTTTCGGATAGTTACACTTTTGTTGAACAACTCACTCATTCGGTAGCGTCGATGACAGAAGTTTTTTCGTTTGTTTTTTTTCCAGTGTATACACGGTACTTGGTTATCGTTTTTTATAATTATTACTCAGTTTGATTATCATTTAATTTAACGTCAATACTTGGACAGCGGACTTGGACTTCCTAAAGGGGGAAAGCGGGAGAGCCGGCAAGCTGGTCTAGTGGTCAGCGCGTCTGACTATAGGACTATAAACCCCGGATTCGAATCCTGGTAGTGGCGTCTTTTCACGGAGCTGATGAGTGGATCTGCAGAAACAGATTCCAATCGGCCTTTATCCCTGATATATTTGAAAAGCCTGGAGCATGACGGGTGTGCCAAAAATCCCTCTGATGTTAACGGACGGTAAATCTTTATGATAAACACGCATCTATAGATGGCTGTGTATTCCCAATCTACTAAATAAAAATGAATAAATGCCAAATAAATCGCAAAGGGGGACATTCAGTATCACATTGTAATTAGAGGAAAATTAAGGAAACGCATAGCAATTTATCAGATAAAGGACAACTGAATGGGTCACTCAAAGGAAATTTGAATGATTTGCCAATGGAGACATTGAAGAATACCACACTGAAAATAAGAAAAATGCAGCTGTAAAAGCCATACTTACGGGCTCCTTACATAGACATACCGTCCGTTCCAGGCTCAGAGGCCGAAAGTTCCAGGTGCAGCACATCTTGCTTCGCCCACAGCCCAGAACAGTCGACAGCTCCATTACCCGGAACTTTCAGCTTCTGAGCCCGAAATGACTATACAGCTCGTAACTTGTTTTCAGCTCATATTATTACGGTCTCTCCAACTTTTAAGGTGGGTCCACAGTTGCATTCAATTTTTTCAAAATACATCATTAAATTTTCGTTGTGGTACAATTTTTGGTTTATGCAACGGAAAAATATTGCTGTCCCGTATAAAAAACTATTCATGAGGTAGAGCAGTCAAATTTTACCATATTTTCATCAATAATATATCTGCTAACTGACGGAATTTTTACCTCCCTCAACCTCCGTTGATGAAAATATTAAACTGAATGGATCTCCGAGGAAGGGACTGTCAAAGGAATACCTTCTTATGTCTAATAATGATTTGATCTTAGTCATGGAATTTTTCTGAACGTTTATCCAAGAGGAGTACACTTACCAAGCTCGTAATACGTTTGTTTCTGTAGGTTGCATTGGAGCGACTTTTCAACGGAGTGTCCTCAAAATTCAATCGATCCCCCCTCATCTTCGCTTGTCCCTTGGGATCCAAACCTCCGGCATCGTTTGCATTCGACTCACCTTCCTGACAACTAATTTGCTTGGAATTTCATATTCTATCAATATTCTGTCAATACGAATCAGAGTAAAGGTGAATTAATACATCTCCAATATTTGACCCAAAAAAATCAAAATGTAGAGAATTATTATTTATCATTAATCGTGTACAGCTTTATAATGCACGCGCAACTGAATGATGCTGCGATAATAATAATTAAAATGCGAGAGGAATAATGCTGATCGAAATTATGCGGCGGATCCTCTGTAGCTTCGTTAAATATGAAACTCTTCTACCTTTTACATTTGAGACGAGAAATGTTACTTCGTTTTCTATTTCTTTCTTTCTTTGAGAAATCCATTATTCTCTAGCAGATACTTTTCAAGCCTTAACGAGGAGGATTGAGTTTGTTACTTGTTACTTTAAATATATGGAATATTTTCTTATTAAGTGTATGTAAGTTCTAGATTTCCCGTTTTGATCTTAAGCTTTGAACAAATATAAAACTTCAAAATCACTAAGTTCATCTCATTGCATTAGTAAACCTAAAAAAATAAATAAAAAGTAAGAAGCTACTTTGATGATGTTTGAGAGATATATAAATTACATAAGACTTTTACTCACATGATGATTGCGCTGCTTCACTGTAAGGTTATGTCTACGGGAACAACTTTGAGATCGAATGGAAAAATTCTCGCACGGAACAGTTGTACATTAATACACTTAACACGCCATAATTTAACAGATTTTACAAACTTAAATGTATTGGTGGGTAACAAAACAATTTTTCAAGGATAATTATTCAAGACGAAAATTACTCATTTTGAGAAAAATTTAATGAAACAAAAACATAGCCTCACATTTTTCAGAGCGAGCATCCACGCGGAGGGGAAATCATATGTTGAAAGAAAAAACATTCAAAGTCACCTGCTCATGAATGAAAACGGTTGGTAAGTTGGTGAGGAGTTCTGCCTTGTTAAGTAAAAATGCAGTATGAGCATTCGGATGTTGCCAAATTTCCTCTCTGAAAAAATTTATTTTTGTTGAAAGCTATGAATATATGTATTTTCCTTGAAATTTTCAAACTTTTTTAATGGTAATTACGAACGAAATCCTCCCAGTAATTGGAAGACAACTTTTCTCAAATTTTCCTCAAAACTCATAACGTATCATTAATGGCATCTTTCAAAAGCACGAAGTTCCCTCGCAAAATAAATCGAGAGACGACGGCAAAAAGGGAGCAGTCGTCGAAAAACTTACTAAGTCCTAGTATCCGTGTTGCGGGGGCTGAAAGCGGGCCGGACCGGAGGAGCAAGTCAAGTTTTGACTAGTGCTTCGGAAGGGGATGGCCGGCCGCGTCCCTCGCTACTAGTAGGGAGGGGCGCTGCGAAGTCTGGGTCCCATGGGTGGAGTGGGTAGGACTTGGAGTGTCGGCGTATAACAGGACTCCTTGGAGTCCTGGCCGAGTGCCACCTGGAATCCCCCACACACTCACGGGAGGTAACCTTTCCGCTTCAGAGGTCCCAGTGCTGACGGACCCCTAGGGGTACGGATTCCCATCCTTAGAGCTGCTGGGAGGTTTAAATCCCTCCTGGCGGGGGTTAGGTACTCCGGAGGCATCGGGGTACTCCTATGAGGATGGGGGCCCGGCTGGACATTGTTGCGGGGGGCCCTCTCGCCTGACGAGGTAATGACCGCAGGTTGACCGTTGGGTGGGAATTAAACTCGGACAAAAGGAGATGCGTAGTGCGGATGCATCTCAAGGGGAGTGTTGTTAGTGTTTGGCGGGCCCACCGTCATAGGCCAAACCCACATAACCATTCACACTCCCAGGCCGAGGTCTCCGGGCAGCGGTGCCCGGGACGTTACACTCGGTCTGGGCCGCGATTGGTATCTGGTCTCCCGGGAGCGGGTCTGGAAAACCCCCCCCGGGGCCCGCCGGATCTGGGGGCACTGGATCCACGGATCTGGTTCCCCCTCAATCCAGTGCGGGAGAAAGCAGATTTTCACTTCCGTTTAAACAAAAAAAAAAAAAAAAAAAAAAAAAAAAAAAAAAAAAAAAAAAAAAAAAGTATCCGTGTTCAAACGATTGACGATGATTTTTGAACTTCATCAGAGGAAAAATCAGAAATCTGCTCAAATTTACCGCCGAGCAGATTTTCTTATGAATCAACACAGAAAATAATGCTTGTTTCATGAAGTCAAGATGCTTATATAAAAAGAAAAGTCACTTACATCAAGCAGAAACCGGCTTTCATTCAGCTATCTTATTCTTTGGTTCAAAATAAAATCTTCTTGACGGCACACAACGATTCACAGACTTTTAACGGCACTTTATTCGAAAATGCAGTGTACCAATTTAAAAGTTAGGAGCTAGGACATGGTGAGTTCTTGGACACCGCTCTCTTTTTGTGCTACCGTAGATTGATTTATTTTGCGAGGAAAGCTCCGTGCTCTTAAAGGATGCCTGTCATTCAAAATATGTTAGAGCGGCTTCAATTTCGTATGATACTGTGCAACACCTCTGTTGTGGAACAGTTGCCTGATGCGCCGCGCCGCGGCGCATCGTGGCGGGTCAGGACGACCGGCGCGACACGCGCATAGGCGCCTTCAAACCTAACAGGGATACTTCACGCATGGCGCAATGCGTGAAGTATCCCCGTTAGGTTTGTAGGCGCCAATGCTCGTTTTGCGCTGGCAGCGCGCTGCTCCGCTCTGTGTTAGGCTCTAATATTTAAACTCGCTGAATCAGTGTTTTTCCATTTATGATTTTGAAATGTTTGCACACTGCATGGATTATTCTCATTTAAATTGATGGGGGAAAAATATGTATTGATGGAAAATATAATAATAATTTAAGTATTAATATAATAAAATATAAATATTAAAGAGGTTCCGCGTCAAATTTAATGATTTCCAAAGCACTTGAATTTTTCTTTTATATTTGGTGTTTTTACTGTGTTGTAGCGTGGTGTACGCGCAACCAAACGCTTAAAATTGGACGTGTTTGACTCTAAAAGATCGATGCACAAATGGGTCAAAACCAGGGATTGCGTGCTTCTTGATTTTTTCTCCTCTACTCATTTTTGTAAAGTTTCTTTCAACACATAACTACGGCTCATTGAGATTAATATCGATGCCATCGCTTGAAAAAGGTTTTACAAATATTTGCCTCGTTTAAAAAATGTAATTTTTTTTTAAAATGAAGTCATATTTTCATTAAAAAAAGCATATAAAAGGTATATTTTAAATAGAAAATTTTAAGGTTATAATTAAAACAAAATATTCACCGATGATAATAAGAAAAGATGAGTCAAAAGAAGAAAGTAACATTTCATTTGAACATTGAGTTACCACGACACCACACCCACTCTCAATTTTCTCATTTCGATATTGTCAATATAATTTTACGTACGGACTATACTATATAGCTCGGACCAAGTCACTGTTGCTTATTTTACGCGTCGACGTGAAGTCGTAAACAAGTGGAAAAAACAAGCGCGCGGACGAAAAATCGTTGACGGACTGTCCTGAAACTATCCCTCCAGGTAAACGCTGGAGAGGGCGTCCAGCGAGACGGTGGATAGAGGGCATCCGTCAAGAGAAGGAAAGATGACAGCTTCCGGAGGATCTCTACCATGACACATTCCTGTGGCGAGTAGGCGTCGCAGAGCGCCCTAGCGCGCCATAAAAGCGACTTATACACATATTTGCTATTTTCAGTTCTCACAAGCCTCATCGAAGTCGGTGATAATGACAGGTTCTAGAGCCTCCGAAATCTCTTTGAGGTCGCACATTCCGTCTTTTGATGAAAGCGGAGTACGTTGACAGCTTCCTATTTTCAATACCTCCAAATTTTCATTTAAATCCCCATTTTTGTACAAGATCTGCAATCGTCAGAAAGATATGGCGTTGAGCAATTCGCAAGACAAATATTTTACAAATACGTAGAGGACACGTAGGTGACCTGAACTTCGAGAAAAGATGAGGTCCAGATTGGTTAGTTCTAATGAGTTCACAGAATTTATGTTTGAAAAGTCCTGTCCTTCCAGCGGGTTGATTATTGAAATTGATAGGCAAATCTATAGGCAACAAAAGCGAAGCGAAAATGGAACTATCCTGTTGATGGAAGTGGGTGGTTTCAATGGGCAATTAAGTGGAATTAAGTTGGAATAAGTGCAGTTTTTGATATTTCAGGAAAAACGTGTTGAAAGCTTCAAAACTACATTACCCAGAAAGAAAGTTCAAACGCGCTTTTTGATGCTTAAAAATGGGATTTTAGGGGTGATTTTTTCTTGGAATATATTTAAGGACTAGTTTTAGTTTAAATCATTAATATTTCAATTTTTTTCAAAAACTGGACTTATCTCTTTTGTCCTCCGAGCCCTACAAATGAGGTAAGTATTACCTATAGACTAGGTAAGTAACAGCAACCTACGATGGACCCTTTCGTCATACCATCATTTTTTCCCCTGCACTATAAAAACATCAGTTTTAACCAATAACATTGCTTTATTTCCGCTTTGTCTTTTTTGTCTATTGCTTTCTCTATCAATTTCAATTATCAGCTCACAGAGGCCGCATGGGCTTTTAGATAATTCTTACGTTTTTCAGTGATGGCTTTTACCAAATTTGAATTATAAAATGTCAATAGCAACTCAAAATTGTACTGTATCACCAGTATTTAAAAGCCACGCAATAAAAACTGGGACTAGACAATTGGACGTATTTCTGTCAAACGGAACTATGTGCATTAAGACATGAGCCCTAAGACCCATAAGAATATGTGCATAACAGGGCTCACGTCATAATGCACATTGTTACGTTTGATAGGAATGCGTCCAATTTTCTGTGAGTTTACAGAGCAAAATGCACGAAACTGTCAGCACTATATATAGATCGACTGCTGTGACGGTGCTTGCCTTTAACTGCGCATGTAGGTTATAAACCACCAAACTTTAGTTAAAGTAATAAGCATGCTTTGCATTATACAATATTAGTTCTTACGCTTCGTATAGACAGTGTGCGTATAAAAGTCATTAAACTTACTTTGACTCGGTATTCAGAGTCGATTTCGTGCAGTTCAATGATCAACGCAGCCCCACATGGTGGAACTCCGGAGATCCTTTTTGTTATATTCATTCCTTGCCAAAGATTCAGCATCACCCGATCAGATGCCGAGTATACGTTCATACGACGCTCGAAGGTACGGAAGTTGCCGAGTTGGCTCCCGTCCATTTTTAGGTGGGTCGAGTTGGCTCCCGTTTGAAAAAGGGGGTCCCCTCCCCTATGGGTCGAGTTGGCTCCCGTTTGAAAATTGGTCTTTTTTTGGTGGGTCGAGTTAGCGTGCGTTTATTTACGCTTAACGAGAGGTGCGCGTTCTTCACTTCATTGAGGGGGAAGATAACAGACTCGATGCCGCACTATGGTCCCAATCCGCTCTGAAGCATTATTTCGACATTTTTAAAATACAAATGAATTTTAGATCTATTTCATTTTTTCAGTTTAGTTATCCTTAAAAAAAAAAAAATACGCGGTTGCCGTTTTCACCTTGCGCAGTCGTGGTGGCGTCGCATTCAAAGTTTAGGTTTAACCATTGAATTTAAAAATAAGGATTCTATCGTCGGCAGAATCTTACGCCTATTTTTCGGACTGCCTCTACTTCCGCCCGATGAGGCTCGAGATTTCTTTGTGGAGGAACTAATGGCCATTAAGCCTTCAGATGAGCCGAAACTCGACGCATTCTTTGATTACGTATTAGATAATTACATATCTGAAAATGCCCCTTTTCCTCCGGAGATGTGGGCAAAGTTTTGTATTGACGAGGACACGACAACCAATTGTTGCGAATCATTTCACGGCAAGTTAAATAAAGAAATCCCAGGGTCACATCCCAACATATTTTGCTGTTGTAAAATTCTAATCAATATGCAGATTGATACATATGCGAAACTTAAGTCATGCAATATGAGAAAACCAAGTAAGAAAAATGGATTGAAACGGGAGTACATTGAGCGTTGTATGTTGAAATTAAAAACCTACGAATACTCACGGTTCGAATTTGTGAAACGAGTCTCTTTTAAATTCCTGCCTTCCCGATTATAAGTATCCTACTCCATGGCCATGTTCCAATGACAAGTCCTGCTAATTGGCCGTAGCAGGTGAAAATTAATAACCTGTTTTTAATCATTTCCATTCCCTACATTTTAATACCCATTGTCCGGAGAGAGACGATATAAACAAACAAAATAAAATTTAAAAAAAAAACTTTTTAAACACGCCCTTTGAGTACGCTACACTCTTTGGCCAGTCCTAAGCCTGGATTAAGTGTGAAGGGAAGGTTTTTTTTTTTTTTAATTTTATACTTTTTTCCATCGAAAAAATTCCAAGTTTTTTCTCCATTGAAAATAATCAGTTGCTTTTCAAAGTGACAACGTCCAGTGCCGAATACCTAATCATTGTTTGGGCGTGAGTGTTACTGCTGATAACTGATTTCTCCTCAGCACTCTTAATTTCTCAGACTTATCTCATGCATTTCGCACCTAGTGTCCGCCGCTTTACGCGCGGCGCGTCGCACACGCCACTCATTTCAAACGGGAGCCAACTCGACCCTTAGGGGAGGGGACCCTTTTTCTAACGGGAGCCAACTCGACCCTTAGGGGAGGGGACCCTTTTTCAAACGGGAGCCGATTCGGACGTTTGGGAGCCAACTCGGGTACGTCCGAAGGTACTCGAGTCGTTTGCTTTTTGTTTCATGTTTGATAGGATCTCATTTATAAAAACCCCTGCAAAGCATATTAAGAGTAAACAATCAAAAAGGCTGTCCCACATAAAATCGATTCTTCACGATGGATTCGATAGGAAGAAAAGTATGCATTGATGCTAACTTGCAAGACTTTTCACTGTAGGTATCTGACAGCGCAAACAGATATAGGGATTTCACAGAAAGGGCCATTTTATAGTGACGTTAAGAGCGCATCCTTATCAAAATGTCACTTAAAATATCTACGGAAAACGCATCAAGATTATCTAAAATTATCCCCTGAACAAAACGCTTAAAATATTATCTAGTTTGACCTCCACAAGTGGCAAAACTTTATCTTTACGGCGTTCTTGCCAAAGCAACCGTACTGTTTTATGTTGAGCATCGATTAAAAAAATCGATGTCTGCAGTGGCGAGGCGTGACAATTGACTATCGATATTATCCCATTTAAAGGTATGGTAAACAATAGATTAAAAAATTAAACACTAAACCACACTTCTCCACCTTGGTAAACAATAGATTATTATGGTGTTCGTTGCGAACGCCCTGAAAATCGACTTTTTTTCACAGGTTCAAATGGTAGATCAATCGATACATCGCAAAGCGCGCGTCGCCCCTGCTTGTGCTACCTCTGATTTTTAACACGGTTTATAATTTGTATATGTATTACAGGAGGTAAAAAAATGATTGAACTAACGCCAATTATTTGCCGAAAGCTTATTGTAAACCCGGAGCAGACAACGGAGCCCTTTGACATTTACGTTGATTTTGGTTATTCCTGAGCTGGAGCTAAAGGTTAAGCTATAGAACTATAAGCTAACTGATCAGTTCACGCAAATTACAGACGCTAGTTTCTCAGCTGTCAATGACTTTTAAATTTTGACCCAAAAATATGTCTTACGGTGGTTTACTCTCGTATACCATTCTTAAACAACATACCGTGATTGAGTTTTTACCTGATTCTAGCTTAATCATGGTCGGTGTGCGAAACTCTGTAAAAAATGACCCCGCGATAGAATTCAACTTTTCCCGAACGATTTCATCAGCCCAGTCAGGTAATGGTAATTGAAGCGTTTCCTAGTCAAAAGCAAATGAATAAGTGAACAGTTAAAAAAAAAAAAAAAAAATTTAGCCAAACAATGTAAAACGGATTACTATTCACCCATGAGATGCAGTCTATTTGAACCGAGGAGAACTGGATTTCATTTTTCGATAGGGAACTAGTATTTCTGACTCATTGTAGAAACAACGTAAGTGTCATGAGTCATCCTCTGTAGATAGATGCTTCTATTAAATGAGCCAGATTCTTCATTGCAAATTGTGGCCCAACTGTAATCCTTAATTCGTGATACTTCGACATTCGAAATAGATTGGGTGGATAGAATAGATAGGTGGGGTCCCGATATGACAGAGACACCCCGGACTAATGTAATTATCAATAATTTTTTTTTGTAATTTTGAGTATAAAACGATAATATTGAACTTACCATGGCCTGAAGATTATCTTGGATGGCATACATCCCTGCGTAATCCACTATTTCTTGACCGACTTTTTGTGAAAGGTCCTTGAGAAAAGTTTCGTAGTATTCAAAGATGTGCCTAAGAACTCGTTCGATCCGCTTCTTCCTCTCTTTCGATAATAGAATGCATTTTTTGTATACTCGTAGTATCTGAGAATAGTATGTATAATACAAAGTTAGTTGTCATCACTAGCAACAAAAAACAAAAATACATATTAATATTGTTACATGAACGGCTAACGGTTTAACCAAAGGATGGCTCAGTCAATTTTTCTACGATAAAGCATTCTATTACGGGGATCTTTAATATTCTGTAAGGCATGCCATCGATTCCTGAAGACGAGGTGTCGACAATGGCCATTTTTGGCCCACCCTAAATTTTTGTGAACTCCATGATTTATTCCTCATTAAAGTCCTATATCTTACAGAATACATCATGATTTGATATTTTAGTCATTCCCGGTCTTTGTTTGGGTCTAATACTAGCCTTAAACATGGGTTCAGGTGCCGATTTTGGCGACACTTCGCGACATTCAACCGCAAACCCTACATTTTTCCCCTCCTCCCTAGTCAGTTACTTGATAGGCACCCCGTGGCCTTCCTCTCCATCTCCAGAATTCTAGCGTTATTTATAGATGGCCCCTCCTCATGAATTGTAAAATAAAGGCTCTGCCATACATACGTCATCGCACGACGTAGGGATAGTGTGTACTGGAATTGGCTGCCACGGAATGTCTGGATTCCAAACTTGGATTCCAACGGGAGGGTAGAGTCCAGCCAATACGAGTTGAGCGCTCATTATGCATCGGTCTATCTCGGCTGAGACCATAGAGATCTCTCTTGCTTTGTAAGTAGATGAAACAAATCCGTCATATCGGTGTCGGAGAAATCGCCCTAGTTCGTACATGGTCTCTTTCCCTTTCTGTAACGAACGCCAGGTAAATTATCAGAACATGAAAGGTTGCAGGGAATTTTAGAAATATAAGGTCCTGATTTAATCAAAAAACAATAAAAAATATCAATCAAGCCTACCAAAAATCATAGTAAATCAGAGGTAAAAGGGGGTATCAAAGGTATCAAAAGTGAATGGATTTAGGGTTCCCAAGTGAATTGATTAAGTATTTTCTAAGTTAATGAAAGAATATTGTTGTAGGTGAACTCTTTCTGTAAGATCGCACATTAATTATCTCACGTTTATGCCTCTCCTAGCCATCATCGATGAAGGAAATTTTTAATTTAAGAAGTCGACTAAGAAAACGGCCCCAGACCTATCTTCACGTTATGTCATAACTATTAAATTTTTTTGAACTCGTTAAACTGAAGAGTATGTAAAATACCTTTTGTGTATAAGTACCTGTAACAAAGCTCCTAGCCCCTCTGGCCAAGATGGTGCTTCCTCGTGAGGATCGAAGGAAAAAGGTATCAAGGGGGCTCTTTCTCCGTGACGATGAATCTGTTTTGTAAATTTAAATGACACTTTAGATTTATCATATTATTGGTCAGAGAAAGAAGAAAAAGAAAAAATGATTAATTGCGCGAAGCGAGCTCTTATTATGCCTCGTGTAATTCTATCTCCTTTTTTCAATTTTTCAAAGAAAAATGCTGCAATCGCAGAAACCTTGATTCGCACTTAATTTTAGCAAATTTGGTGATCGTACAACCTTTTTGACACGGAGTAGGATTTGGTGAAATTGGACGCATCTATGCTAAGAGGAACTAGAGACGTGTGGGAAAGATGGGGTGCGCTCGTGCAAGCTGCACGAGAAACAATGTAATAGTGGGTTTTGACATTAAATCAAAAGGAACTGAGCACCAAAATATGGTAACTCATGAGCCATGGGCATGTGACAAAGAGCGTTGTAGACAAAGCTCATGCTGCCGTGCTAAGGAAGAACGCAGTATGAACATTCAGGAGTTTCCAAATTTCCTCGGATAAAACATGTATCTTTGAGGAAAATTTTACGTATTTTTCTTTAATTTTCAGATATATTAGGTAGATTAAATTGTGAACAATCTCTGAAAAATTTGAGGAAACGTACTCATAATTTTTCCTGTATATTCGTTATTTATTGAGGCAAATTTGGCAACGTCTATAAAGGCTTAAACAGTGTTTTTCCTTCGCAAAGCAGCACGAGTTAAAGAACGTTTCCGTCCCGCATGGTCTCCGTCGTCAACGCTGACGTCACTGGCGCTTTATAATTCCCATTCATTATTACAGCCCTCAGCTAACGAGCACACTCCTTCTTTTGCACCAGTCTTTCGTTCTTTTTAGCATAAATACATCCTGTTGATAAAATGAGGCTGCGCCAGCTCAAGGAATATTACTAAAATGGGTATCTTTCCGAACAATTTCCTTGGAGGAGAAAATTGCCAGGCATATTGTTCGTGTGTTCACATTCCTCATTACAAAATAATCAGTCGAAAATCATCTGAGTAAAGGATGCTTGTGAAAAACAAAAGAGAAAACCTTAGATGAAGGCTGTATACATACCCGACGAGATTGGTCGTCATATACTTGCCTTTAAACCCCAAGTTCATGATATCTAGGAAGAAAATCCACGACATCAAAGCAAAAAACCGCCCGGTAAAAAGTCTTAAATTCAGCCATTGATGCTACCTAAATGTATTTGTAACCGAGATAAGAAGATATTCAACTTTTGATTATGGGATGGATTTAATGAGGGGCCTACGATCACCATTTTCACTTCACTTCACTTTTATTTCATCTCTATTGTATTTTTAATCATTGATGTAGAGTTAATTCTTATTCTTCCATTTATACTTTGCATCAAATTATTTAATATTATATGTATAAATGCGAATGAGGCGTGCAAAGAGACACAACGCTAAGGGACGGAGGAGAGAATACAGGTTATCACAACCATAAACCTACCATAGCAGTCTTCAAAAATAATTTTTTGCCTCCAAAAAAATCCGCATAAATGAGTTGCGGAGACTTCGATAAATATGAAATTGATGGCGCTCATAGCGACTAAAGTTCCCATAACGATTCCACAGATTCAGTGGTGTGGCGTGCTTTGCGATTTATCGATTAATCTGCCATTTAAATCTATGGAAGAGGATCGATACACAAGGTGTTCGCAACGAAAACCTTAATAATCGATTCTTCAGCACAGCTTCCCTGGTAAAAATTGGCAGTAGAATCTGTGTTCCAAAATACCATGGACCCACAGCCAGCTGTAAGATTTCCAGTAGCTTCTATAGCTGGCAACACAATTTCTTACAGCCTTTTATAGCCGGTGGCGAGTAAGCAACAGCCTGGCCATGAAGTGTATGCTAAACGTTACTAATTACGGATGCTAGGACTTAGTGAGTTTTTGGACTACCGCTCTCTTTTTGGGCCGTAGTATCTTGATTTATTTTGCGAGGAAAGCTCCGTAGGTACTTTTGAAGGATGCCTGCCATTCCTAATATGTTGGAGCGCCTTCAATTTCGTATGATACGGTGCAATAGCTCTGGTGTGAAATAGTTGCTTCAAGCGCCGTGGCACGCTGCGGCACGGCGGGCGGGCAGCCAGCGTAAAACGCGCATTGGCGCCTACAAACCTAACAGGGCTACTTCACGCATTGCGCAATGCGTGAAGTATCCCTGTTAGGTTTGTAGGCGCCAGTGCGCCGCCGCTCCGCTTTGTGTTAGGCTCTAATATTTAATCTCGTGGAGTCAGCGTTTTTCAACTCATGACTTTGAAATGTTTCCACACTCTGTATGGATTATTCTCATTTTAATTGATGAAAAAAATATGTAGTAAAGGAAAATATAATGTGCGTTTTGTAAATATTAAGGTGATTCCGTACAAACTTAAGGATTTACAAAGCACACGAATTTCTACACAATTTCTTATAGCCTTTTATAGCCGATGGAGAAAAAGCAACAGCCAGGCGATAAAGTGTAAAACCCGGCGATACGAACTATAGCCCGGCTGTATAATTTTTTATCGCTTCGTGTAGCCCGGCAGTATGATTTTTTTCCTTTTTCTACAGCCAGCTTTATGATTTTTTATCGCCTTCGTCAGTCGGCTAAAAGAACTCCTATGGTATTTTGAAACGCAGCTCCTATCGCCAATTTTTCCTAGGGTTCAAATGGGGGAATATCGATAATCGATCATTCACGCCTTGCCACTGATGTCATTGCAAATACAGGTACTTACGATGCTCACAAACCGAAGAGTTGGCTCAGCTTTTGGAGTACTCTTGAGTAAGAATAGCCCCACACCGGCGGTCACGATGGAAGCCATCAGAACTAAGGCAACAAAGGCGCACCGGGGATTGCTACGTTTGCCAAAGAATAATACTTTGAGGACACCCATTTTGTCTCGATTGGGCGGAAAGAATTTCAATTCAAAACGTGATATTTTTTTCCTTTTTTTTCATTAAAATAGAAATATTCCCCAGATAAGTCTAGGTTATCAATTCAAATTTTTCGCGTGATAAATCAGTAGATTTTCGTACGACAGTATCTAGATAAGTTTGCTCATTCTAACCATTTTCAAGGCAAATACTAAATCAGCAGGCACTACCTTTAGTGCCTATTTGTTTTCAATCAGAGAAACAAAATAGATCATGAGACGTGTCCATTTAAAATTTCTGGGATAACTAGTTGTTTTTTACGAGTGCTGTTTTTCTCAGTTCGGCAAAATTTTACCCACAGATCTGACTGCTCCTCTAAAATTTTCAAATTCTTCTCGTACAAAACAAGAACAAGCATGAAAAAAGGAAAAGTACGCATTTGAATGACTAAAAAATCAAGAAAGAAGAAGAAACACCAGACAAGAACAGGAACAATACTCGATAGTCAGTACGGAATCGTGTGCGATCAGGAATACCTAAGTCTATATAGACATATATTTATGCAGAAACTCGCGGCACTGTTTGAGTATGATGTGACGAACCTATGTTTTATGCGCAGATTACGCAAAGAGAAAGAAAATAAAGGATAGAAAAATGAATTAATCATTTCACAATGTGAGTGGTTCCCATTAGATTATAGATCAAAAGATTAACGGATCTCCAGATATGCTACGTTCATCTACGTAGAGAAAGCTTGTACTCGCTCTTAGACATCATATAAACCTCTTGGAAAAAACTCAAATCCTAAGAATAAATAAACTTGACCATGAGTTCTGATTTATAACTATAAGCTCTCATTGCATCTTGGTAATCATAGAGGCTATCGATCCAGAAGCATGTTCTTCACTTTCGTAAAATCGTATGCCAATATCTTAAGTGCTTGTTTTGTTCTCATTTTTTATCAGAATTCTTTTGTAAGAGTAGCTCAAAAAAGCCTGACCTAACATTCTATTTTATGCTGCACAATTTTGATTACCTAGGTATAGCTGACTCTATCTATAATAATTATCGTGCTTTCAATTTCTAACTGTAAGCTTAAAACTGAATCGGGTTGTGCGAAAACCACTAATGTCCATTTTTTCAGTCTTCAGCTTTTTTGAGTTAATAATACTTTTTAGAGTTAAATGCAACCATGAAAGTGGTATTTTAATACTTGATTTTGGGTTATCCTCATCCCAAAACAAGTATTGGCACCACTCTTATGATTGTATTAACTCTTGAAAAGGATTATCAACATAAAGAAACTGAAAGCTGAAAAAATGGACATTAGCGGTTATCGCACGACACGATTCAATTGGTATATTTGAACACTTGTTAGGAGGAAAGTGTTTTTTGTTATAAGTTCCTGCGCAAATATGTGTACTTATTTCAAATTTCTGATCAAAAGTCATGGTAGGCCTCATTGAATCTAAAACTTAGTTCCGCTCTTGTAAATACATATGGAAGAAAATACACACAGGAAGTTAGATAAAAAATTTATTTTGTTCATTCTACCTAAATCCCACGAAATATAGGTACGAGTGCACACATTCTCAAGAATATCCTTACCGCACAAAAATCATTCAAATATCCCTTTTTCATACGACAATAAGAGGGGCTCAGAAAATTCCTGGAATTTATCTCATGTTTTTGCAAGCCTCATCGAAGTCGGTAATGATAATGGATTCCAACGCCGATGAAAAGACTTCCAGATCGCACATTTCGTCCTCAGCTAAATTATGACTGTCCTCACAGCCTCGAGTCTTCAACGTTCTTAATTTATCATCTAGGGTTCCCTCCTTGTGTAAAATCTGCAGAATATGCGTAAATGAAAAAACCCTCTTATTTTGAAAATATCATTATCCATAGTAGAAATTTTATAGCATGCAGCATATTACGTATACAAATATTACAGGCTCAAATTTTTGATAGAACGCCATCAGCCCAACAAAATTAAGCGGATCTGACCGAGCAAAAAGTCTATCCAGTTCATTCCCTGGGCTTGCGTATAAAAGAGGGGTAGAAAATGAATATCTTACTCAAAATCAGGAATTTCGCGTGATGAATGTAACAGAAGAAAATTTGCACGGAAGACGAATAGAAAGCCTTCATACAATTTCATCATTAAATTTCCTTTTATATCAATTAATGAAGAACATCTAGCACGTCCTAGATTGACTCTTATCTCAACGCTACAGTCACTTTGGGAGTGCCACAGGCTCTGCAAGAACAATTTTAATCAATGGGCATGCAATCATGATCTGCTTAGAAGTTGCAAATTGGTACCGGCGGAAAATTTTTCACACCAGGATATGAGAAATGCGACTGTGGAACATAAAATATGGATGAATATATCCGAGCGATTTGACTTGAAGATTTACTCTTAGTACACTGAAAAAAAGTTACGGGCTGTATAGACATACCGTCCGTTCTGGGTTCAGAGGCCGGAAGTTCCGGGTGCTACGCCCGGAACTTTCAGCCTCTACGCGCGGAACGCGGACGGTATGTCTATATAGCCCGTGAGTACGGCTTCCTGGCCGGATTTTTTTTTCAGTGTATACATTAAAGGTACAATGTTACTTTGGATTATTATCGCAGATTTTACTCCGAGAAGGACAAGATTAAATCTCTCTATAAACTTACTTTTACGCGATATTTGTTGTTGATTTCATGCAGTTCAATGAAAAGAGCCGCTTCATAATTGGGCTTGTTCGTGATTTCTTGGGAGATGTTTAGACCCTTCCATAAACGTACAATGACCCGATCAGAAACAGGATATAAATGTAACAGACGCTCGAAATTTTTCATTGCATCTATTTTTCTGTTCATATTTGACACGATCTCGTTAATGAAAACACCTAAAAACAAATATGACAAATTATAACGAAAGAGAACTGATACATGTTGTCAAGGCGTATTGAGGGTGGTGTTAGCAGTTTGTAAAAAACCGATAACGTTCTTTGGTTGGTATTGAGGTAAGAAAAATACTCAGTGGCTTATCAAGAGTGATTTATCCTTTACGCAGAAATTTACAAGGAACTTTCGAAAATACGCATAGCTTGGGGGGCTAGTCACACTATTCGCAAGTTATTAGCAAGGGATTTAAACATAGTATGAGATTGAAAAGCCCTTTATGAGTGCCGAAGCCACAGCTTTGCACGAATAAAGGAACCAAGAAATACTTACCGGATTGGAGTTTTATGGTAGTTGGTGTTTTGAAAAATTCCATGAACTCCATTTCAGCGAGTGATTTGATCTTCTCCGGATAAATATATTGTGCCCATCGTGGCAAATCTAATGCCTGTTGCGTCTAAAAACGAGACAGAAGACATTTATTTTTGAACGTTTAAAATGGATTAACTTATTGGTATCAATAGAGCAGCGGCGTGGCGTGCTTTGCAATATATCGATTGATCTGTCATTTATACCTATGGAAAAGAATCGATAAGTAGAGTGTTCGCAACGAAAACCTTCATAATCGATACCTTACCACGGATTTAAATGGGGGAAGTATCGATAATCGATCATTCACGCCACGCCTCTGCAATAAAATTCTTCATCAAACACGAGTTGGAGTTTTCTGAATGGAGAAAAAGTATAAAGCCATTCAACAGATCCATTGGAATTCATGTTGTAAAACTTGAGCATAAATCGCCTTCAAAACTACATGCGTGCAACCGCACATGCTCGATTATCCGTGACTCGGATTTTTGGTCGATGAACAGCAGTTACATGCAGAAATAAGAAACCAAAATAGGTTCGTCTTTAAATATAAACTTACATGGCGACGATGGCCTAAAACTACAAGTTGTGATTTTACAACAGTGAGAATTATCGTTTAATGATTATGGAAAGATGAGCTAGGTAACTTTGTCATGCTTGAAAACTCGATGTTGCTGAATAAATATGACACTCGACATTAAAAACACAGTATCATGCGGATTGTCCTCACAAAAAATTAAATCGTAGTTTCAGGGCCGGATTTAGGGGGTGGCCACATGGGCCGCGGCTCATGGCGGCAAATTCAGGGGCGGCAAATTTTGCAATTTTTTTTAAACGTAGGTAAAAAAAATCGGATTCAGAAAAAAAAATACAAACGAGGAAAGGCAAGAAAATCTCTCATTTCTTGAGAGTGCAGTAATTACTAATTTTGTCGTCTTTCGGTGATACAAGAGACAGCACCTTTAATTAGTCGAGTTAAGAGAGAAACCAAACACGCAATTTGGCCTGAAATGGCGCGGCGCGGAGAGCAATGATAACGAGGACTTGAGATGAAAAGGAGAACCTCTCGGCGCGGCGCAACGGTCGGCTTGAAACATATTAGCGCCTACAAGACTGCATGAATACTTCACGCTTTGCATCAAACACGCGGTCACTACGGTCAGCGTGAAACGCATAGCGCCTACAAGACTGTAGGAATACTTCACGCATTGCGCCAAACACAGTGCTGTCAGCGCGGCGCGCCGGCGGAAGTTGCATCACATTTATGTTTATTCTTTCATAATTTTTTCGTTCATTTCTAATAAATGGAAGGTCTTGTCTACACAGAGATAGGTTTACAGGACCTAACTTTTGCTGGTAGTGTTGACAGGGCTTTGGCAAAAAATATGTCCAACATTAGTAAACGCGTCTTATGCACCCCTTTTCCTCCGGCACGTTCACTTGATGGTTTTTATTGCGATGTTTCAAAACGAATGAGAAGGGGGCGGCAAAATACAGGCGGCCCATGGGCGGCAAGTAGGTAAATCCGGCCCTGCGTGGTTTGCCTACCAGACCAAGGCCCTTTTAAAATAAGTTTTGAATTAAAATTTCCATCCCTTAGTTTTATAGGTATTAAAATGAAAGCCTCGGTATCGGCACGTACCGAAACCAGCAGATTATCGAATATATGATTAACGTGCGACGCAGTCTTTACACCTAATCCAGTATTACTTGAGAGAAAGGCTATATAGAAAGTCCTGATGCTTATCCACTTAATTTTGAATCACAATGGCCCTCTGATTTTCCTCTATTGACAGTAATTCGCACCGTTTGCTTGTATGAAACATCTGAAAAAGACTATAGCCATATCAGGAGAAAACTTCAAAAGAAGAAGAAAAAAACTTTTTTAAAAATTGTGGAAAGAAATACTTATTCCTTACGTATTTGATCGAAAAAACCTCGCTAAAATGTTCAAAATAATGAAAATTAATGCTGTAGAATTTTACGTATTCAAGATGACAAGCTTCCGTTTATTGAATTATATTGTAGCAGGAACTTTAAAGGTGAAAACTTGAAAATTGAGGTCTCGTTGTGTTATCGATGACAATAAAATTTTATTACATTGTGTACTTGAAATTATAAAACAATTTTATGTGTGCCTACCTACACACTATTGCGCTTAATTTTTTTTTACAGCGAACTGAATTTGCTAACGGCTGAGGATGGAGCAGAAGGTGCTCCAAGTCGCGAGAAAAAAAAGTGGGAGTGAGTTAGCAATTTTTTTTCTTCTTAAAATTTTAGCACACGTCCTTGCATCTGACCCGTGCCACCCGCGCGCGTACAATTTCGCATCATTATGTACTTGGCTCGGCCATGAAGCAGCGCTATGCGCGTTTGAAAATAACCCTTGCCATTTTGATCCGGATGTTCTTTTTAAAAATGCACTTGAGTGTTTTAGCCAACTTTAACCGTGCATCAGAAACTTTAATCTCTTTTCTGAGTATGAAGGCACGAGAAAGGGGGGGAGGGGGTACGTAAAGGTGGCCGCAAAAGAAAGTTTTCAGCACAATTATATTTGTCATCATGTGTATTTTATACCTTCTTAGTTAAGATGTGAGCTATCTATGAAAGATTTCTAAATGGCCAATAATCTTTTGTATGTGAAATATTTCTTCGCTCTCCAATTCTGCATTGTGTCTTCTCTTCCATAAGTTAAAGTGTTTCATAATGTTTACTATTAGTTTGACTTTACGAGGGAATCATTGCAGCAAGTATTAAGACATTGCTTAATGAGTACATCAAAAGTTTCAATTTTAAAAATCTTCTCCTTACGTCATCGCAAGAAGTAGGCACAAAGTGAAGGGGGATTGGTTGCCAGGGTAGATCGGTATTCCAAATTTGGATTCCAACCGGCGGATACAATCCTGCCAAAACTAGTTGTCCGCTGATTATAATACGGTCCGTGTTCAAAGTTGAGACGAAGATCTCCTTCGGTTTGTAAATTTCCGAAAGAAACGAACTGTTCCGATGCCTCAAAAATTTCCCTAGTTCATACATGTTCACCTTGCCTACCTGTAACTCGAATAATTAGGTACGTGGTCAAGAAAAAACTATAAAACAATACGAAATTATAAAATTGCTCTCAGCAGTATAAGAAATGTCATTGCGTTGGCTCATTTCCTTCAGATTTTGTACGATGGACATCATACACACAAGCATTTTTAAACAATTCAGCGACTGGTCTATAATCCATACTACATCTACAAAATTAGATAAAAATTAAACCTACATTGCTAAATGGTAAAGATGTCAGATATTCACTTAAGTCAGTGCACTGCAGGTACAGATCGAATTACGACAGTGCACAGCGGATTAATATGCATCAGTTCTCACGATGTTCCATTCTTATTCTGACCAGTTTATCTTCAGTATCCTGATAAGCAATATGAGCAGCTTCAGCGTGGTAACAGTAGCTTCCAACAGTTTGTCACGTTCACTCAGTTGAGTTATAGAATTTGTGCACCTACTAAATTCAGTAATTGGGTCTCATTCTGACCAAGTTCGCCTTCAATATCTTGACATGCAATTTGAGCGGCTTGGGAACAGCAGTACAATTACTTTCAATTGTTCTGGACGTTCACTTGGTTGAAATATAGCAAGAAAATTTCTCTTCTCACAGCGTTTTTCTCTCTCTCTCTGAGAAATTTGCCTTCAATATACAAATAGGCAATGTGAGTGGCTGTGGAGCAGTACTAGGTATAGTCACTTATACTTGAGGTAAATGTAAATCACACGATAATCTCCCCAACTTTGGAGAGGAAATAAGTTTTGTATCCGAGTAGCGTGATATTGTTTCGTAGATTCATAGATTTTCAGCGCTAAAATATTATTACCTATCTTTTCATTTTCAGACTGAGAATAACTACAGCGTCTAAATGAAATGTTCGTTTAAAAAAAAAAAAAAGTATTAATAATATAAAGTTTTGAAGAAGAAAAAAATTAACGCTTTTCGCATTCCAAATTTTCATTTGAGGCGGGAACCTGCTTCTTAAAAAAAGTTTTTATAAATTCTATCAGAGTGGCTAGCTGTGGAGCATTTTTTTTTTTTTTCATTTTAGGCACTTTATTTCATGACTTTCATTTATTTTACTTTTTTGGGCTTGAAAACAGCCTCTGCATTTTGATTGGATTGCATCATGCCACAGCATTTATGAACCGATTGCGAAATGCATCAGAGTACACATTATATCACTTCTTCATCATAGAGGTACTAACCTTTAAAAGGGCACCCAGCCCCTCCGGCCAGTAAGATTCTCCATTGTAAGGGTCGAGCGGATAAGAATGCAACGGAGCTCTCTCACCGTGGCGATGGACCTATGTACCAGAGAGGAGAGCACTCATCAATAGTATACTCTAGAGTATACTCTAGTAATCTAAAGTATACTTAACAATACATACAGAATGAAATCCTGACAGTTGGTTCCAACCGAAAGGAGAGATATGGAAGAAACCCCGAGCCGCAAGGATCCAAAGAGACAGATTGTTTTAAATTCTTCGTTTCTACGACAAAGACATCTCCTAAGCACGAATACTCAAGTAGCATTTTTCAACGGAAAAATCGGGATACATTGCAATTTTATCGACGATGAAATTGCTAGGATCATGAACATCTGAGCAATTATCCTCGACCGTGTCGGGATAAAATCGCGATTTCATCGGCCGGCCGTTTTCCGCGATAAATGGCAATTTAATCTCGATTTTATTGACGAAAATTGATCGCAGTTTTATCGAACCAAAAATTGTGATGTGTAGCGATTTAATCGCCATATATCGCAATTCTTAATGCAAAAATATCTCGATATATTGCCACCGATATAATCTGATAACCAACCGATAAAATCACTATTTATCGCGATCACTGTCGGCACAGGAAAGCCGAAAAACCAAGCGGGGACGCTACTTCATTATTAAACTTCCATCGCCTTGCTAAGGCGCAGGGATTCAACTATTCGAACTCTCCGGAACGCGTGAGGTATCACGCCCCAATTGAAGGCGTTCTCGAATCTTCTGTATTTACATGACGAGACTTTCCAAATTTGTATGCATTATATCGTCGATTTGATATCCTTTTATTATTTAGTTAAATTATTCCTGTTTCTTAATTTTAAATTATTCAGGTAAAATTTTCTTTTTGCGAAATACAATCCTGGCTTTAGCGCCCTTAAACTACGGCCTGAACGGTCGAAACTGTAATAGCGGCACAGGAAAATCGAAAAACAACGCGGGGAAGCTACTTCAATATTAAGCTTCCATCGCCTCGCTAAGGCGCAGGGATACAACTATTTGAACTCTCCGGAACGCGTGAGGTATCACGCTTCAATTGAAGGCGTTTTCGAATCTTCTGTATTTACATGACGAGACTTCCAAATTTCTTTTCATTATATTGTAGATTTGAGTTCCTTTTATTATTTAGGTAAATTACTCCTGCTCTTTATTTTATAAGTATTCTGCAAACACTATCCATTTGCGAAATACAACCCTGGCTTTAGCGCCATTCAACTACGTTAGTTTTTTGCATTTTATTGTGGATTTGAGTTCCTTTAATTATTTAGTTAAATTATTCCTGCTTCTAAATTTTTAATTATTATGCAAAAATTATCTTTTTGCGAAATACAATCCTGGCTTTAGCGCCCTTGAACTACGGCCTTAACGGTTGAAACTACAGTAGCAGCACAGGAAAACCGAAAAACAACGCGAGGACCCTACTTCAATATTAAACTTCCATCACCTTGCTAAGGCGCAGGGATACAACTATTTGAACTCTCCGGAACGCGTGAGGTATCACGCCTCGATTGAAGGCGTTTTCGAATCTTCTGTATTTTAATGACGAGACTTTCCAAATGTGTTTGCATTATATTGTCGATTTGAGATCCGTTTTTTATTTAGTTAAATTATTCCTGCTTCTTAATTTTTAATTATTCTGCTGAAATTATCTTTTTGCGATGTACAACCCTGGCTTTAGCGCCCTTAAACTACGGTCTTAACGGTCGAAACTACAGTAGCGGCACAGGAAAACCGAAAAACAACGCGGGGACGCTACTTCAATATCAAGCTTCCATCGCCTTGCTAAGGCGCAGGGATACAACTATTTGAACTCTCTTGACTGCGTGAGGTATCACGCTTTAATTGAAGGTGTTTACGAATCTTATGTATTTACATGACGAGATTTTTCAAATTGTTTTGCACTACAGTGTAGATTTGAGTTCCATTTATTTTTTGGTTAAAATATTCCTTCTTAATTTTTAATTATTCTGGTAAAATTTTCTTTTTGCGAAATACAATCCTGGCTTTAGCGCCCTTAAACTACGGCCTTATTGGTCAAAACTGCAGTAGCGGCACACAGGGGCGGACCGGTAGTCGAAAAGTTAGGAGGAGACCTAAATGTAAGGGCCCGGGGGCCCTCCCCCGGTAAATTTTGAAAATTCGACACTCTTTAAACACGTAGGCATTATTGGAGTTGGATTCTACAGTACTTGAACTTCAAAATAAGCCATTCTCAGGATTCATCGAGGATCCCTTCATCACATAATGCTTTTGGCGACCTTCCATGTCTCTTAGAGACTAATTTTCAAGGAATTCGGGGTCTTTAAGTGATTGAAAAGGATAAGAAAATTACAACATTACGGGAAAAAAAACGACGACTCGAAAAAAATTCGCCGCCGGGGCCCTTTCGGGACCTCCGCGGCAAATTATTAAGGGGCGATCGCCTCCCCGCCCCCATGGCCAGTCCGCCCCTGACTGCTACTTGTGTAGTTGCATACACGGGAATTAGGTTTCACATTAGGTGGTCGAGAAAGAATTCCGTCACCCCAGTCTGTTATGATCAACCTAGGGAGGAGAAGCAGATAAAATAATCATGAAAGTTTCACGTCTCACAGTGCGTGAAATGGCTTCGAGACCCAAAAAATCCAGAGGGTGATGCAACATTATAAATCTCATTTTCGATTACGGACACACGGGATGAAGTAATTTGCGGCAAATTTTAACGTTTGTATACGTACTTAAAATGCTCACAAATCGGAGAGTTTTCTCGACAGCAGGAATAGGTTCGTGTGAGTAGTACCACACGCACGCAATCACAGTACATAGATCACCAGAATAACAAGAGAGGTAGCGCCATGTTTCTGGAATGTTCTGTTTTGCCGAGCAGAAATTCTATTACTCTTACCCATATTTTCCTGCCTCACAGGTCAAATTAATTGAAAAATGGATAAGTATAAAAGAGAGAACAGCGAGAACTAAAAAAAGCTGTAAAATGTATGAAAATGACAGGTGCATACGACTGGCTTTCAACTAGTGTTTACAGGAAATGAAAGGTAATTAAAACAAGGAAAGCGTTGCTGTGATCTCAGACAATGGCGCAAATTATTTTCAAAATATTGTTCTCTTATCTAGAGTGATGAGAATCCGGTAAATCCTCCTCTTCAGTATAGTTTGCGGCTTAAATTTTTGTGGAACCATGATCAAGTGGTGCGAGGCAATTTAGGGAGACTGTACAATGTTGTTATCAAGTAGATAGCATGTTGTCAAAAAGTCACTTTTCAGCCCCGCTTTTCTCGAGATTGGCACGTAGGTATAAAGTTAAATGAGACCTCATATTCTTGCACAGGATGAGCCCGTTAGAAACATTACATGTGACAAATAATATCGAAGTATATGCGGCACAGAGAAATTACGAATTTTCAACGATTAAAACCGCGCACAGTCGTGAACGCGCAATGCTTGAAGTACTCTTGCAGTCTTGTAGGCGCTAATATGCGTCGCGTGCCGACCGCACTGTTTGGCGCAATGCGTGAAGTATTCCTACGGTCTTGTAGGCGCTAATATGCGTTCCGTGCCGACCGTACCGTATTCGGCGCAATTAAACTCGTGGAGTCAGCTTTTTCAACTTCTTACTGCCATTATTGAGTTTTTACGCACTCGCTATAGGTTACTCTCATTTAGAATGATTTAAAAAAAAATTACATAAAATATAACTCACTTTCTTCTCAGTGTCGGTCTGCTTTGAAATTTCTTGGTGTGCTAATACGTTTTCAGGGTCCCTGCTCTCGGGTGGGGGCCCGTTTAAGGTGATTCGTCAAGCTCAAATGACGTGGTCAAACTGACATGTCATACATCGCATCGATTAAGTCAAAAATCTCGGCAGATTTGGAATATTTAGCCAAGAAAAGAATAATAGCCCTTGCATATTATCCTAAAAAATCATTCTAAACCTGAAAATCGGCATAATTCAGGGAAATGAAAGCAGAATAGTGTTAGGAAAAAAACCTCGCAATCGATGCAGAAATCGATAGCTGAATAAATTGCGAGGTTTTTTTCCTAACACTATTCTGCTTTCATTTCTCTGAATTAGGTATGCAAATTTTTGGGTTTAGAATGATTCTTTAGGCTCATATGCAGGGGCTATCGTCATTTTTCTTGCTAAAAATTCAAAATCTGTCGAGATTTTTGACCTAGTCGATGCGATATATCGCATGCCAGTTCTACCACGTCATCATGACGAATCACCTTAAGTAAAACACAGTGGCGTGCGGTCCGGATAAGCAAGGCAAGCACTGCTTGCCCATAAAGATTTCAAAAGAAAGAAGAAGATTACACCTATTAAATATTTTACATTTTAGCAAATATAATTATAAAATGTGTTCAGTAAGTAAATTGCATTAAAAACAGAAAGAGAGGGAGACAGAAATACGTTTAGAGCCACCGAAGTAGGAAAGCGGCAGAGCGGATGGAGGTGGCGCAGCGCGCTGCGCGGCCTGAACACGGGCCAACTCACGCGCTGGAGAATCGCTTGCGATCAGCTAAGCGGAGAGCCACTGCTCGGCGGCGGAATCAAGGCAGGCGGGGAGTGCGGTACGTTCCGGGTCCGAGCCCTTCGCTGCGCGATCGCAGCTCGCTTCTCTTGGCCATCTCTTGGCCCGTCACCGCAGCGCGCTTCTGCCTCCAATGCGCTATCTTGTTCCCTCTTTCCGTCGCGGCTGTAAGCCTTTATATTCTATAAAATTTCGCTCTTTTGGATCTAATTGGTGATGAATTAGACAATTCTAAATCCTCTTTTAAATGCAGAAAGCCCTTTTTTTTTGGGGGGAATTTAAGTAACTCAAAAAATTCTAAATGCTGTAGAATAAAGACTGTAATACCTCAAATAAGTGGCAAAATTAGGAGTTAAGAGTATGGAGCCGTCCTCCAATGATCAATAACATTCGAAACAAGTTGAGTAAATGAAATCATAAATAAGAGAGAAAGAAATAAAACCACAGTTTTTCAAGACGTTCCATCAGATTTCATCCGAAAAATAGAGCGAATAGAGTAAAATTTTAAGAATTTTCTAGGGAGGCTAGGGGGAGGGGAAAGGGAAAGAGGCTACGTTAACCCCCCCCCCGGATGGCGAACGCTAGAGCTTGCCCTGTCACTGAACCCACCGCACGCCACTGGTAAAACATGTCTTGTCCGACCTCTCTGATTGACTCGATCCACTGTGCAGCGATGGAGGATTACAGGTAAGAAAAGAGGAAAGGAGAAATATCATTCACCTTCTAAAACTTGCGCTACCTGAAGAATAAAGGAAGCGACGCTACCAACTTTGTCCTGGAGCCCAGCTGCCCCCCCCCCCCTCTATTTTACGAAGAATTCGCGTCCCGCCCATCTTAAGGGGTTACTGGAGCAGTGAATGGTGGGTTACAGGAAACTACGTTTTGCAGGAACAACTGATCCACTTGTATTTTTGTCAACTCTGTGATAAATACATGGAATTTTTGGGGGGATAGGTAGCAACTATGACTGCATTGCTCAACCCATTTGAAATAAAATACCGAAAAATAATACCTAAGCTTAGGGAACAGAAGCTCGTGCAAAGATCTATTTAGAGAACTTGAAATTCTGATGATAAAATTCTATGTACCTATCAATAATTGCACTCTATAAGAAAATTATAATAGGGATATAATATATCTAGGATTCTTTTTCTCTCCATAGAGATACATCTGGATATAGCAACAGAGGATCCAATGGTAAAAAAAGAAAAACCACAAATAAAATGAATGTAAAATATAATTGTATCAGATTTTTCAAAAAGCTGCTTGAAATTTTAAAATTCAGAGTAAAGATTTTAGGACAGCAGTAAGAAACATTTACAAAAACAAGGTTTATTACACAGTGAATGAATGATTATGAGAGAAGTTTTAAGATCAGATTATAGTTAGACATTGTCACTTTTTTACGAGTTGCTGCAGCACACTCATGGAGAGCTATGACCACTTGGATACCCTTTTTTGATTGACCGTATAAAATTGGGCTTCATGGCGCTCTAACATATAGGTCGCTATAGGTCTATGATCACCTCTTGGAACGATATGCATTATAATCTCAGCATCTCCAACTATAAGTCATAGGTTCAATGGCCACCCCATTTACCAAGAATATGCACCTGATTTCAAAAAAATCAACCAAATCCACCCATCTCACAGACTACAACCAGAAAAAAAGCACTGGTCATAGTCAGTTGAATGCAGACATACTTCCACACGTTTTGCCCTCTCTCGGCACTTTCTACAATGCCGAAGTCACTTTTACCTAATTCGACCCTAGGAAAATTTTTGGAAATTGGAATGTTTCGAGAGCGATTTTAAGCCACTTTCAATTAGCAAAATTATGTAGGCGGGGAGGGGCCCTGGCCCCCATAGTTCCACCCATGACGACTTGTAACTCTTGCTTCGTTAATTCAAGGTTTTGTCGTTCTTTTCAAAGTGAATACAATTTTTGTATGCTAAAAAAGTACAAGTGGCCAACTCTCCTTATGAAGTTGCTTAAGTGGCTCTATCTGGTTTTATTTTCAATTTCGAGAATCAAAATGAAAATATAACGATTTATTTTAGTCTGCCTCTTCACACAGCTTCTATACCATTACAGGAGACCTTATGGTTGTCAACAGATCACTAAATAGGGTACAATACAAACATCACAATAGCTCCTAATTTTCTGTATAATACGGTGGGTATAATAGAAAAGTTCTAATTCAACTTATATTTTAAAAAAAAATAGTGTTTTTTCTGGATATCAATTCAACCTCCTCACACACAAAAAGCCCTGAGTTTACTCAAATCAAATCGGGTACTGAATTAATATCAGCATGATTTACAAACTAAGTTTTCCTCTCGATAAGCTAAGTTTTTCTTGACAAATCCACAATTTCAATTAATTAGAGAAGGTAAAAAAATGTGTAAAATTAAAAGCTGTTTATTTGCTAAATGACAAGATTGTTTTCCATGAGAAAATTGACCTACATTGATATTATTATTTTTTTTTTCGGCAAGGGGAGGTTTGAATTGAAGGAGTCTACTGTAATCTATAGACCTCAATTTTTCATTTTTGACTCATTTTTTATTTTTTGATGCATCTAACTTGTTTTGCATAATATTTTGACGAGGAATCACATCTTAAAGAAGTTTAAATTCCACCCTGTCTAATAGTTTATTTTTGAAAATCTAAGTCAAAATAAATCCGAGGTACTACAAAGATTTTTCATTTTATAATTCATATTTTCTAGAAAAAAAAACAAAAAACTTTGAAAGCAACTTTTGCAAGACCCTGTAATTTTTATGTCTTAAATTTTGGTAAGGAACCAATAAAACTCAAATTCGAAAAAACTGACTCGTGTTAAGGGTTTCATTCTAACTTTTTCCACGGAAAGTGAACAATTTGGTGCATTAGGGAGAGTAAAGGTTGTCATATTTTTATTTCAGCCGCTGACAGTCTTCCGTTTCGATCAATTTTTTTCCCTGGGTGTTTTACACCGCCAAAAATACAACGGACATATTAATATTTCCGAATAAAGCTGATGAATGGAAATTTAAGGTGGTCATCAATTTACTTCATTGATTTCCGTGTGTGTTAAAGACAACACCTTTTTTCAGTGTGCTAACTTTAGCTACACATACGGTGGAAGGCAGAAAAGTAAGACTTTTTCTGAATATCTGACTGAGAGTTTGGCTTTTCTGGATAAATGTAAGCGATTAGGTATGCGAAATTTCTTCTGCTTTTTGTAATGTCTTGTCAACGTTGGTGACAGAAGGGAGTAAAAAATCTGACATTCAGTGACATACTTGATAAATGACACAATTTATGGAATCAAGCGCCAAATTGGAGAGATGAGAAAAAATGTTATCTTAAAATAAATATCACACGCTACTTCTTACCCTCTTATAAAGTGTTTATCTTTCTTATCTCTAATCCCTATCCTTCATTAACCAAGTTTCAAATTGTTTTACTTCACTAAGAATCGTTTTGACTGCAGTAGGGTCAAAATAACTAAATTTTATCAAAAGTAGTAACGTTCTGGTGGGCAAGAATAACAAATTTCTTTCAATTAAGGGTACAACTAGAAAACAATTAGCAAACTGTGTTTGTGAACTAACTTGTGCAATGTTTCAAAACTGACGTGCAAAAAAGCTAAATTTAAACGTACAATTTCACAACAAAAGGGCAACACTTGACGGTTGAAATCTTCCTTCCATGGGTCATAGCAGTGTTTTAATCTTATGCAATGAAAGTGACACCTGCATCATTACTCATCATTTAAGTGAAGCAGAGTAAGTGCTGACAGATATGTCAAAACAGCTGGATTGTTTTTTCCGGCACAAAGTTTGAATCGACTAATTCTACCGTTAAAAATGATACTAATTGCACACTTATGGGTCAATATTTTAAATCTCTAACAAATTTAACAATTTCTATAATAAATTTTGATTAGAACACATGTCTTGAAATTTTCACTCTGTCTAGTAGTCCATTGAGGACTTCAAACAGAAACGATAAATTGTAAAAACTTATTTAGAATTATTACAAAATAAAAACTAACAACAGTAAATTGGTAAACAATCAATAAAAATAGGAAGTATAGTGCAAAAACATACATCACAATAATTCGATTTCTCCGCAAAGGTATGTCAGTTCATCTATGAGGTATCCTGTCATTTACATTGTCAATCCACGCAGAGTTTGAAAAAGATTGTCCTTTCAAAGATATTCTCAACTCGTCTCTGAAGTATGCAATTGTCTTTTGAAGTCCATCTTCTAAAGAGACCTTTAAAAAGGAATAACACTTTTTGTTAGAAATAAAATGACATGTGAAGAACGTTGAGGCTGTCAATGGTAAAAATGATCCAAATAATATGAAATAATACCATCAAAACTAGAGTACTTATGCAGGGAGAGTACTGCCATCTCAATCCTTTTACTACATATAATAAAAAAAGGTCAATCTCTGATTGGTCAGTGAGTTTAAGGCTTTCATTACAGCCTCTCTGCACCTAGTTGTGGAGCATGATAAACAAACAAGATTGCCATAGGGCTATTCCTGTCAAATCAGATCTCAACTGCTAGTTGATGAACTACCAGTTATAGTACTAAACATTATATGAATTTTTAAATTTCCAACCTTGAGCAAGTTTTGATGGATATTTTTGCAAAACATTACACTTGTTTGTAATTTTCATTCAAACCTCACCCGATCATACGAATTCCTCTTGATTGGGTTTGTTTAGATTGGTCCACTAGAGCCAGCAGAGCAGAAATTCTACTATTTCATTTTGGATTTTCCTGATATTTTAAATGAAATTTCCTGATTTTTTGCACAGATGAATTGACAGGAATTAAATAAAATGTTTGAAGCATTCAGAACTTCCTGATTCATTACCAATTTTCCGGATATTTTCCGGTTTTTACAGATGGTAAACATCCTGAAGAGCTGAGAACTGATGAAACAATCAGAGCGCAGCTCAGACATGGCAAGAGTCTTCTTACATTAGTGATCTAATCAACTCTTGAATATTTTAAACAGAAAGTAAAATAATGATGTGATAATGGCATAGACTCATGAACTGATGTTCACTTCATACCTGGCTCCATATTATATTACTGAGAACAGTGGGGGCCATTTAAGATGTTGCACTTAGTTCTCAAGTTGCGTCATCTTGATTAAATTAGATCTCTGATGTACTGTATCTTTTGAAATAGAATGCTCATAAACATTCAAGTTTCTTATGCAGATTTGAGAAACTTAGTACATGACATGATCGAGGACTAGTTTAATGCCAAGGTTAAAAAAAACCTCCTTCCAGCAAAAACTGGACAATGCCACTAGTCAAAGGACATAAAACAGACATTTCAAAAAATGATGGGGTTCTCTGATTTTTGCCATTTTCAAAGGGGCTCCCTCACTATTCCCACTCTTGAAAGTTGGGCATCTCACACAACCGGGAGGTTTCTGTACTCCTAAAATAGTGATCCCACTTATTGGAATACCATTGTGCTTGGTGACATTATTGGTGCTTGGACTCACATGATGGGCTTCCTTCACCCAAAATTCGAGGGTCTCAGAAAAATTTGCTTGTACTGCCACTAGAATACTAAAGAAGTTGAACAAACATGATTAAGCATTTGCAAGGACAAAAGGACCCTGCACACTCTTTATGGGAAAGTGCACCACGATCGATTTTCTAATTTTTTTACTGCATTCAACTCACCTGAAGATGCTGATAAAAAATCATTATTGCACCAACTTTCTACAATGCACCGTTTTTGCACAATGTGCCTGCAAAGTTTCAATTATTCAGCGATAAAGAGTCAAAAAGAACAAGGCATTCGAGAACCGGTCTCATGTAAATGAAGAAAAACATAGCACGTTTCTGTCTTCTTATCTGTTCCTGCCTGCTCTGGGGCTATCTCCCTCCCGCTTTCGTCCATTTGACATACACTGTTTTTCTCCAACTTTCCGGTTCTCATGCTCCTCACAAAACTGATTTGGATGGTCAAGCAAAAAGACGTCCGCAATCCCAAATAAGACTGCCACTCAGTGCTGGAATTTCCCTGATTTTCTGGCGCAATGATGACTTTTGATCAGCGTTTTGATGTGAATTGAATGGAATAAAAGAATTAAAATTCGATCATGGTGCACTTTCCCATAAGGAGTGTGTGGGGCCCTTTCTGAAAGGATTTTACCTTAGGTTTCCAGTGAAGATATTTATTAGCGCGTGTGATATCAGGCTTTCTCCTTTGAGGATCATCCTCCACAGCTTTGATTTGTTTTATGTCATTCTTACTTCCGACTAAATGTCTGATTATCTCAGCAAATTCTGGAAATAGCAGAGAAAATTTGACAAAGGATTAAAATTGAGTTTTATTTTTTTCCTTCTCACACAAAATGTTTTCACCTTCAATTATTTTTTTTTACTTTTTAATTTACAGCTTTAATTAGATTTTATCAACTAATTTTTCAGTAATCATGAAAGATTGTGTGACCAACTTTGGTACTAGTTAAATTGTAGGCATTATCTAAGAAGAGATAAAAGGCAAACCATCGTTTTACAACTAAATGACTCGTGCAAGAATTTTTCTCAGCTAAGTCATTCTAGAAAATATGAGCCTTTTATATGTGGCATTAACAAACTATTCAATATCATAGCAAACAAAATATAATGCATATTTGCATATAGTTGGCTCGGAAATACATAAAAAAATCAATGTTACAGCATGGCAAGAAACTAATATCTTCCCATCTTTTTGAGATACCTATCTCCATGAAAATATAAAGGTACCTTATTCAGGAACATGGAGAATATTTTTAGTAGATTCCTGAGCGAATGAAAAAAATACGTAGGTGCTTTATGGTCGGAGAGATGAACAAATGCATATCAACGGTGTGACCCAGATGGCCTACCTACTGACTGTAAATAACTCAAAGCCTTAACATAAGGCTTTGGAATCAAAATAGGCTTCCCATCTGATTTAAAACAGAGAAATTCAATACTATTATTTTTAGCCCCCCAAAATCTCCTGTTGAAGGCAAACATGGAGGAGGGGAAGCACCTGCTATTGTTTGACACTTTCAAATGGTCAGGGTATTTTTTTGACTTTGAAATCTGTTTCTGCAATAAAAAATTGAGATCTTTTTGTTCCAAACATTCTTTTAGAATGATGTATGTACTCACTATCTTTGAGTCCATTTAGGGCTCATCACAATGTCTCAGGTCTAGGCCTAACATTATGAGAGAAACAAAAAAAATTATGGAAAAACGAAAAAATAAATAAATAAATAAATAGGAATGAAAAAATTAAGGTGATTCAAATGAAAATTGGATTGTATGTAGTAGAAAAATATTCACCTTGTATCGTATGTTCATTTGGGTTGCCCAAATTGACAGGTTGGGTGTAGTTGGCTTCCATTAAGGCAATGAGACCATCAACTAAATCACTTACATATTGAAATGATCGGGTTTGATTTCCATGACCATAAATCTGAGAAATGAAATTTAAATCTGAATTACCACCATATTACACTTATTTGAAGAAACTTAGAGGCAGTATATGATGAGACTCAAAATATTTAACACATTCTTTTGATAAGGTGATTCGTTGTGATGTTTCTTCTCAAGATTCACCCGACGAAACATAAACTGCTACGGAAAAAAGGTTTGTATAAAAATATCCACTACAAGATAGTCTGCAACATATTTAAGCAATATGTGGACAAATCTTACTGCAAACAATAAACGAGAGATGCAGATAGCTCTGAATGGTATAACATTTCATGCGATCCATTACCTCCTTACTTATCTACTTCTCAAAAAAGCCTAATTTTTACAAAAGCTTCAAGAGGACAAGGATTTCTTCCTCTTCCTTGTTTCCTTCCAAAAATTTTCTTGATGTGTTATATTTCTTTACATGTTATGCTTGAAGAGACTTCTGTATATTTGAGAGGATTGCGTTAATTTTTCCTAGTAGGATTTTCGGCACTGATTTCACAATACTGTTCTCCCTCTCTTAAAGATTTTGCTATTGATTGATAACTATTATACAATCTTAGGATTGCAAGATAATGCATTTTCCACACCCATAAATTAAGTTACTTACAGTCAGAGTCTCGTTTTGAAGAGCTTGTAAAATAAAATTAGAAACAACGCGCCCATCATTCATGTGCATTCTTGGACCATAGGTGTTAAAAATTCTTGCAACACGAACATCTACTTGCTCTTGTTTAGCATATGCATAACTCAGTGTTTCAGAAACTCGCTTTCCTTCATCATAACAAGCTCGAGGCCCTAAAAATAAACAAACATGAAATGAGCAACACTAAAAATTAAAGATGCTGAAAATCAAAGGCATATAAATTTAGGAATGCTTGGGAATTCTGTCTTTAAAATAGGAAAAATGTTATCCTGTGAGGCTGGAGCTTTACCAGAGATACTGAGAGCATTTTTTGGTCCTAAGATTCAGTTTCCTCCTAAGTTCTTCTCAAATCTTCCTTATTTCTCCTCATTTTCTTTTTTTTCCCCTTACTTTCTCAGTAGTTCTTTCCGGATATAGATAAACTTTCCAAGGTGACTAATTCTGTATGGTGATAAAGTTATTCGTTCATTGACAAGGACTTGCCAAAAACGAGGATTACTCAGGGTGTTTAGTTTTTTTTTCATTTTGGGAAAACCTGATTTTTGACTGCTAAATCCTGATTTCTTAATTTTTCCAAATCCTGATCAAATCCTGATCTTCTGCGGAGGAAATTAGGCAAATGTAACTTCACAAAAATAGCTTAATAAAAAAATCTGATCGGACGGTCGACTTTACTTGAATCCTGACTTTACGTCCAGTTTTTCCCCAAATCCTGGTGATATCGGAATTAAATCCTGATAGAATCAGGAAAATCCTGATGCTAGACACCCTGTACTGATAAGTTAAAATAGGGGACAAACTCAAATCTAAAAGATGGAACAGTAGCACTAACCAATTGGATTCACATAGCCCCAGTATGTTTCTTCTTGAGGATGTTTTTGAGGATCTCCATAAATTTCTGAAGTGCTTGCTATCAGTATCCTTGCTGTGCCTCTTTTCGCTAAACCTGAAATAAAGCGCAGAATTATTTGTTTTACCTTTGGAAGAAGGAAGCGGAGCTGAAAAATTAATTGTTAGGGAAAATTGATAGAACTTGTTTCACATGAGTATTATTTAACGGAACATCAGTTGTTGGGCTTGTTTCAAAGCTAGAGCGAAAATAGGAGTTATCTCTGTTTGAACATAGCTCAAACATCAAGATGAATGCATTAGCAAAATTCATTCCATCACTTGCAAAAATTGAGTCAAGCAGAAATTTTGAGAGTTTAATCTACACTCAAAACCACTGGCAAATTGGTAATATTGTGTATGATTGTTTCCAAAGCAGCTTCAATTGCTGGTGGAACCTGCTGACAAGAGTATTTTATCAGCTAAACTGATCTGCTGCAAATTTTGCAAACTTCACTCTTCCTTACTTGATTTCAAGTAAATGATTTCTTTATTCAAAGACGATCCATCATTAAAACTAGTTCAAAGTTATCTTCACAAAGGCGAGCATTCCTCACATTGCACCTAAGTAGGTAAGCGGAGAATTTATTATTCATACCTAAAATATGAGGTTGGTAACAAATTGCAAATGGATTGATTTTGAAGGTAATGATGAGGAGCATCCCTAAAAAAGAGGCTTACCCAACATATTAATTGTTCCGATTGTATTGGTCTTGATTGTTTTAACTGGATTGAACATGTAATGAGGCGGAGAGGCAGGGGAGGCAAGATGGTAAATTTCATCAACTTCGATGAACAGCGGATTCACGATGTCTTGGTGAATCAATTCAAAATTGGCATGGCCTATCCACTGTTCAACATTTCGTTTGCGGCCTGTGAAAAAATTGTCGACAACAATAACTTCATGACCAGCCAGCATGAGACGGTCAACGAGGTGAGATCCAACAAACCCTGCACCTCCAGTTACCTGAAATCAGTCAAGATCTAAAATTGAGACAAAAGATGAAGAGAGACGAATAATGAAATTACTTGGAAAATCATTATATTACAGCTCTAAGCGCGCCTAAAGTTCGCAGAAGATTCGTTCCAGGAATTCCTTCCCTCGCGCGACTAACGGCGCCCGTAACTAAATTTGAAGTGATATTTATTAACCTACCTAATTTAAAAAAAAAGAAAATACAGAGGCAGCAAGAAAGCAGAAAAATTTCCAGTAAAAAAAATCCCTCCTTCTACCAGCATCCCTAGTGGCCCAGCTATTATTATACTTTGCAAAGGATTTATACCCATAAGGGCATTTTTGTCCTTAAAATAGGTCACAAATTTTAAAAACGCAAAACAAATTTCTTTGTGGTGAATTTTACAGTTTAATATAATAAATGTAAGACTGAGGCTCAGTTTTGAGGGTGAGTCACAAGATGAGGGAAGTATTCGGTGTCTAAAGTTGGATTTCCCCAAATTTTTTTCTAAGCTTAGCTCAGATTCGTGAATTTGTGTATGCATTTATTATGATTTAACTATTAACGTAAAGTTGGCTTTCATTGTCCTTGGTGGGTATTTTTTCTTGTGATATACAGAGGATCTAAGATACCCTTTATGGATAATAGGTGCTAAATAAAACTTACAAGAATTCTCTTTTTTGTCCTGTAGTTCTTGAATTTAACAGTTGGAAATTTTTTCGGGATTCGTTGGTTCATAGTTTCAATTTTCTGTTCGAGGAACTTAATCTTATCTTTAGCCGCATCTAGCTCTCCCATGATGGATGCAGAATAATTTACCACTTCCTTCACTTTAGCACTGAGAGTCTGGATAATGTCACTGCGTGCATCACCACCGCTTTCCATTGCGTAAGAGGATGGTTGCTGGCCGAGGTGCTGAGTGGCATTCTTTATCCAATTTTGGTAAAGTGCAAAGACTGAAAAACAGTGGAAATCAAAATGATGAGTAAGTAAGTACAGTGAAATTTAGTGATTTATAAAATACATACATACATTAAGCCGCTTTTATAGCGGTTTAATAATTATTATTTTTATGGTCTGAAGTGAGGTCCATTTTGCTGATGAGCCCCCCAGCGCTAAGTAACATTGTTTCGTAATTAACATCAGCAAAATGGACTTGCACTCTTTGCTTTAAAATGCCTCATTTGCTATTTTATGGTTAAATAACATACGAGTGTAGGATACTCAAGAGACGCACTTGAAATTATGTGATTGACAATCCGTCTGCCTACTGATATTTGAACCGTTGGTGAGAAACGTTCATGATAGACAACGGAGATTATTTCGGTGAAGAGTTCCCTGTTGTCCAACTGAGGCCTAAGTACTGCTACAAGACTTTGTTTACCTCTTCACCGCTCAATGCTCCATTCACCAGCCGCAAAAGGTGCTGAGCTGTTGCGGTGAGCGTTGAACCGCCATGACACTTTACACGGTAAAAAGCGCTGTACGATGGAGGCTCAAAAACGACCGTCAAACTTGCAACACCCTCAACGTGTAGTTTGCGTTGAGGCCCGTTGTCTATCACAAACGCACCTACCTTTACATCTGATACAAAAGGCTGAAAAATTTGTAGATTTCTTAAGCTGAAACGGGTCTACTGAACAGTTTGCCTTTACATCTGACGTGATTTTCAACCGTTTTTCTTCAGAGACTTGCGTCTATATAGATATTCTTGTTTCCACTTGAGCTGACGTATACAACAGACCTAGACATCTGGAGCTGTTATCACTTGCACATTCGGATTAAGAGACACTAGGAGAATGGGCATATGACAGTAGCTAACTAATGACTGCTCGATCTGTGCACAGATAAACTCACCTAAAATGTACTTTCTGGGAGTGCGTCAGCATAAGACAGCAACTTATGATTGCAAGAGCCTCCCTACATAAGCTGCCAGTACAAAAATTACAGATCATTGGGAGAAGAACCGTACTTTGTCGCTAACCGTGCAATTATCTTTATAATGTGATAAAATCGTTCATTGTTTGGTAAAATCTGAAATTTGCATTTTGAATTGCAAGTGCTAACTCAGAGCTGAGGCTAAGAGAACTTTTCAGTCAAATCTTGATAGCATACATTTGGGCAACCAAATTGAGCATTATATTGTGGAGAAGAGATTAGGTAAAGGCATACATACCTGAAACTAAGGTGAGGAAACAGAATATAATTTTAGAAAAAGAATATAACTTATCCATACTCTACAATCATTTCATTGCACTGCTCCGTAGCATTGAATTCATTGCTTGGTAAAACCTTAAATTTGCATTTTGTATCGCAGGTTCCAACTCAGAGCTGATAAGAGAACTTTTTAGTCATATCTTGGCAGCATAAATTTGGTCAACCAAACCAACTGCTCCATAGCATTGAATTCATTGCTTGGTAAAATCTTAAATTTGCATTTTGTATCGCAGGTGCCAACTCAGAGCTGATAAGAGAACTTTTCAGTCAAATCTTGACAGCATACATGTGGGCAACCAAATCGAGCTTTATATTGTGTAGAAGAGATTAGGTAAAGGCATACATACCGAAAACAATGGTGAGGATACAGAATATAATTTTAAAAAAAGAAGTGAACTTAATCATACTCTACAATCATTTCATTGCACACTGCTCCTTGGCATAGAATAAATAGACAAAATAAACAAATAATGATAGTGGCAGTTTCCGATTTGTTTACATTGTGACGTAGGTGGGTAAAATCCGGGGCTTCCATTGGTTAGCTGACAATCCTATTGTTCTCTGTCGTAAGAAAGATCGTGCGAGTACCCACTTCATCTGAGGACTCCTCGTATCATATCATGTGTCTATACGCATGCATACCTTGCCCATGAAAGATAAAAAGATACAACAGCTCTAACATTCATGTTTAAGTAAATTTTTGAGTCTTAAAATGACTTATTTAAACTTTAAAGTTCACTCAGTTTAGTTGGTTTAGTGCATTTTGATGGCAGAGCTTCACGACAGTCTATTTTCTCAATTCGAGAAACTTTCAGGTAAGTGTTTGGAAACTGAGTGTAGGTTAAGTATTCTGAATTGAAGCATCGCCTCCAATGCACTGATGGGTTTAGTTTTTTATGTTTAAAATTTAGATTATTTACTTTTAGCCTGACTGTAGAACCATTAAATTTCATAACTCCTTTGTTTTGGGCACCCCCACTCTTGCTGTGAAACAGAAGTTACGGCTTCGGCAATTCTCCGGAGTGGTAACGGCATCTCAGAAGCAAGCTACTCCGCATTGTTTTGACTTTTCTCTCCAGCAAACTAACCTTTGTTGTATCCATTTTGCACTGTTCTGGCTTTTATCAGTGAAATCAACAGTATTCCCGTCAGTGAGCCGCCTACTATTCTACAAGCAAGTTAGTTCTTCTTCTAATTTTCACATGGGCCCACTGATAGCAAAGTTGACCATCTGTACTTTTTTACCTTGCGTCAATTCAATTAGTTCTGATAACTGGAAAATCATTTTTCTGTACAAGAAGCGCTCTTTGCTGACAGACTGCAACAGCAATTGCTATCTCTAATCGTTTTGCAAACCTCTTATCAAACAGCCTATTCCTCTGCTGCTAATTTTCATGACGCCAAGGAGCATTTCTCTTATTGAAGCTGTCCTCGAAGCGAAAAAATTTAGGAATATTGAATGAATTTAGCGGAGATTTCACCATCAGTACTTACCATGTAAAAGACAGAGCTGTAGGACCTACAACTACAATACATTTCAACCATCAACTCCCTTGATACCTACTGTTTTTAGAACTATCTACTAGTTCAGACAACTCAATGCAAAAAATATTCATTTTAATAGTGCATCGGCAAACTCAGTGTGAAAATAAGAGGTTGAGTTTCCAAATCGTACATCCAGTTACCTACGTAAGTAATTCTAGTTGATACCTACAGGGAACAATAAACTGTGAAAAAAAAAAACCATTTTTCAAATTTACAACTTTGACCCCCTCCCTCTTCCCTTTTACGATCTGATTCCTATAATTTTCGGTGTTTCGGATTCAGGAAGTGTATTTCTATCAATTCTTAAAATATCATGATGATCAGATTGAAGTTGGATATTCATTAATTTGAGTTAGGCTCTTCCTATTCTAGCATGGTAAGTAAAACAAGATGTTACTCCCATTTCATTGGAACTTTTAGACAGCTAAGTATGTAAAATGTTGCAACAACTAAATAAGTCTGAGCATAAAAAAACCCATTGCATTAACATGAAAATCACTTACTCATGTCGATTTGTGTGAATCATCTGGATACACCGTGTCCACGACTGAGACAGTAACATGTTCCTTTCAACAAATTCATTATGCTACCACCAACAGAAAATCTCTTATGAATCTAATGGAACTTAGCTGCTGAGTTGGTTATCACAGGGATTTGTGGTTTACATATTGTTTCTCCTGTTAAATTTCCCCAAAACACGATGATGCTCGTTGAGGAGTTTTCTCTAAAATGAGCTTCCAAGCCCTTACACCTTTTTGAGTCGTAAGAATTTACATTTGTTTGCCATATTGGATTTTCTCCTCAGAAAAAGTTAGGATGAACTTCTCAATTTAGTATTAATGTATTTTAATTCTGGGACCAAAAAACAGCAAATAACTTTACTTAATATAAATTGATCCTGCCAATTTTAGTTCCTCAGCGGCCATTGAAAACACCACCTTGAGTTAAGGCTGTTCAAAAATATTGAGGAATGTCGAAATTGAATTTTCATTTCAACATATACAAATCCTTACTCATATACGTGTATCACCGTCAAGCTTTAGGAGACTCATATACACCTGGACTGTAGGCTGCAGAGTTTCACTGGAACCAGATGATGGCCCAAGATCTATTGAAATTTCTGGTTCACTTATTGGGACTATAGTCAAAGAAACCGTTTTGGGCCGGAAAGTAAAGTACTAGCAAATGCAGCTTTTACCTTGTCTAATTTAATGTAAATTTATAAGCAGTTTTGTTTATTTTTCTCATAGTAGTCATAATCATTTTGTCATGATTGCAAGCAACTGCACCACTTATACATAAAAACCCTCCTTTGTTTGACTTTGACTTGCCATATTTTTTTTCCTTTTTTCCATATTCTCAATACTGATCGATGGTACTTTTTTTTCCAGAATCTGATGAGATCTCATCCAAAGGCAATCGCCGCCGTTCCCAAAAGGAAAGAGCAATTTACACACCAGGAAGTGGACCTTTGAAGAAAACTGAAAATTGTGATGAAGAAGCTCCCGTTCAACAGACACAAAACAACAAAATTAGCAAGAAAAACCAAAAGTCTGAAGGTCAGAAAGAAGATAAAGTTCCAAACAACAATAGTACTCGATTGCAAGGAGGGAAGAAAGATGATGTCTCGCAGTCGACTCATAAAGATAAGAAGACTAACCTCGATAAAAGTGCACCCAAAATAACCAATAGTCGAAATTTTTCTAATTCAAAGGATTTTGGAAGCAAAAAATCTCTTAATACATTTCCCGGCAATAAAAGTGAACCACCAGCTTCAAAAGAGCCGCGATCAGACACTGAAGACAGAACCTTTGATGGAAAACAAAAGAACAGGAAACCGGATTCCCAGATCTATTCGGTCCCAAAACCTGTTCGAGCTTCTAACATCCACGAGCAACTTAATGAGTCGCACAAGGACACTCAAAGTGACTTTGGAAAAAATAATAGATCTTTTCCAAAATCATCTAAGTATAAACACAGTAATGTCAGAAATGAAACCAATAAAAATTTTGGCAGAACATACAATGAACAAGATAGAAAACGAACACAAAGTCAAAAATTCAGCAAAGAAAATGAAGATATACCGGTGAAAATGAATTTCAAAGGAAGCGACGATTCTCATCCAAATAAGCCTTTTGGTGAAGGTTGTGACCGTAATTTTTCCCGCGTAAGTTCTGATGAAAACTCAAGACCTTCCTCCTCTTTTTCTGCCAATAAATTGCCTCAAACTGTGAACACTTATGAACCTTGCAATAAACCCCAAAATGTTAACAATCCTGCAACAAATAGTACAAATACTTCAAGCAATTATATTACTCAAGCATCAAGTGATTTTAGCCACCTTGGTGCCCAAAATCAAGAAATAGATGTCCAGAAAAATTCAAGACAGACATCTGATCCAAGATCTTTTCAGCAACATTCGTCTGGAGCTAATGTGAATAGAAATCAATTGAATTCAGAGGCTGCCGCACAACGAGGTGAATTTTGGTCTCATTCAACAAAATTTTCTGATGAGAGAAGACCTTTACCAAGCAAAGCCACAAGTTATGAAGGTGGGAACCCTTATCGAAGGAATCGTAACCATCGCTCAGGTTCATTCAATGACAGAGGCTCTGGTCCTGAAAAATATCCGGGTAGCTATAGAGTTCCTGAGCAAGAGAAGGGTTCTGGTCACAATAGAGGTCCTGGTCATGATAGAGGCTCCGGTCACGATAGAGGCTCCGGTCACGATAGAGGCTCCGGTCACGATAGAGGCTCTGGTCACGATAGAGGCTCCGGTCTTGATAGAGGTTCCGGTCATGATAGAAGCTCCGGCCATGACAGAGGCTCTGGTCATGACAGAGGCATCGGTAACGACAGAGCCAGTCATGATAGAGGCTTTGGTCATGATAGGGGTTCTGCTCGAGAACAAGAATCAGCGCTTAGTCGAAATCATGGACCCAGTGCAGGCTCTAACTCTGATAAAAATTTTGAACGTCCTGAAGAATCTCACAGTAATAAAGGGTTAGCCAATGACAGTAGACCATACCCTGAAAAAAGGTTTGGCAGTGATAGAAAGATACCTCCAAGTAACTTGTCTAATCTCTCTGGAATACAAGACAGGGTTCAAAATTCTATGAAATTGCCTGAGAATGTACCAGAAATGGGCTATGCATTCAATGATAGAGGGCGTCCGATGCAAGGTAGGAGATCGCCGCCTGTTGATGATGGACAAATAAGAGGCCAAGGTTTTCACTCTGTCCAAGGATCCAACCCTGATCTTCGTCCTCTTCAAACTGAAGGCATCTTTGACCCCAAAGAACGTCACGGGCCAAATGAAAAGAATATTTCAATCATGAGGCATGCTTCTTCTATGCAAGCCCTTTCAACCGAAAGACTGGTAAGAACTGATCACACTATTCCTCCTGAAGCTAACTCATTCCTTGAAAAAGGTAGATATCTTGAAACAAGTAATACTTATAATCCTAGTCCAAGACCTGACCATGGGGGTGAATCCTTTTCTTTCAATAAAAATACTGCTCCTCCACTGCAGAATTGGAATCCAGTACAGGAACATAACCTTCCTCTTGATCGAAACCCTTCAAAGGACAGAGGTCCCTCACGCACAGGCTGGGAGTTTGCTACAGTAAGAGACTTTCCACGTGGAAGAGGAAGAAATTTGGACAGGAGGCAACCGCTTAACAATGTATCATCAAATGCTGTGAGGCCTTTGGAAAATAAATCTGCTCCTGATTTCCATCCAGCATACGACATGCCATCCTCTCATGATGCATCCTCTTCAGTGATGTCCCAAAGTTCCTCTCATGAAAGACCTATGCGTGATCGAATGTCAAACAAACCTCCGATGCATCAAAAAACCCCTAAATCCACTTTCACTGCACCTCGGTTCTTGAGAAAAGCTATGGAAGAAAATCGTTTGAAAAATCTTAATCAAAATATGGATTTCATTGGCACCAATTCAGAACATAAATGGGATGGATCAAGTGCGACTTACTCCAGTAGACGTGATAATTATCCAGCTAATTCAGCCTCTCTTCCCCCGCCTTCCACCAACCTTCCACCCACTCATAATCAGCCTAGTCATTATTCCCAACCTCGAGGATCTAACAGTTGGGGACTTCCTCACAATCAACAAAATTCCAAATCGCGGGGAAAAAGTTTTCACCATATGAATGGCCCTGATCATAAATTCACAAATGATCGTCCTACTAGTTCTGAAATTCCAGAGCTTTCATCGAGTAACGTTCGAACCAATATTCAAAGTAAAGCATATCATTCAAATGATTCCTGGAAAAACTACGACTCTCATAATCGTACGGAAAGAAACCGGGAGTATCCAGATGAAAGTTCTGATAACCGAAGAGACAGGAGACTGCCTAGTCAATCAGACACAAGCTCCATTGACTATCAAACAAACACTGTTAGTCGCGATTCTTTCAGCTCAGACCATTCTGAAAAACCCATTGTCAATGGCAAAAGAGAGGACTCATCAGATGAAGAGGAAGATAATGATGAAGAAGATTCAATTGCAAAATCAGTCGGAGATCCCTTCTCTATGGTAAGTTGTTCCATTTAATACTCACAAATATTTTTACTACTATGAGCTGTCGCTGGAAAACATTTAGCCCAGCTGTAAAGCTCACTGTTGACCTTTGCCTGTAATTGAATTGTTAAAAAAGTCAGTGAATACTGGAGCAACTATATGCAAGTAGGGTGCAACCTGTAGTTACAGCTTATTGGTCCTGTTGGATAATTGAGTTGTAAGAGGTGGCCCCTTCAGAGGGCTTTTTGAGAAAAATTGTATCAAAGAAAAATGTCTTATTTTTACTCATGAAACATGCTCCTGCAGTCTAGTGGTTCTACCGTGGATCACCCTGTAAATTCACATTTCAAGATAATGAAGGGTCATATTTTGTGGCGTTTTTGTCACTCAGTTTACTTAGTTAAGAAGTTTTAACTTCTTTGCAACCTAGGTATTCAAATTAATGTAATGGTGAAGGAGAAAAAAATTCTTGAATACAGCCTGAAGTCGTCATAGGTTTTTCAATCACTTTTTTTTACTATTATTATTATTTAATTTTGTGTGCAAGTATTAGCAATAGGTACTGGATTCATCTGATTTTGCTATTCATTTTATTGAAGATAGTATTTCTTTACATCTGTCAGATCACCATACTTACCTCAAGCAAGTCGTATTCTTTTTGCCTGCTGAAGAGCTCATTAAAATTGATACCAGACGATTTTTGACTCCAAAAAATGCATTTAAAATTGAAAGATACCCATGAATAACTGGAAGTTTAAACAGTACTCAATTAGAATTATGTTTACTAATCATGAAGATTTTAGGGTATGTAATATCAGTTCTCTTTCAATTATGCTCTTTTTCCCAGAACTGGGCGGATGCTGTAGAAAATGATGATGATGAATTTAGTGAGCCTGTCCAGAGGAATGAAGAGCCAGGTCCACGTGAAGCAGTTCGTGCTCCTGCGGATAGGCACTCTGACAGGAATCGAAGGCGTCGAAAAAAAAGGTAAGCCATACTGCAGCTGATAAATTATAAGTTAACCTTAAAGATCACTCTAAAGTGTTTGAAAAATAATCCTAATTTCGAAAATTGGTGTTCCCCAGGGAGAAATCTTTTCTAATGTCTAAAAAAGGACCCTATGCACAATGGACCACTAGACAAGGTACGAATTTCAGCATTCTGATACATGCTTCTTAACCAAAATTTCACGTAGAACACAATGCGCTTAACGAAAATTACGGAAATCAACTCCTTACGAAGATATTCAATAATTCTTGATGCGTGAATTCAAATCACCCGCTCATGAAAACTCATAGCTCTACATGATTCACATCGCGCACTAAACATTTATCATGACAGTCTCTGCAATATAAAAATCTGGCAACCTCAATCTTGACGCTTTGGCTCAGCCATAGCAAATTGCTAATAGTTTGAACAACTCCTGGTGGGAATTGAAGATTGCTCGATTGAGAAGATTGCTGAAACCGTTGTAGCGATTTGACTCACGTATAGCTTTGAGTTCCTTGTGAGTGGGCAATTCAAATTCCTTGTAACCAATGTGAAATAAAAACGTAAATATCTTCGTTAGGAGTTGGCTTCAGTCATGTTTGTTGCACGAATTGTGTTCTGCGTGAAATTTTGGTTAAGAAACATGTAACAGAATCCTTTAGTTTGTACCTTGTCTAGTGGTCCATTTCAACCCTAAAACCAAATTTTTATGGATCCGCCATTTGCCCATGAAAACTGCATAAAATTCATGTCTGAATGTCAAAATATCAGGAATTAATGTACTTCTTCCCATTGATTCCCATCAGAAATCAAAGGATTCCTACTCAAAAAGAAAAAAAATATAATTGTGATAAACAGACGACTAGCTGAGATGTGCCTGCCACGTCTTTAGGATTCTGCTGCCCCATAGCGTAAGAGAGCTGTTGCGATGAGCTAATTGTACTAGGATGCAGCTTTGCTGCCTCTCTGGACTCCATAAATCTTTGACCATATTTGAATGTAACGCCTGTTCTTTTGAAGGGATAAATGTGTTACTTTGTGAATTTCAAAGTAATCTTTTCAATTTTCTCTGCGTCAAACACTGTCTATTCTTCTCCAGCAAACCTCTGTAAGATGTCCCATTTTGAAGTCAAGGGCTGATAAGATACCCCTCAAAATCCGATTTTAAGGTTTTAAATGAGTGCAGGGCTCTTTTATAGACCGAAAAAGAGATTTCAGCTCAGAAAGAATAAATTTCCATAAATTATTGAATGAGATAGTAGTTCATATTAAATTTGGTTCTTCTTTTTTTTTTTTTTAACCCCTTAGATTAACAGAGAATTTTCTATGCAAAGAGAAGACCTCACTAAGCATTTTTTAAAATCGTGGTTACATTTTACTCCAGTAATTTCAAGAGTTCTAAGATAAGATAATACATCTGTCCATCTCTCACATTGAGCTAAACTAAGGCACTTTGTGTGGATTCAAATGTCATTTTAGTCAGCATTCTCAATCCTGTAAATTTTGGAAAATGGTTTTAGTTTTGAATGATCATTTTGAGATAGGAATTTTATCATTCACCAAGTTTAAGGGAAATTCTCCGAAGGAATTTTTCATGTAGGACAAGTGAGAAACAGGAAATAAGTACTGCTTTCTATTTTCAATTTTCTCCTAACATTTTTTTCTTCCCTTTAGTGGAAGTCAAGAACGAGACCTAAGTAGAAGACGAGACTCAAACGCTTCAAGTTTCCGACAAGATGGTCGCTTCACGCAAAATGAAGAGAGGATGGATTGGGGACGGTCTTCTAAACCAATGGGTATGGATAGAAATCGGCGAAAAGACAGTACTGGAAGCTGGAACAATGAGAGACCATTCAATCGAGATCGTGATAAGGACCGTGGTGGCAACAGAAGGAACCGCAACAGAAGCTCAAAAAGAGGAATCGATAAGCAAAGAGACAGAGACAGAGAGAGGCTTGACCGAGATCCTGAAAATTGGCGGGCTCGAAATGATAGTATGTCTGATTCCAAACCAGACTTTGAACCTAGGTCAAGAGATGAAAACCATCCAAAGGATAGCAACCGGGAAGATGGATCAATTCATAGAGAACCTGTAAATACCCCGAAGTGCCCCTCAATAGGTGGTATTCTTGTTCTACCAGCCGAAACATCCATGTCAAGAGCAGCAAAGAACCCCTCTCTCTCTCATCCAGAGACATCCTCAAGTTCAGGGCAACAAAAGACTCTGTTCGATCCTAATAATCCAGGTAAACCAATTTACGTGCCTTTAGCTCATTTGCGGCCTGGACGTTCAGAACGGTCTTTGAATGTTTCGTTTCCTGACAGGGGAACTCCTTATGCCCCTCAGTCTGGCGGAGCAGATTCTGCTTCATCTGCAAGCTCGTCAAGACCCTCTTGGTACGATCCGCATTCGGAAAGGTAAGATTTTCTATCTCTTTTTTTCTATTTTACAGTAAGTATTGTTGTTTATTTATAAACAGATAAGTATAAAAGAGATCTTAAAAAACAAGAAAATGAAAAATAAATAAGTACATAAAATAAAATAACTGAACACTCAATCAGAGGCGGCAGCTTTGTATAGTTTCCCTTGTTAAAAGCCAGTTTAGTCTGTGAAAAGCCAGTTAAAACCATCATTCACTCCTAAGATTGTGCCTGTCTTTCAGATGAGTTCGGTGTTTCATTCATTATGTCCCTCTCATAGCATACATCTAAGTCAACAAATTGCCTTTTCTTTTTACAGTTTCAAGTCAGCAAAAGATCAGTCTCTTTTGTTGGACATTTGTCGTGGTGATCTTGAACTGCAATGGTTGTGTTCTTCAAATCTCATTCAACACTGGTCAAGAATAGCTGAGCTGAGGTATGAATGTAATTTTCGCCTAATTTATGCACCCTATATCTTCAGAATGTTACTATTTAACTCCTGGTCACTCCTTGGATGCTCTCTCCAAACAGATTCATTGGTTTAGTCTAGCTTATTTTATTTACCCTGATGTCTCTTTTCATTGAACTAAAATTAAGTATCTCTTCGCCCTTTGTGCATCAGAAGCCCTCAATTTATATTCTTCATACAATTAATTTTTTCCAAGAAAGAATGATTAAAAAAATTAATCCATGAATGATAAATCACTAGGAAGCATAAATCTAGTGAAAATCTCATCTCATGTAGTTATCTGATCTGATAGAGTGATCTGATCTGATTCAGTGATTTGCTCTGATACGGTGATCTGCTCTGATACAGTGATGACATTATCAGATGTAAATGCAAATTCACCACTTTACTAGGCCTGAACTAGAGAACAAAATCACATATTTTATTTTCAAAATCTTAAGTAGAAAACGATTCAAACAACGAGAAATATGGCAATCAACTCCTGAACAAGATGAAACAAGTTTTTTTAATACAGATCAAGTAGACATTAAATTCTTTACTGACATCATTTTTAATTTTTCCATTTGACTAAAGTCAATTGTCAACAATCGTGTTTTGTCTAAACAACTCTTAAGACTTGATTTCCAAACTTCTGGCTGGGCGGTTTGTTTCCCTGTTAAAATCTTGAAGAGAAAACGTACGGCACAGTGCTTGTTCATACTTTGTCCAGAGACTCATTGCAATGGTTTCAATATCCTTAATTGGCAAAAAATGTTTATGACCAAAATTAGTATAATAAAGATAATAATAAGCACAATCCTAATTATTCACTTGAAATGAATAAATTTACAGGTCTCCAGTGAATCAAAAATTGATTGATTCATCAGAGATCGATAGATGTTTAGAAAGTTGATATATTCATTTTCAATCACTTGTAATTTTTTGCCAAATAAAAGAGATATATGTGGTTTTGTAGTCCCTTCAGGATGTAAAGAGGAGGAAAAGTCGTGAAATGTAATTTTGATTACTTCTTGAAACTGTTTCCTCTCTTCCTTTTCTTTCTTTTCGTCTTCTCCTACTTCTACTTCTCCCTCCTCCTCTTTATCCTCCTACTCCTCCTCCTCCCCCTCCTCTTCCTCTTCTTCTTCTAATGAACTGGAAAAATCGAAAGAATGCTGGATAACAGCAAAACCCTAATACATGTTATTTTATTTTCTTCCTCTTCTTCCTTCTCCTCCTCCTCTTCTTCTTCTACCTTTTCCTCTTATGAACTGAAAAAATCTAAAGAATGCTTGATGACAGCAAAAACCTAATACATTTTGTGTTACTTTCTTCTTCTGTTTCAGGAATTTCTTTGAACTTGCACTAGAAGCATTACTTGTCCATGATTTGAAATTTTGTGAAGCAGAAAACATTGAATGTCATATATGGAAAGTGGCCTATCATAATTTGATTGAGCTCCTCCGCAAACTTATGCTAGATAACCCAGAACAGAAAGATAGTGTTCGCACGTACTTAATGCAATTGATTGAACAGGTATGACGCCCATGATAATCCTCATTTTACCATCTGAGCTGCCTTGCTTTGAACTATACCATGCGGTTGCTCCTGTTTTATCACTTTCAAGGAAAGAGGCTCTTACAATTGGATAGGCTCTCACAGAACAATTGATGTCCATTTTTTTCCTCTCCATGAAAATGCATGACGTTCCATTTTTTAAGGTTGCATAAACCTTGTCAGTGAAACTATGAAAATGCTCACCTCTTAATCTTATAATCCATTGACTTTAACCCGCAATGAGGAGCCGCCACATGCGGAATGGATGGTGCAGAGCCGTCGGTCACCTGTCAAAAATTAGTGTTTTTTGGCCACACCATGGCCCCCCAACGCATTCTGGAAGCAGTGTGATGGGGGGGGGGGGTTATTTAAAGGAAAATCGAGTACTAATTTCAAGTGCCCTAAGGTTAAATTATATCATTAGTCTATAGGCCAAGAGCCATAGAGAAATTTTCATTGCTCCTTTGCTAGTCTCCTTTAAATTTATAGATCCATTAGATTGTTTAGTGTATTTCTTGGATATTGAATTTTTGAAATGTAGGAGCAAGTGCTCTTGTGCGTTGATTAGCATATTTGCACAGGCTTTACCTAGAAATACAAAATTTTGGGTTTGATTGCAACCAAGATGAATGAAACCAAGAGGGTGAGCATGACTATTCTATTTTTTATTTCTTAAATACCATTACAGCTTTAGCCGAATATTGTGTTTAATGCATGTTTCATGTTTCAGGGAACTGAATATTTCAAGAGGCTCTTGAGCAGGCTCGAAGAAACGTATCAAATTAAATTTGATGCACCCATCAATACTGCTGAAAAAGTCACAGGATTAACCTCAATCGCTCTAATTTCTGCTCAGAAGCTTTTCATTTTCCTTGGTGATTTGGCTAGGTACAAAGAGCAAGTGAATGAAACATCAAACTATGGATCAGCTAGGAGTTGGTATCTGAAAGCCCGGGAAATGAATCCGAAAAATGGGAAACCGTACAACCAATTAGCCCTAATCGCATTTTGTTCCAAGAGGAAAATAGATGCAGTTTACTATTATATGCGCAGCTTGATGGCCTCAAACCCGATTCAGTCTGCGAAGGAAAGTCTCCTGTCTCTATTTGACAATAACAGAAAGAAGTACGAGTCTCTTGAGAAAAAACGGATGGAAGACAGATTAAAAAAGAATAAAGATAAGGCAAAGGAAAAGGAGAGCTTTCATGATAGTAATAAAAAACGTCGTGAGATTTGGATTCGTCCAGATGACGGCACAAGAAAGAAAATGACTCTTACAACTAAAGAGGATTCCGAGGATGAAGAGCTCTCTCTACTTTCTCACATAGAGGTACGTTTATTACCTGTCCCAAGTATTCATCGCAAATAGGCAAATTCTGAGAACCTACTAGGTTTTGAATGTTTTTGATAAGGATCTCCTAATTTTTTAGAATTTTAAAGAAAAAAGTTGAACACATCAACAACATTGCTCTCAAATTTAATATGTTTTACGATATATACACAAAAAGTGGACAGAGCTGTTACGAGGTGGAAATCTAGGATGTAATGGCACATGAAAGGAAACTCAAATATACACAAAAAGTGGACAGAGCCGTTACGTGGTGGAAATCTAGGATGTAATGGCACATGAAAAGGAAACTCAAATATACACAAAAAGTGGACAGAGCTGTTACGTGGTGGAAATCTAGGATGTAATGGCGCATGAAAGGGAAACTCAAAGTAGAGGGATAGGTGCAGCCCAGCATGGGAAAGTAGACTGGCGGTGAGATCAATCCACACTGATCGGTCATTCCTGTGACCGAGTTCTGAGACCCACTTGCATTGGCAGCAGGAAGTTTAAATGCAATTCATTTTCTATGAGAGAAGCCAATAGACTACATCATACTGGCTGCGGTTGAGTTGAGGCTGGCAGGGTAATGGATTTCAAAAAGCTCTGTGGTGACTGATGTGTGTAGATTAGTGTTTACTGGTGGAAGGATACATATGGAGGAGAGCAATTTTCAACATGGTATTTTTCCAAAGGGCAACCTTGGATTGTAGGCTTGTATTTTAGATTTTTACTTTTCTGTATTTTCGGATTTTTATGTTTTAAAGTTAATTCTTTAGGAGAATGTAGCCCGCAAAGAATGATTATTTTTCATTGCTTGCGCCCTCAATTTGGAAAAAATGCACTAACTAATTTAAGCCATGGCTTTATGAAGTAGCGTTTTTGCTACAAATACATTTAGTGCTCAAATATAGGGTGCCTTCATAGAATTTATTTGTGTATTCTGGCAGATTGATACATTGATGACCACTTCTCATTACTTCATAATCATCAACCATGACTTTATTATAATTTTTTTCTTGACTGAAAAAGCTAATAATTGGATTTTGTTTGTTTTATACTTCTAGGTCAATAAAAGATTTGGTGTTAGCTTTTTACACATTCAAGGAAAACTCTTCAATAAAGTTGGGTAAGTATTCACCGATGATTTTTCGAACTCTACCTCTCCATGAAATTTATCCCATTACCTTCATTTAACAAATCGTAGCCTTTATGTGACTTATCATCATTGTTTTTATTCTGCCTGTCATTTACCGATATAATGCATCAACACACATACAATATGTATGAGTAACCTAACACATTTTTATAAGGCAGCTTCTTCTTTTTATTTTCATTGTTCCTCAATACATACTTGATCTAACCCAATTTTTGGCTGATCCAATCCTAAGAGAAAATGAGAACCTGCTTTTAATAACAAATGACTGGCAGCTCAACTTTTCTGCTCTTTGACAGCCCAGCCAATCAGAGACCTGATAGTCAACCTTTTCACCCTTATGGGAAACAACATAAGAAAAAGACATCTTTTAGAAACCAGGAATTGTTCTCAGATCTAGCTCATTATTCTGCAAAATATGTGCACAAATCAATTCGCGAGGATATTTTCCATTGCCATGCAGGATCTTCAACTTTTTCCCAAATGTACAGAAAATTTTGATTTTTGAAATTTCAATTTTCTTTTTCTTATCCATGTTGTTTTATCCATGCTTTTATGCCTGGAATGCAGAAAGTATCTCTCCTCCTCATTTTCCAAATTGGCCTCCGTATTTTAAAAACCCCGCACCCCCCTTTCCCTCAGACATTATGATGTGATGACCTTTTCATGGCTCTGTATGTTAAAATGCCATGATTTTGCAAATACCTTGCTATTGCTTAAAAAACATGTTTTCTTCAACCTTCTTATTTTTAAAAGCCATTTTTGCACGTGACCAATTGCCACCCACCCTGTCGCGTGGTCAAGAGATTTTTGTACCCCTGCTGTGTGCCTTCCCATCATTCTCTCCTGTATGAAAGTAAACAGACCTGCCTGCTTTATCCATTATCCATAGAGCACATAGAGTCGTTATGTTAGTGAAAGAGCTGGCGCCATGTTCTAGTCGACGAGTTCAGAGTGTGCGCTGAGGTTCAGTCACCAAAAAGGCAATTTAGAATACGTAGTCATTCCTATCCTTTTGGTTTACATCAGATGGTGGGGTCCCGTGTATCAAAAACAATCGATCGTGTATTGGAAAAGTGACCCGGCATGACACAAGAGTCTCGGAATTTGGGGACCTGGAAAATGCTTAAAAGAGGCCGGTTCTCCCATTTACATTACGACTCTATTTACTCAGTGCCATTATCCGTCATTCACATTATCTAAAATAATATTCCTCTGTTTTGCATTGAACACTACCCAAAAAATTATCTGCCTCATCATCATCCATTTCCATGCATTTTATCTGCATTTTTTTAATTAATGCTTTTTCCTCATTCATTGCATTTCAGAATGGAGACATTCCAGGATGCTGCTCACCAGATGTTGCGCGAATTTAGAGCTTTATTACAACATTCCCCAATGGCCTTAAATGTTACCCGGCTCCTTCAATTATTAGCATTAAATATGTTTGCAATTGTTAACACACAATTGAAAGGTAATTTTTCTTTTATCATTTTTCTTCAGGTACTTCAGTCAGGGTTGCCAGTAGTCTGGAAACTAGGGAAAATCAGGAAGTCTGTGGTAACCAGGAAAAGTCAGGGGAAGCCAGGGAAACCAAACCACCATAACTGAACCAAAAATATATAGAAACCACAGTTTCCTAAAAGGATTATCAACAGATGGCCCGAAATTATTTTAGACATCAGACGAATTCTTAAAGACCAGGGCCCAATTAATCCTCTGATAGATTCAAGCAAACACACCAAAGTCAGGGAATTGAATGTGTAAGCGTTTAGCAGAAGTGAGTGCAATTTAAAGGAAGAAAATCAAAGAGGAAGTTTTATTCGAATGTGAGATTAAGAGTAAAAGATTAAAGTAAAGACAGGAGTTTTTCGTGTCAAAACTCAAGAAGTAAGGGCAGGAAAACAAGAAAAAGAGAATCCTGGAAGTTGTTCAATATTTCACCATTATTTGTAACCTTTTTTTTCTTCTTCTTTTCTTTTTTTTTTTTGCCTAAATAAAGTCTGAAAGTTACCACAATTCATGTTAAATTGTTATTTTTTTTTGTAGATAAACAACTTGGAGATGAGCTTGAGGTTAGGACTGTTCAACAAGAATCAGCCTTGTTAGTATCATTGCAAATGTTCAACATAATTTTAGAACGAACCATTCAGTTGCTGAAGGATCAGTTCTTTGTGGAAGGGAAAGGACCTCAGCCTCACCAAAATTTTGTCGGCTCAGATCTCGAAATTTTATTGCCTGCAATCAAAGTAAGTATCCATCTCTAATTTTTTCTCTTCTTTAATTATTTTGGTACCTCAAATTGGAGACAAATTTCTAGCAACCTAAAAAATTATATTATTTCCCCCGTCTAAGTCCTGTTGTACTACTTTGCGTGCCACGCTGAACCTTTAATTAAATGGACAATTTATTTTCACTTGGAATGTGTATTAATTTCACAACTTTATGTCTTATTAGGTATGGTGCGATTGGCTAATGTATCATGAAAAAGTTTGGAACCCTCCTCCCTCATGCTGTGATTATCTTGTCGGGTAAGTTTTCGCTAACATTCTTGCCTTGCTCTGTGGCCCCCTTGCTTTTATTGGATTTTTTTCCCTTCCTATTGCAGCAAAAACTTGTCTGATGCAAGATGGGGAATCTTCTTTTTATGGGTGAAAGTGTGTCCATCAATTCATTGTCTCAAAAGTACTAGGAACTACTTTCCATACTCAAAATGAATCCATGCACAGAACCAGTCTAGGAAGAATGAAAGAAATAGAAGGAAGCATTCAAGGCCTTATCTGTAACAAATCAAAAATCCAGTTTTTAAGCTTTGAGAAAATCTTATTAAAGTTTCAAAAGTTGTGCGCTTTGATGCCCTTAGGACATAGAGAGTTTGGCTTAAGGGTTTACTTTAGAATAAATCCTCCTCTAAAAAATGGTTCTTAGAATGTTCAATTTGAAGCAATGGATGAGAAGCCACAGTGAATTTAAGTAATGACAATATTTGCTGTTTTTACTGCAAACTTATTTTTTTTGTTTGCATAAAACCAAGTTAGGTTATGATTATATGCAGTACAGTAGATTCCACCGAGAGTTACCTCAAAATAACTTCCTTATCACCTAACTCTCACGCTTTGCCTTATTTTACAGCCCTGTGTCAGCTGACTGTTGGAACCGTTTAGCATCTTTAGCAAACTACTGTGAGAAGATGGAATTTGAAAATTCGGAACTGATAGTTGCTGAGAAACAACCGGAAGGTGAATCAATTTTTCCCTTTTTTCATTTATCCGACAATGCTAATTTCATTATTGATTTAAAATCGTGAGTGAATCACGGGGTCATAAGCTCCTCAAAGATCTGAAATTGGGATTAAAACAGGGAAATCTGAGATTATCGCTGACTGAACTGTTGTGGAGGCTCAGATGTTGAAATAATCAGAATTTTATCATGATTTTCCTCAGTTTGAATTTGGCAATGTTCTCAGCATGTTTGGTTTCAGTGAAAGTTTAGTAGGTAACCAGTAATTGCAGAGTGAGGTGAGACCTATTAAATGTATAAGCGTTGACAGTAATGACCTCAAACAAATCTGTTTGTAGGACTTGTTTGTCTAATTTTCATGCAAAACTGCAAAGCTTTGCAATCACCTAATGTTTCAAACCCATAAGCCCTATTGAGGCAAATGCTGCTATAAAATCAAGAGGGAAAAAAAGTAGAAATCAAAACCGTTAGTCAAATACAAAGGAATATTAAGTGGTTCCACCTGTTTTGAATAAAATGGAAACCAAAAGGAATTGTACCATCATAGAGAATTTGTCCTCTCTCCATCAGCTTATTTACTCATAGGAATGTTTTGTTTGTAGATTTTGTGCCGGTATTACTTCCTGAAGATTCCTTATTGTCTGGATTTTCTCCTCTAATTTCACCTTTTCCATCCAAAGGTTCTGTCTACACATCTAAATCAGGGGATCTGGTAAGTAATTTTGAGAATATCAAGTTAAACGAAAGGGACAAACAAATAAGAAAAAAGTAAACTGCTGGTGGTCAGGTAGATCAAACTTTTCTCAACTCTTTCTTTTTTGCATAGGTGTTAGGTTAGGTTGAAGAGGCTCAGATAGGTCTATCAATAAATCCATCGGAAAAATTGCTCATCCCAGCAAATTCTTAAAATTGAATGTATCAGTCAGTAAGCTAAAAAAAGTTGGCTCTTTTCTCACGATTAGCAAAATGTAAGACGACGGAATCTCTTTGCTTATACCCTAAGGAAGATGTACAAAAGGTCTAGTTTCAAGTATCTTTGTTTGGAAATATGTTGCAATAATTGCTGTGCTGAATGAAATTTTAGGCAAATTGGCAACTATTTTACTTTCAGAAGGATCCCAGTAGCACCCCTGTGCTTTGCCGCAGTACCTCTTTAATTCTCTAAGGAATTGAAAATATGTATAAGCAAGTGCCATCTGACAGCTTTCCCATGTTAAAGTAAAGAACTACTAGTACGAGAGCCTGACTACATTTTGTAACAAACTTGGAACACAAGTTTAAATCACCTAAATTGATAGCCTTACATGCTCTGACATGGAAAATGGTTGTTGTCCATGTCGTAGCGTGTGCCAACACATATCAGACAACCATTTTCCGAGTCGGTTCAGATTTAAGTGGCCAAAACTGGTGTCGCGAGTTTGTCACAAAATGTCGTCAGGCTCTCAGACTATACCTTTTTCTTCTCAACTGTCTTCAGTATTCCAAACATGCAGAAGAAAATCTGAAAAGCGTCAACAGTTAAATCCAGATTTTATACACGTGCCAACTTTTTATTTCTTTTCAATTTTTTTTTAAATATTTGCACTGTCTATGGAATTGAATGCAAGTTATCTCCTTCTCCTATCCCTCTTAACAATATACTAAGTTGGGCTAAAATCAGTGTTACAAATCGCTCCAACTTGGAAGAAGAATTAAATTATCGCTTGGAGTAACACATTTGTCTATCATTCAACATCCGATGAAAATAATAATTCAGCTTTAATATTTTTATTTTTAGGATACAGCTCAGATGCATCATCGTGTAGATAGAATATTATTCTTCACCACTATATATTTGCGTGGTCTAGAACCTCCAGTGCTGAAATTACAGAAAAATGACTCTGGTCATTCAGAATACATTTCAGTTGTTGAAGCTGCCACCTCTTCTCGAGACCAGGTAATTTTAATAACACAAAATATGCTGTTAAGTAACACACTTCATTAACATTATTCGATAGACTCACAAGATGTAGTTGATTCTTTTTCTTGCACACACACCCATAAATAATGTACATTTAATGAAGTTAATGTACAGTACACAACATGATATCAATTATTGACCTGAAATCTAAGTGGATTAAAAGAAAACCTTTAAACTTCCCTCCTATCAACAAGCATGTTACAAACATCAGACAACTTTTGCAGCCTGTGATGAATGAAGATATGGGCTAAAATATCAATATCATGGGTTTATTGTCTTCCTTGCAGTAAAAATAATAATCCTGTGTCATCTGGTTTTTCCTGAGTAATTTCTCCCTCAGTGTTTTACTCCTTGTAAGTTGATTGCAGCCAGCTTTTTATTATGTGATTGGCTGTATCTTTCAGCCACTCAGTTACTAACTCAGCGCCCCAAAATTTCAAGTAACAACTGAAATGCCGAGGCACTTGTAACTGCTGAAAAATTGGAAAGTATGTATATGGCCTTTATTTTGCAAAATCCATATCACTTAATTTCCCATCACATATTCTCAATACAATTCAACATTTTATTAAGTGTCTCTGTTTAATATAAGAGCAAACGTAATTTTTTTACCTTAAAATCATATTCTCCCATATTCAAATTTCCATTTTATTGGCATATATTTTAGCAGGTACAGCATCAAATTGTTTCTTTTTGTTTTATTTTCCAACTGAAATCTCATTTTTATTTCCTCTCTCTATGCTGCAGAGTGATACGGAGCTATGCACTGAAAGTATGAGTGAAGAAGAAGACTGTGATGCAATTCTAATTGGAGAAGTTGATGTTGAGTCTGAAAATTATGATGATGATAATTTGGAGAAAAATTCACCTACAAAAGAAACCCGGAATCTTTTAAGGCAGAAAAAACTCCTTGAAAAAGCTCATCAAAAGAAGGAGCGCTACGAACAACAAGTGAATGTAAGTAATTATCTTTTTATACTGCTCTATACTACAGTTTCAATTTGCTGAAATAACAAGCAAATGTTACACTAAAATGTTTAGAAAAAAGTCTGAGTAAAATATGAATTTGGGAACTTTGGAGACCCTATAGACACTTAGGGGACCCTGGGGTGCATCTTAAAAACAAAAATGTTGAAATGTTTTGTTTACCTGGGTGGCAATTGATCCCATATTGATAAAATATTTGTGTCTTATTTTGGGTGAACTCCGTCAATTTTTCCTATCATAAAAAGTTAATTTTACAGTAATAAATGTAATTTTCAATTTTAGACAGATGTCCACCTGAGGACAGTAACATTCAAACCATTTATTATTTTGAAACACCCCTCTCCCTCCATTTTCCCCCCTAATTAATGTGTCGCTGTATTACTGATTTTCATGGTTTTAAGCTTTTATCAAAGGATACTATGAATTTCAGGTGCAGCAACTGTTCTGTCTCTCTATTTTAAAGAAAAGTTTCAAGATTATGAAATTCAGAGTCTTCAGAGTTTATCACACTTTATACAACTTTTTTCTAAAACCGTTCCAATTGTGAACAGTTCTCTGTCATACGCCGTTCCCCTCTCCCCCGGCCTTTATTAGGCTGTAATATTTTACTTCGGTTGAATATTTAAGATATTGAATGAAAATTATGTTTTCTGAGCTTTTTATTAGCCTGTTCATTTTTAACATTTTTAACATTTTTTTCAGGCTATTCTGGAGCAATGTTCCTATAGCGTAGAAATGGAAGTGAAACCAAAGTACTTAGTTCCTGATACAAATTGTTTCATCGATTACCTACCGTATTTGAGATCCATTTCTGAAGTGACCACTGACACAAACGAGACATTATATTCGTTAATGGTGCCTTTGATTGGTGAGTATATTAAAGAGAGGAATTTACAAAAATTTATGTTAGTTTCGTTTTAAACAATTTTCTGAACTCATTTTTAGTAACTCCTAACAGGTGTATTCAGGAGCAAGAAGATTTGCGTGATTGAGGCATTCTCATGACTTCAATATCTAGTTCAATCTTAGGACTGGGGAAGGTTTTAAAAAAAATCCGTCGATCATGAATCAAACAAGTGATTTTATGCCATTTACGGAGAATTATTGTACCACACAGGACATAGATAACTATAAGGAAAAATATACAAAAATAGAAAGTAATCTAATTGAAGTTTCCAAAACGTTTCATCTCCTTTTCCAGTTTTTGAAAAACTTCCATGCTAAGGCAGCCCTAAAACCCAACTCAAGCCACTCACTCTGACCTGAAGCAGCCAGTCTCTGCCATGCTAGGAGGCACCCCCAGACCCCACCCCAAGATAGAGAAATAGTGCCCACTGAGTGAACCCCCCGCAGGATCCACCCCAGCCCAAAATGACCCGTGTCCACCATGAATCGTGTTCCATCTGGAAGCAGGCAGAAAGAGTGAAATTCTCATGACAAGGCATTGTGAGGGGTCTAAGTGGAGAGCAAGGGCAAGTTTTAAAAGACACCCAACCCTCATATGGGCCCTTGTGTATGTCTCGTTTGTCAACCTTGTATGCGTTCTACTCTCAGGAAAACAGTAAACATTCATCATGACTGATTAGAGTCTTAGAAAAAACAGTTTCTTCAATTTCCTCTTATTTCGAGTGGCAAGGGCGATGATAACATTACTGTTGTCATCACTGAAAACCTAAGGAAATTGAAAAAATTGCATTTTCTTCAACTCATTAGTTTCGATGTACACTCAGCATCATTTTGTCCACATCATCAAAATGTAGCAAATTATAGTTACACATGTTAAGACACCTTAAGCTGTCCGAAATCCTGGCGTGGGGAAACTGCTACATGTAACTAAGTTTTTGTAGGACCTCCGCCCATGAAAGATAGCTGTGTAGCAATCTCTGCTGCTTTTTTCTCCTTTATACTCATTCCAAGTCGTTTTCTTAGAACTGCGCTTGAGATGTTAACTCTATAACTGCACGAGGCGCTAACTCTGTCACCGTTGCCTTTGAAGTGTTGGTGATGGATATTGCATATTTTTTATTTGTTTACAGACTACTTTGTTTGTCTCCAGGTTTGGAATAATAACCCTTTTAAAGTTTGTTGCTTTGTAGCAGAGAACTGTAGATAGGACCACCTTATGTTGTGTTACATGTCAAATGTGGAAAAGCTTAATTTTGTTAGAGTGGTCATCTTCTTGTATTACAATTATCAATGTCATTGAAAGTTTTCTAATGAATGTTTGTCAATCGTGTTTCAGTTAAAAATGAGCTTCAGGGCTTATCACGCGGAATTAAGAAAAGTGCAGAAGTAGCTGAGTCTGCCAAAGAAGCTCTAGAGTTCCTCTGCAGTCAGTCTACACGTGCGGTCAAGTGCGTGACAACCAAAGGTGCTATCATTCACCATGCCTCTAATTTCTCAGAAGAAGAAGATGGCGTGGAAGTAAGTTACACCTTTCTGTATGTTTGTCTACCTCCTAACGCCTACGGAGAGAAACCTCTTAGCCTCTTTGTATCCGATGGAAGTATAATCAGTTATACCTATGCGCCTCATAACTTCGGAAAAAAATGATTGAGTCGTTAAAAGTGTAATAAAATATGTTTTTGTTCAGGTCTTTCTCTTTCAGTAATGATTTTCTGTATTATTATTTGTTTGTTAGGTATTGCTGTGTAAACAGGCTATTATTTCTGCTGTGACAGGGAAGAGAGCAGTAAGTACATTTCTGTATGGGCCATGATTAGCTCATGCTTTTATGTGTCTTGAGGTTCACCCCAGCATGCACTTACTGCTCTCCTCGCTATTATGGCAGATTTGTCAGGTTTTTAATAATCAAGATAGGACTTTAATAACAACAAATAAAGACTGGGAAAGTAAATAATGGCGCAATAAGGATACAAAAAAGTACAAAGCTATAGTATAAAATTGAACCATAGAATTAAATGAACCTCTTTCTGGCTTAATTTGTAAAAACTGAAATAGATAAAGACGATAAATCAATGTTTGTTAAACTTAGTTCCTGAAATCAATTTTAATTTTTTGCAGTCAAATCATGTTTTTTTAGCTGGGATCACTTCTTAAGATGATTCCTGATGATGATTGATGAGGTCAAGGCTCTAAGGGGCCTTTTGCTTTAGTTTTGATTAAAAAAAAAAAAAAACAATTAAAAAAAGCAACAACAACAAAAAAGTCAAATACTGCAAAATTTGTGCAAGAGATTTTTGGAAAGGATATAAAAAAATTAAGTATGGTTTTCTCAGTCTACAAGCAAGGCCTATTCCAAAGTTGTCTTTTCCATTTCCAATCTCATAGTCTAGACCAAGCAACCTCTGCTACTCACAATCTACTAACATCTAATCGTTTCTTCATGTTAAATTGTCCTGTTTGTTTTTACAAATAATTTTTTTTTCATATTTCTCTGGTAATCACATTAATTTCATGATTTTTATTTCTTTTATCTTCTCAGGGGTTGAAGAATGATGACAAAATTTTGGAAACTTGCATTATTCTGTGCAAGAATAAACCACAACATCTAATCGTTTCTTCATGTTAAATTGTCCTGTTTGTTTTTACAAATAATTTTTTTTTCATATTTCTCTGGTAATCACATTAATTTCATGATTTTTATTTCTTTTATCTTCTCAGGGGTTGAAGAATGATGACAAAATTTTGGAAACTTGCATTATTCTGTGCAAGAATAAACCTGCTGAAGAATCTAAAGAAGGTAAGTTGACCATACTTTTTCTGAAAACTTTTGCACATTTTACATTAATCATTATCTTAACAAGAGTATTCTTGGGTGAGGGCATGTTTACTCTTGGATCAGAGAGCATCTTTGAGCAACAGAAAATGGAAATGGTTATCTGTGTCTTAGAAATAATATACTTGTACCAGGATTTCAGTGTACAGAGTATCCATGGGTAGACATGCAAAAAATATTCAAATCCAAAAACTCACTCCTTTCCCAAATTAAAAGAAAACTGATTAGTTTATGAAACGTTAAAACTTTTTATTTAGGAAAGGGCTCATGCACCAAAAATAGAAAATTGATGCAGCAGCAACTTACTGTTTCCCAGGACCAAATGCATAAGGTGGTTTGCATCGTGATGTGTATGCAAGAAAATTTTATTTTAAAGCTGTAATTGGGTATCTTAATAAGAGGAGCCAAGAGTCAATGACAATACCTGTGAGTAGCAATCACAAACTAGTGTCATCAGTGGTGATTCATGCAAACTCAAAGTTTTTATCTCCTCAGGGGTTTTTCTTTGTGGGAGAGGGGAGAGTAATTGGTTGTTTTTTTTTTTTTAATGGATTTGTTTTTAAAGGTGGTAAGTGATAAATGTCTCCTATAGAACCCTAACAAGCAGTTCCAATTTGCGTATTTTGTTTTGCTTCAGGACAACCAAGGAAAATTCACCGCAATGTGGTTCTGCTAACTGATGACAGGCATCTAAGAGTGAAAGCTCTTTGCAGAGATATGCCTGTTCGCACAGTTCCTGATTTTGTGCAATGGGCTGGCCTCGGATAGCCTGCCATTGTGTCCTTATAACTAGTTGTTCAAGTATGGTCAGCTCTAAGTCCTGGCTCAGCCACTTATGAAGCAGGAATCATCGAAACTGGATTGATTAACTACAGAGCCTCTTTTCAGGTTTAAATTTGCAGGGTTTTTAAGAATTCAAATAAGAGAATCAGATGCTAGAAAAAATTAGCGATCATTCTCTCAGAGGGATCCTGTCTATTGCATGTATTTTTAATGATGAATTCCTATTCTCGTTCCATTTTTTTTGTAGGTATGAGTTAAGGACTGATAGGATTATTACCTCTCCTTTTTATTTTTTCTTCCCTCCTCCGCCCCCCCCCCCCAATTACTCATTGTTAAATGGGTATCAATTTTCCTAATGAAATACCATGATCTATCGCCAAGATTTTTCATGTCACTCTGTTTATATAAGAAATTCTTGAACAATTGTGAAAATCCCTTGATATCGGTCTTAAGAGTAAAACTGAGGTGAAGTTAAACATATTTAAGTATTATTTTAAGTTGTATAATTCATGTTCGATCTTGAGCATCGTTTTTTTCCTTAATTCCATCATTAATGTAGTCTTTAAAGGGGTGTATTCAAAACCGGCAACATTTTCTACCTCCTGCATGTTGATCAATTTTTAGCATGGTATTCCTTATGAAAGGATATGCTTGTTATTAAAGTACTAAGGCCCAAAACAAATTATTGTCCATGTGGCCCCCAAGCCTGAAACTTGGCAACACTGCAACATTGACAGAAATTTTTATAGGCCCAGAAATTTTCATCTATTGTAAATCCTATTGCATGGCATATAACTTAAAACTGGTCGATATTGAGTACGGAATAACATACTTGAAATTGGTAAACAGCAAGGGGGAGGGGGATTTCTGCTTTTGAGTATATTCCTTTAAACTGCAAGAAGAAGATACACTTTAACAAGTTAGGTTAAGTAAACTTAACTAAATGAGAAGGAGTTAATTTTATGATGGCGACTTAGACTTTTATCTTTCAAACGACCTCTCAAGTTTCAGTAATTTTACTCTGATTTGCAAATCTTGAACTGATTGATAGAAAGGAGGAATTATAATGCATATATTGTACATACATTTCCATGAGGAAGCCTATCTTAAATTACTTTAACATTATTACAAAACTTTAACACCTGAAGGTATTTACTTAAAATTAAAATCACAAACTTACGGTGACAAATCTATAACATGCATGGCTGTACAAGAATAGGAAACAACAGTAAAAGTGGGAGACAAGTTGTTCACAATTCATTTTGTGAACAATGCATGACTTTAGAAGAGAGTTTCTGTTAGATTTAAAAGGATATCATTAGAATGACAAATCATCAAAGATTGATTATAGGCACCACCTTGAAATCATAAATCGCAAAATTTTACATCCATATTTTGACTGTATGATTTGTAGGTGGTAGTTATATTCATTCCTTTATAATTCGTCGCTCTGGTTATCTTCTCTTGTATCTTGAAGGGAGGCCATCAGGAGTCATGTCTTGCCTTGAGTACAGGCCAAATTTGACATAGACAAGCCAGGGATTGCCAACCACCAATTTATTTAAATTGCTGGGTGACCGCTGTCTCCTATGAGCTTCATGACTGCTATTGCCATGCAAACCTCAGTGTTCAAAAAATGCAGGTTTCCGGTTTTTTAGGTTTTTTAATTTTTCTTTGTTATACCAATTGATGAAGGTGCTATCCAGCCCGGAAATGTCTCAAGCTTTTTACATTTTTCAGCCTTAAATTCTCAATATGTTTCCGTTCTGGTACATATTTTGGACTACTCAAATCTTCATTGCCATGTACCTATAGAATAAGAACCAATAAAAACCTCAGCAGATAACAATATCGATAAATGCACGCTCCTATCATAGATTTTGGTAATTTTAGTCAATTGATTCAATTTATTCAAATAGTTGTCTGTATTTGTTTCTTCTTTTTTAAGTAATGGTAACCCTCTCTCTTGTTTTGTTGATAATTTTCTTTTTCAACCGGTAGCTATTTTCTACAGTTTCCTTTTTTAATTTATTTTAAAGCAACTTAGTTCATTAGACTGTCAATGTCTATCTTGTGATGGTTTTAATACCCGCAAATTCACTTTTTGCCTGTAGCCGATCACCATCCAGCACAAGACGCACTGCTGCCACTAGATGGTGATTGGTTACTGCTTCAACTTTATCCTGCCATTTTTGCGAGTGATTTCATCTTATTAAATATCAATTTTTAGACGGATCCCTCTTGTCTTTGAATTGCAAAGGCAGAGTTTGTATTTTAAAGTAATATTGCACTTATCTCTGCTCTGCATCCTCTTTTTACTCATTATTATCAGAATGACTTCATTTTACAGATATGATTAATCGGTATCAATTGATTTCAAAAATACTTTTAATCACTGTATTGTTAAGTTTCAAAAATGGAAGAAAAGTTGTAGTCGAGTTTTTTTTTTTTTTATTTTTAAAATTTTTTAGTTTAGAAATCAGTAACAGTCAGCATCTTTAAGCAAGCATGTCTCTTTCACAGTGTCCTAAGTATAAAAATTGGCTGTAAGTAATTTGACGTAAAAAGAAAATGTTTAATTTAGTTAAAGATTTTTTTAGCTAAAGGAAGGTCTCATTTTTTTATAATTTATACCTCTCATTAAGACTATGATACCTTTTACATACAAATAAAAGTTAGTTGTGGCTTTTCACAATTCATTGTTATATTTATTCTCCTCAATCAATAGTAATACCTCAACAGAAGGGGTTTTTTTTTTTTCGTTGGAAGGAAGAATAATATAGCTAGTGTGCAATTCTATCTATAAGGAAAATCCTCAAGCTAATCAATTAATTAGCTTTTATACTCAAAAATCATGTCCCATCTAGTTTTCGGATTTCCCAAAATATTTGTTATGATCGTGAAATTCCACTCACGATCGTTGTCTGGAAAGTCTTGCGCGTTTCAGTTTTTCTCTGCGATTACTTATTAATGTTAGACAAAATCCGATTTAACCGTTGAATGTGTGATACAGCTTTAATTTGAGCTGTAGTCATGAAATCTAAAGCGAATGAATGCTCAGGAGCTGCAGGGCCGGATTAAGGGGGTGGCCACATGGGCCGCGGCCCATGGCGGCAAAATTAGGGGGCGGCAAGTTTCGCAATTTTTTTAAATGCTGGTACAAAAAAATCGGATTCAGAAAAAAATTACAAACAAGAAAAGGTGACAAAATCTCTCATTTCCTGAGAGTTCATTAATTTCTAATTTTGTCGTATTTCGGTGACACAAAAGACTGCGCACCTTTAATTAAGTAGTTGAGTCAAGAGAGAAACCAAACACGTAATTTGGCCTGGAGCGGCGCGGCGCAAAGAGAAATGATGACGAGGACTTGAGATGAAAAGGAGAAGCCCTGGACGCGGCGGTCGGCATGTAACACATATTAGCGCCTACGAGACTGTATGAATACTTCACGCATTGCGTCAAACACAGTACGGTCAACAGCGGTCGGCGCGGCGTGAAACGCACAGTGCCTACAAGACTACATGAATACTTCACGCATTGCGCCAAATACTGTGTGGTCAGCGCGGCATGACGGCGGAAGTTAAAATTATTAAACCACATTTATGTTTATTCTTTCAATTTTTTTTCATTCTTCTCTTATAAATGAAAGGCCTCGTCCACTCGGAGATAGGTTCACGGAACTTAATTTTTGCGCAAAGTCTCGTGAACTTTTCCTAAAAGTGTTGACAGGGCGTCGGGGCTTACGCAAAAAATGTGTCCAACACGAGTGAACGCGTCTTATGCACCCTTCTCCCTCCGGCACGTTCTTTTGATGGTTTTTATTTATGTTGCAAAATGAATGAGAAGAGAGTGGCAAAATACAGGCGGCCCATGGGCGGCAAGTAGGTAAATCCGGCCGTGAGGAGCTGTATCAATTTTCCCGAGCTGCCGTCAGAGCGTTTTCCGCCATCTCCAACCTCCTGACGCGCGATAATTGTGATGAAAAAATGGGAAAGCAACGTCGATTTTGACATGAAAATTAACGATTTATGATTTATAGTCGGAAAACGTAATTGATGTTTATTGTACCTCAATAGTTACTTTTCTACGTTATCACCTTGAAGTGTCAATCACTTCTCGAGTCGTGTCATGAGCTTACGGATCCCTGCGTTGGAAAACCCTGCTGACTTGATTTTGAACCAGGTCTCGTAGTGTATACTTAGTAATCAGCGTTATTGTTCACTCGCTCGGCAAAAAGGCGATTCAGGGGGGATAGGGATCCTTCTCCTATCCTCAGTTATCGATATCACAATGGACCACTAGACAAGGTACGAATTTCAGCATTCTGATACATGTTTCTCAACCAAAATTTCACGTAGAACACGATACGCACAACGAAAATTACCAAAATCAACTCCTGACGAAGATATTTAATGATTCTTGATGCGTGAATTCAAACCACCCGCTCATGAAAACTCAATGCTCTACGTGATTCACATCGCGCGCTAAATGTTTATCATGACAATCTCTGCGATGTAAACATCTTCAATTTCAATCTTGACACTTTGGCTCAGCTATAGCAAATTACCAATAGTTTGAACAACACATGGTGGAAAATGAACATTGCTCGATTGAGAAGCTTGCTGAAACCGTTGTAGTGCGCGATTTGACTCACGTAGAGCTTTGAGTTTCTTGTGAGCGGGTAGTTCAAATTCCTCGTAATCAGTGCGAAATAAAAACGTTAATATCTTCGTTGTAAGTTGATTTCGGTAATTTTCGTAGTGTGAATCGTGTTCTACGTGAAATTCTGGTTAAGAAACATGTATCAGATTGCTTAAATTCGTACCTTGTCTAGTGGTCCATTCGCGCGCGGACGACAGCGCGGGAAAATTGACCTCCTGAAAATTCATTTCCTTCAAATTTAATAAACTACAACTCAAATTAAAGCTGAGAGTGTCGCACATTCAACGGTTTAATCGGATTTTGTCCAGCACTAATAGCTGCCGAGAAAAATCAAAACGGGCAAGACTTTCAGAACAAACCTCGTAATCACGTAAATCATACTATGTGGATGTGATTCTACCAGGAGGGCAGAATATTTTTGCCTGGTTTCCATTTTATTCAAAACCAAATGGCTAATATTTTAATTTTTTCATAATACTTCAGTATTTTTGCTACATTTTGCTCCTTGAAAAAAGTGTCTCTCATACTTTATAAAGTCGTTGCAGTTTCCATGATTTTCAAGTTTTCAATGGTTTTTAATAATGCTTAAATGGGGGTAGTGGCAAGGAATTTCTGCAGGGATTTAGAGTTAAAAACAACGTATGTGTCATTAATTTCCCTATGCACATCTCAGAAAGATTTCGTGAAAAAACCAAAAAGTTCAAAAAATTATCTTCAAGGGCAGAAGAGAACCCGACCAATCGAAAGCCAGCAGTTGATTCAACGTTGCAAGGCAATGTCAGCAGTTGAGTGCAGCCAACCAGCAAGCGCTGTTTCCACCACGTATCCGCGAAAATATCGTTTCAAACGGGTCCCAATTATGGAATTTTCAAAACGGGATGGAGAAAAGTTCTGGAAGCTTTAGTTCACTCCAGGGCCGGATTCACCTACTTGCCGCCCATGGGCCGCCTGTATTTTGTCGCCTCTTCTCATTTGTTTTGAAACATGAATAAAACCATCAAGTGGATTGCATTTCGCAAAAAGGAACCACTAGCATTGCAATGTTGCTATAAGATTGTGCAACTTCTTTTGTCTTGGAGGAAAAACCCGATTATCCCCTAATAGTTTCTATTTTACTCGCTAAAAACTTTAAATTTAAGACAAAAATTACCATCTAAATTTCATAGTTTTTCACAATTTCCGCAATTTTATTGCAAATGATGAAGTTGCACAATCTTTGGATCATTGCAATGCTAGTGGTTCCTTTTTGCAAAATGCAATCCAAGTGAACGTGCCGGGGGTAGGGTGCATAAAACGCGTTTAATCGTGTTAGACACATTTTTTGCGAAAGCCCTGTCAACACTACTAGCAAAAGTTCACGGGACTTTGCGCGAAAGTTAACCCGTAAACCTATCTCTTTGTGGACACGACCTTCCATGTATAAGCATTGAACGAAAAAATTAAGAAAGAACAAACAAAAATCTGGTTTAATAATTTTAACTTCCGCCGCCGCTCCACGCTGACCGCACTGTATTTGGCGCAATGCGGGAAGTATTCATACAGTCTTGTAGGCGCTATGCGTTTCACGCCGACCGCTGCTGACCGCACTGTGTCTGACGCAATGCGTGAAGTATTCATGCAATCTTGTAGGCGCTAATATGTGTTACACACGCCGACCGCCGTGCCAAGAGCTTCTCCTTTTCATCTCAAGTCCTCGTCATCATTCCTCTCTGCGCTGAGCTCCAGGCCAAATTGCGTGTTTAGTCCCTCTCTTAACTCGACTAATTAAAGATGCTGTCTCTTGTATCACCGAAAAACAACAAAGCTAGAAATTACTATACTCTCAGGAAAGAGAGATTTTGTCCCCTTTTCTCATTGATAATTTTTTTTTTCTGAATCCATTTTTTTTTACCTACATTTAAAAAAATTGCAAAATTTGCCACCATGGGCCGCGGCCCATGTCGCCACCCCCTTAATCCGGCCCTGGTTCACTCCGAACTTTCAAAATAGTACCTATGAATAAAAAAAACAATGTGCCACTGACCCATTCATGTTTTTTCAAACGGACCACATTTTGCAATTATTGGAACTACGATACCTGGCTAAGTTTAGAAACAACGTATGTGCCACCAGTTTCCTCATGCACGTACGTGTTTGTACGGATGAGTCAGAAATTGTAGTTTCAAATTGCAAAATGTAATTCATTGCAATTTGACTACCTACATTTTGCAATTAGGAACTACCAATTCTAGCTTAGTTTAGAAACAACGTATGTACCATTAATTTCCCTATGCACAAAGGTATTTTAACGGATGAGCCAGAAATTGGTAGTTCCCAATTGCAAAATAGTAGTCCAATTATAATCCAATGCCAGGTTTATGCATTATCTGAAAATTGAAAATTGACGAATAATATATGTACCTACTTTCATTAGGGTACTTTTATTTTACTGTACCTATGGACTAAGTATTTTATTTTTACGGTACTGGGTGACCGTTGATTTAGTAAATTTTAGTTTTATAGTTCTATTTTGAAACATTTCAGTATTTTTTAGGGACACTTTGTCTCTCCTTTTTCCGTTTATCCCCTATTTACTTGGGCCCCCGGGNGGGGGGGGGGGGGGAGGCATGTCACCATGCCCGCGATCCGCCACCGCGCTCAATCCGAGCAACATTGAATGTTCTTGGTTCCTTTTTGCAAAATGCAATCCAAATTATAACTACGGCGAAGAGCTCAAATATATGCCCGAAGTAACTTCAACGAAAAAAAAACTCCGGCCGAGGGAGCCGCAATCACGGGCTGTATAGACATACCGTCCGTTCCGGGCTCAAAGGCCGAAAATTCCGGCTGCTGGAGGCGCAGCTTCGATTGCTCCGGGTTCAGAGGCCGAAGCTACGGCTCCAGTAGCCGGAATTTTCGGCCTTTGAGCCCGGAACGGACGGTATATCTATATAGCCCGTAATAGCGGCTCCCACGGCCGGAGTTTTTTTTTTCAGTGTTCTTGACGTTCCGCAGAGATAATTTTCGTATCTCAAGATGCTTAGGCGCTTTCTA